CAGGTCCCGAGTCGAATTTCGGAGTCGGGGTTCGGAGACCCGGAGCTCGGCAACTGTGTTGGGTGTCAGGGTATCCAGACCATTGGAGATAGCATGTGTCAGTATTTTGCGTTTCATGTTTTATGTTGGGTGAATATGGAATCGGGGATCAGGGACTCGGTATTCAGAACAGTGTCAAGTCCCAGGTCACGAGCTCCGAGTGCCGAGTGCCGAACCCCGAGTCCCGAGTCCCGAGTCCCGAATTTCGGAGGTCGGGGTTCGGCGACCCGGAGCTCGGCAACTGTGTTGGGTGTCAGGGTACTCGGAGCATTGGAGATAGCATTTGTCAGTATTTTAAGTTTCATGGTTTATGTTTCGTGATTATGGAATCAGGTGTCAGGGACTCGGTATTCAGAACAGTGTTGAGTCCCAGGTCATGAGCTCCGAGTCCCGAGTCCCGAAACCCACACCCAGCAGTTGCCGAGCTCCAGGTCGCCGAACCCCGACCTCCAAAATTCGGGACTCGGGGTTCGGGACTCGGGACTCGGAGCTCGTGACCTGGGACTCAACACTGTTCTGAATACCGAGTCCCTGACACCTGATTCCATAATCACGAAACATAAACCATAAAACTTAAATACTGACAAATGCTATCTCCAATGCTCCGAGTACCCTGACACCCAACACAGTTGCCGAGCTCCGGGTCGCCGAACCCCGACCTCCGAAATTCGGGACTCGGGACTCGGGACTCGGGGTTCGGCACTCGGCACTCGGAGCTCGTGACCTGGGACTTGACACTGTTCTGAATACCGAGTCCCTGATCCCCGATTCCATATTCACCCAACATAAAACATGAAACGCAAAATACTGACACATGCTATCTCCAATGGTCTGGATACCCTGACACCCAACACAGTTGCCGAGCTCCGGGTCTCCGAACCCCGACCTCCGAAATTCGGGACTCGGGACCTGGGCGTCCAGGACTCGGATGTGAGATTTTGAATGCATAGAATATGTTACATCTTGTATACAATGAAGACTGAATGGGACTACACTCCTTTGCCTTTCCTCAATTTCTCTAACATGTCAGTGTACATCTTCACCTCTGCCATCTTGGCTTTGATGCCATGATCTTGCTCCTCCATCAATGCTTCCATGCGTTCTTTAATCCACCTCAGTCCCATAAGTGGTGGAGTCGAAGTGTTTTTCAACTTCTCTGGAAGAACCAAAGCATCATCCTCAACATTAAGCTAGAACAGATAAGTCATCAATCAAGGCAATTCAGCTAACATCTTACCGCCCAATACTGGTAGTGAGAGATGCAGGAAGCCATTATTTCATCCCACTGCCATGGTTGATCCGGGATTGTGGTGTTTCCCATCCACCATGGACATGTATATTTGAACACAATCCGGGACGGATGTCCTGCAATTGCCTCATCATCAAATGCAAGGAGGTGGAATGAAAAGACGTCGTCCGGAACCGTGTTCCAGGTTAGCATGGGATACAACTTAAGGATATAAGCGACAGGGACCGGAAGAACCAACACGATATTCTGTGAAGCGGAGTACTGCAGGAGTGGTGTGACAAAGTCTGCTCAAATTCTTAGCATTGACCAACAAAGTCATCAGGGCAGTGGTAACATACATTCATCTCCCATTGCAGCCCGGCTTTAAAATACTTGATCCGGTCAGAAGATAGACCATTGTTGGCAGCTTCCGTCCGATATTGAGAGATGCATGCACGGACCCGCGATCCAGCCATTGCCAATGTGCAGGAAATAGTTGCAAGGCTCAGCTTCAGGGGTCGGTAATGGCTTCCGGCATTCAGAGTGCCAGAAGTGGATGCAGGAGTTGCAGGCATGGCTAATACAGGACTATGGCGCTGGCAATGCAAGTGAAAGATGGTGAAGATGTGAAGATAAGAATCACTGATGGATGGATACGAAATTCAAACTCCGACATGGGCTGACCCGGACAATTCCCGGGCCTCAATTATGTATGTGGAAAAAGGGACTTCATGAGAAAACAATGTTCATTCATCTCCAGCCTCTATCAACACGTTTTGTAGGTCTTGAAAAGCTGCCTGCGCATCCTGTGCGAGCAATGAATACATTTGGGATTGCCTTCCGGCGTAGCATCCGTGACCCGGAAGGTCGTTTCTCCAATGATTCCTGCATGTGGTCGCCCCATTGGGTTGCTTTCCACAAAAAGAACTTACATGTCCAATCCATCTCCAATTTGACCAATATCATTTCTTCCCTCCATCGATCTCGTAGTGCCTTTGCCCTGAGCCAATGGACTCGGTAAACTTGGCATGGGTCCAGTCAGGTAACCGCGGGATATGACATGCAAGCAGGAACTCACATTCCTCATTCCACGATTGATCAGGACCCCCGAGGTCGACTTCAACAGACCAAAACCAAGCCAAAGATTCATTTCGTTGACCTCGGGCATTTGGGTCACCCACTGCAGTGCTAATTTTGAGTTGCTCGCGAAGCAGGGGTTTGTATTTCTGAAGCTGGTCTTGCCCCGGCTCAAGTTTCATCATTTGCTTCCTGGTCTTTGTATATATGCTGGCATGGAGGGAGACTGCCTGCTGCACCGACGTCACCTGGGACCAAGCTCGAGTTTTCAGGGCCTGGGATTTGGCCTGCCTAACGGTTGTTCGGAACAGGATGGCCTTGTTGCAAAGGTAAATGCGGAGATTGTGAAGGGCATCATTGGCCTGCCCTTCACGAAGCGACATCTCCAGGGGAATCAGATCCTCTGCCATGCATCGTCTGCATCTATCAACCCCCAGGTTTGATGGCAATGGGATTACAGTGAGCTCGGGAGAGTTTGTCCATGTATGAGATGTCTCTGTGAAATCCGCCGGGTCATCATCGAGATCATCTAGAATGTCTACGTTCAAGTCCTCAGGTTCATCATCTGCATCAAATCCCTCCCCGAGATGTGTTAGAGCAGACCGAGCAAATCCATCTATCTGGCCTTGGAGCCGATCGCGTTGACGGGCGATGTCTAATCTCTGTGTCTCGGTGGATCTTCTTCCGATCCTTCGGACCTCGATGAGCAATGCAATCTGAGCCTCTTCAATTGCTAACCCTGTTGATATCCACGTCGCCACAGATCTGCGAGAGGGTGCTGCATTGCGGGCAGTTACCCTCCTCTAATAATCTAAGCTCGATCTCCTTTTTGCTAGGTGCTGAGTGCAATATTAATTCAGACCTCGATGGAGACAATGGAACTCAATGTACCCTTTTTTATATTGATCTCATATTCATCCATCGCCGAAGGATCATTCAATCTGCTTGACTGAGCTATCCTCTCCCTGGCTAACCATTCTGTCTTCAAATGTGAGGGTGCTGCTTCATCGAGTCTGTCAAATGCCTTTCCACTTTCCGAGATGCCATTCCTAGCCAGCTTGTATTTCCGGCATAGAGTCCTTTTCATGCGAATCATCTTGCAGAAATTGGAGTCATTCATCTGATAATCAAGGCATTCCTTTCGGTGGGGAGATGACATTCCCCGAGCAGCAGGGGAGATCAGATTGAGCCGTGCCCATAGCGTCTCCATGATCTCTCCATCGATCCGACCAATGCCTTCAATAAAGTTAGAAGCATATCGCACATAGCAGCTGTCCTGATGGCCATGAACGTGCCACAACCCAATTCCGGGAATGATGGTTAGTTGTGGTGCCATTTCTAGAAATCGACTTCGATCCACCCGAACCCGAAAGTGTTTGTTGTATTGACAATTAATATCATAGAAGGTGACAGCCCTGGTGATGCCTTCCATGTTGTGCCGGGAAGCCTCGCAAAGGGCGTAGTCCATGTTCATTTGTCTGCAAGTGACCCATGGTTAACTCGTGAATGCTTAATGGTGGATGTGGCTTGCCTTTCGCCTTTCTGAAAATCCACCATGGAGTGAGGGACAAAGCAACCGTGTCTGGCACAGGCAACTCCCCCGATACCGGTGGACTCCAGCTTGTGCCGAGCAGCATTAGCTTGATTTACTGCCCGGTGGTTGTTGCAGCTTGATTTTTCCACCGTGTCAGCAGCCTCTGCCAGATGCATTTTATACCTGTCCTTTCCTACCATGAATCCAAGCCCATCGGACAGCCAAACTTCATCGAATGGCTTAATGGGATGCAGATGTTCCGCTTTGAAATTTCCGTCCATCACAAATGACCGGGTGTATTTCCAGCTTGGATCGCTAGTATTATTATGGAGGCCACATTGGTTGAGAATAGGACTCACTCATCAAGTGATTCATCCTCTGACAACAGCACATTAATCCCAGGCTGAGGACATGCCGGGCAAAATAATGCGAGTTCTCCTGTGCTCGGGTTATCAGAACGATGGCCAAAGCCATGCCATTTCATTGTCTTCAACTGCCTCCACTGTCGAGCGACCCTCATGAGCTCTCTGTATCGGTCCTTGCAATGTGCTTTGTCAATATGATGTCCAGTAGATGAAGAGGGTAAGGCATTACCGGAACAAGGTGTGGAAACATGCTGGAGGTCATTCTCCGGAGCTTGCTGTAATAGTTCATCGCCGAGGTGCCGCATTCAAGGCTGTCCAGTAGAAAATCATTGAGCACTCTAAGGTGAACACAGTCTTTGGCCTGTTGAAAGATGCAGGGAAAAATCTGTGTCGAAACATTTGAATGTCCGGACTCATGGCATTCGGACATTCACAGCATCGAACCTCCAGGCGATGAACTCCGGACTTGTCCACAATGACCATGGTGTTTTCCTTTGGCTGGAACTCGGGTCCGGACACAAATGGCAGATCTTCAGGCTCAAGCAGGTCTTCAGGTTCATCTTCTTCAAACAAATTCCACCGATCGGTGACCGCCGGACATTGTTTGCCATCATGGCCAAGGTGTATAATGAGTCCCACATGAGCGAGACAACTCCGCTCGAAGAATCGCCCATTCCATTGACTGATCCAGTGGAAAGGATTGCTACAATGTTGACTCCTGCAACAGCCCGTGCAATAGAGTGGCTCGCCAAGACAATCTTGACATTTGTACACCCCATCCTGTTGGCAGATGATGCATCTCCTGTCTTCTGGTGGAGCTTCTCGATCGAGGAGGTGATGTAGATATGATTCCTGCCTTGGCAGCCATTGCCTGAGGTAGTCATTTTGACTCTGTATTTTTGAATGCTTAGCCATAGTTTGAATGACACTCCAACATTGTACATGAACTTGCCATGGTTTTTGGGAGTTGCAAAGGCTCAAATGAGCCTTGGTCCTGCTCGTAAGTATTGTCAGGAAAGTCTTCCCAAGGAGGTGGTGCCTCAACAGGCTGAATTGTTGGTGATTCTGGGGGAGAGTTAGGCATGGACCGGTAGGCATGTCGCCTCGTGCTTGCAAGTGGGACCTTGACCCAAGTCTTCCTACCTTTGCTGCCCCTTGCTTCCACCCTGTGAGATTTTTGCACTGGGGTGCATCTACCTATCTTCATCTTCTTTACTAATGTTGCAAGCAAGGCATCAGCTCAGGTGTAATGAATTTTTATTGCAATATGATGCGGTGCAGTCCTGTTGGCTCATTACAAATTCATTTCCATTAATGGCTTCTTGTCCAATATGGGCCGATTAACCTATCATTAGGCTTTGCTCAAAGTTCAACTTCGCACAATTCATTAATACTTCCACCTTGCAAATCCTTAGCCCTTTCTGCATTCTGATTCACTATGGCAAGAACAGGTCATTCCACCAACACGACTTCCGGAAGACACAGGGTGCGTCAACCACAGTCTCAGAAGCTCACGGACAAGGAGATTTTGGAGTTGAAGAACTACCTTCCTGAGTGGACTGCTGCCAAAAGGAGTGAGAAGCGAGCGATTTTCACTGCCATAGCAAGGGCGGCCAGGTTGTTTGCTCCTAAGTTGGACCAAAAACAATGGAAAAAGAGGAAGCAGGTGAGGCTTCTTTGTTGTGTTGAAAAACTAAATTTTCAACATCACATTCTTTCATCAACTCTTAGGTGTACAAGACTTGGTTGTTCAACAACAAGAAAAAGAAGGAAAGGAAGGACATGATCAAGTATGGGAGGAAATGGACACCCAGGATGGTGGTCTACCAGCAGAAACGCGAAGAGGTGCTGAAGAGGATTGAGGACGAGTCTGGGGTAAAGCCAGGAGATCCTGGTATGTTCAAACATTATCAGGCGGCGGTGAAGAGAGTCATGGCTGAATTGGACGACGACGAGTTGGAGAAGGCGAAAGAAACAGCGGAGGAGTGGTCCAACAACTGTCCGCCTCCGGAGATACAAGCACAAGTAGCTCGTAAGAAGGGTCCGGCATATATGGAGCACTTTTCGAACGAGATGTGGAGGCAATGTGGGATGAGAGTTTTTGTGATGTCGGCTTGGAAGAATGAAAAGGGAGAGGTGCTGTTCGGGATGTGAGTACATTTATCCATTGACGCAGATCTTTCATCTCAAAATATTCATGCAGGCATGATGATAATGAGGCCTTAGGAAATGGGGACAGCTTCATGAAGATGAAGGACTGGGAGGACATTGAGCCAGTGTGGCAGGAGTATGCGCAGGAACAGTTCGGTGAGTGTTTGAACCATGTATACCAGATTGAACATATTGAGCATCACAATTATAGGCGCCGGGGCACGGGATGGAGGACGTCAGGTCAAGGGAGGTCGAAAACGAATTCGAAAACCAGCCTTCGAACTCGAAATGGATGGGGAGGGTATGCCACTCCTTCCGGACATCACCGACACCAAACTTGAGGAGAAGAAGGCCATAGTAAGGGCCTTTCTTACATCGCACTATCGTGAGTTTGTTGTCGCATCACCTGACAAATTGTTCAATGCATGGACAAAGGGATATGCTCCGGGAAGGACAAGGCGGTTGTGCCATGGAGTGCCATTGTACAAAGTCAGGATGACTTCGTGGCCCGGACATATCTTCCGGCAGATGTTGACTTAAAGGAACCTTCGAAGCTGCAAATTTGGGACACCACTACCTTGCTCCAGTTTTGGCTCGCTCGGCAAGAAACAGGCGAAGGGCCCACATTTCTGTTCAAAGCATGGAAGAACAAATGATGGGGACATGGACACCATCTGTCATATCTGGCAACTCGCCCTCTCCTCAGACTCGTATAGTGAGAAAGCAGCAGAGGGTTACCATCCGAAGGCCTCGGGATTCGTCGACAGAAGCCGAGAGTGATAAGGAGAGTGCCACTAATCATACCGAGGATGATGTGGATGATGACTTGGCTGACGGGAGACATCCGCTGAAGAAACCCAGGACAGGAGGTCCTACACCCAAAGGGACGGCAGTCCCACGTGCAATTCCAAAGCCTCGCCCGGCCAAGCCAGCCAAAAAAGGTGCATTACTGACATCGCGAATGGGAGACCTCCTTGCTGGGTTAACTGAAGACGCAACCAGCGAGGTTAGAGATGATGTTGAAATGGAAGACAGTATCACGCCGCCGGCACAGAAAAGGAGGCGGGGCAAGAGAGTCACAGTTGAACCATCCACGAGGACGACCCGGAGTAAGTTGCAAATGCCAGTAGACAGTACACCTAGAGTAACCAGAGCACGGGGACACACTTAATGTAGATATATCTTCCTGCCCTCATGTGTAATGTCATAAGTGCTATTATGTATATGTCAAAGTACTAACAATCAAATTGTAATTGCCAAATGCCAAATCTCGAGTACCAAGGCCCGAGTACCGAACCCCGAATACCAAAGCCCGAACGCCGGTCACCGAGTACCAAGGCCCAAGTACCGAACACCAAGTACCGAACACCAAGTACCGAGCCCCGAGCCCCAACTACCGAGCCCCGAGTACCGAGCCCCAAGTACCGAGCCCCGAGTACCGAGCACAGAAGACCTGGCAGCGAGTACTGGGTAGGTAGAGTATACAAGTACCAAGGACTACCTACTGAGTAGTACTGCAATGTGTCTACTATCAGACATTGATCAATATTTACATGTTACTTGAGTCCTCAAAGGCCTCAATGAGGGTATCTAGTACCTTCAGCATTTCGGAGGTTGACTCCCTTACCCTTTGCATCCTCCGGAGGTCAGCATCTGCTTTTCGCAGCTTGTCGCATGTTTCAGCCCATGCCACCCTGAATGGTCTGTCAGCCTCAAGAAGTTGTGCTACTGTAGGGGCAGGAAGATTTCCATGACGCTGTTGGTAATCACCCAGGCGATCTACAATTGTTTGAACTTGCAGAACATTAGCAGAGATAAATAATCAACTGTTGTATACATACTTTCAGCTTGATCATAAGATCCGATTGGCATGAACTCCTGAACCATGGCACGCAGTGCTTCATTGTTGAGTTCCGGCTCGGGCGATTGACGTTCGGGAGTTTCTGAATTAGCTTGGGAGATAACATGAATAAAAAACATGAAATGATATGAATATGCCTACAAGGTATGGGTGCCTCTGGTTACAGCCGGAGTAACTGGATGAGGTTCGGGAGTCGATTCATTCACTGGGGAAATGCCATGGAAAATGAACATGAGATGAAAAGAATAACCTCACCAGCCATAGGAAAATCGGGTACAGCCGGAGCATCATCAGACGAAATCAAGGTATCCTCCGGACCAAGATACAAGTCCGGGTCATCGTACAGGGCCAGTCCATCTGCCAGAGCCGGAGATGATGGATCTGGAGATATGTGATGAATTTGCACATGTAAAATATGTACATTTGAATTGAGAAACATACCGGGAATTACATTCAACACATCCAAACCACCGGACGATCCAGAATCAGAGTCTAACTCATCATCCGGCCCAAGGTATATATCATCTAATGGATCTGAACCATGTCAGATCAATTGACTGAAATCAGAAAAAACAAAACATACCAAGGGACATCCGGGACTGGGAGGACTCATCCACATCCATTGAAGTAAATTCAGTGACCGGAGGGTCATGAAATCTGACCCCAGGTTGAGAGCTCATGATATCTGATGAGCTGATGCACTGATGAACTGATTGATAACTGATAACGTCGAAGTTCAACACATGGCCGGCGATTGCCGAAAGTTGAACGATGACCAAACAAACACAAACAATCAACGAATTTTCAACATCGTCCTTCAATTGTATTGTTTCTTTGAAACTTCATTCTATTGATAACAGATTTCACCCTGCTTTCAAATTCTCACATCTGTCAACTCCATCCAAATGTCTACTCAAGTTCAATCTACATTGGCCAACCTCAAGGCATCCACTGCTCAACTTGTGGGCATCATTGCCGGCGCCCGGCACATCCCGGCCGGCTCTGTGGACGTCCACCTTGTTCTAACAAAGCAGGTGACCACTCTTTTGGTATGTTGAACTTATTAAATTAGTGTAACATTAATGTTTGTAATGTCCGGGTAGGCTGACATCATCCGGGCCCATGAGAAAGGGGAGTACATCCCTGGAATTGTGGCGTCCTGCTCTAAGGAGCTGATGAGGGTGCGTTCCATGACTCCCCGGGCATTGCCCAACTGGCACAGCATTGGCCACGATGACCCCCGGGTGGCTAGACACGCCTGGCGCAAGCAAGTCCGTGCCTGGGAGGCGTTGGGCGACAATTCCTGTGATCTCCCTGTTGTCCCTAATGTTTCCACTGGCCCACTCACTCTCAACCTTCCATCTCCACCTGTCCCTTCACCTGCACCTGTCCCTTCCCCCACCCCCGTCATTCCCTCACCTCCGGTCGTCGCCGGACCTTCCGGCAAGGCGACCCCCGAGGTCCGGGACAAAGGAAAAGGTAAGGCCACCTCCGTCGACCTGTCGCCGGAAATTGGGGGGAGCAACAAGAGGAAGTCTCCAATGATTTCGGGACACTCCTCCCAACCTCCAAAGTTGGCGCTGAAGGCTCGCAAGCGTGTCAAGTCAACTCAACTCCCCAAGTCGAAGCCGTTTGTGGAGTTGGAAGATGATGAAGACCCAATTGTTCAGGTATGTGTTCTGGCTGATTTCTAACATGCTCTCAATTTGTTGCAGCCGATTTCGTGTGGAGTGCCGGAGGTCGTCCTTCCCCAGCGCACCATTGTGGTAAGGAAGCCCCAGTCGCCTCGGTCACCCAGTTCCCCCAAGAAGCAATCATTTGGGCCTGCTTCGGTAAGTTTGCATTTTTCGTTTGGACCTTACATATATGCTCATGTGTCCACAGCTGACTGCCGGCAGTCGTCCGGAGGTTACGGTGAGTCGTTTGGACATGTCCGGACCTCCCATGTATATTTCCCACTCATTCCCATTACATTAGAAATCTCCCATCAGTCGTCCATCTCCCATCAGTCGTCCATCTCCCATCAGTCGTCCGGAGGCTCCGGTCAGTCGTCCGGAGGCTCGGGTAAGTCTTAGAAGTTTTCCAGAAACTCATGTGTATTAACAATCTGTCAGGCAACCTCCGGCAGGCGTCCGGAAGTTGAGGAGGAGTCCTCCAATGATACTTCCAGTGCTTCGGATGGTGACCCGCCGGCCACTACCACATTTGATATCACCATTCCCGGCCCAGTGAGTACTCAAATAAATTCCCCTTAGTTCATGTACTAACGGATACTACAGAACAACCCCTGCCATTATTGTGTCAAGGAAAATTGGCCCTGTGCGACTCGATTGGACAAGAGGTCCAGCCTCCCCTGCATGTCTTGCATCCGCTGCTCCACCAAGAAGATCAAATGCATCCCTGCATCTCTGGGATCCCCGCCCAAACGGACCCGAGGGAAGTCTACCACCGGCCGGACACGTTCCAAGACACCCGCCCCTGCTCCATCCAATGCTCCATCTCCCTCCCGGTCAAGGGCCCGAACTCGTAGTCAATCTCGTGGCCCTTCCCGAACTCCGGCCATCCCTGCTGCAACTACGCCCCAGGTGCAGTCACGTGGTCGCAGCAAGACCATCACTACCAAGAAGACACCTGCACCTGCACCTGCACCTGCACCTGCACCTGCACCTGCACCTGCACCTGTTCCTGCACCTGTCCCTGCACCTGCGCCAGCTGGTAAGTCACCCATACTTTTCATGACCGGCTGACCTAATTTTTTACTGAGCAGTCAGGTCTTCCAGCGTCGCAGTGCCTCGTGCAGCACTCAATGTTCCCATACCGGATCTCCATTCCATGGCAATCGCGATTCGGGATGGTGCAGCTCGCATCGCTATTCTTGAGGCTCGGGTGCAGGAGCAGGACGCTAAGATTGATACCCTGCAACGCCTCCATGAGAGCCTCCGGCGCACAGTGGTCGACCGGCACCCTTCATTTTCACTTCCAGACACACCGGCCGATGGAATAATGTTGCTTGGTCAAGGAGGTCCCCCCCGTCCATGTCACCCCTCCCCTCCGCACTTTCCAACCTCATTGATTTGGACTTTTCAGTCATGCAACCTACACCCTTGACGCCTGAGCATGAATCTGCTGTGGTAGGTCCCATGGTTGAGCCCACCCAAGTTCAGCCTGAGGGTCCACAATCCTCCGGCGAAATTGATCTCCCTGATGAACCAGGCAACCTCCTGCCAGAATCCCCCGGAGATATTGTGGTCCCTAATGAACCAGGTAACCTCCTGCCAGAATATGATTCTTCTGATGAGGAGATGGATGTTGAGGGAAAGGTTGATCTTCCTGGTGAGGAGGTTGACATGGCTACATAATTGCTCAGTGATAGATGTACATAAATGTTTTTCCATGCATGTTACCTATGCCACAATTGAATCATTCAATGATCACTCCCTATATCCAGAACTCGAAACTGCAGATTGAGGTAGATATCACCCGAAACCCGAACACCCGAATGTCAAATTATCAGTGCCGAACCCCGAGTCCCGGGTGCCGGGTACCGAGTCCCGACACCCGGAACTCAGGATTTGTCATTTTAGACGAACGACATCTTCCAGACATGTTTAAATCAACCTATGTATATCTGTAAACATTTTACTAACCCCCAAACCCCAAACCGAGATGTACCAACCCCCGAACCCCGACACCCGAGACCCGGCAGTCTCGGGTCTCGGGTGTCCGGAACTCGGAACTGGGGAAAATTTGGGGAGATCAATACAATTTGATTCACAATCAAGTTGATTGACAACACATTGACTTAACTATGTTTGCAATATATTTTTGTTTAGACATACCAACCCCCGAACCCCGACACCCGAGACCCGGCAGTCTCGGGTATCGGGTATCGGGTGTCCGGAACTCGGAACTCGGGGAAAATTTGGGGAGATCAATACAATTTCATTCACAATCAAGTTGATTGACAAACACATTGACTTAACTATGTTTGCAATATATTTTTGTTTAGACATACCGAGTTCCGAGTTCCGGACACCCGATACCCGATACCCGAGACTGCCGGGTCTCGGGTGTTGGGGTTCGGGGGTTGGTATGTCTAAACAAAAATATATTGCAAACATAGTTAAGTCAATGTGTTGTCAATCAACTTGATTGTGAATCAAATTGTATTGATCTCCCCAAATTTTCCCCAGTTCCGAGTTCCGGACACCCGAGACCCGAGACCCGGCAGTCTCGGGTATCGGGTGTCCGGAACTCGGAACTCGGTATGTCTAAACAAAAATATATTGCAAACATGGGTAAGTCAATGTGTTGTCAATCAACTTGATTGTAAATTAAATTGTATTGATCTCCCCAAATTCTCCCAAGTTCCGAGTTCCGGACACCCGAGACCCGAGACCCGGCAGTCTCGGGTTTCGGGGTTCGGGGGTTGGTACATCTCGGTTTTGGGTTTGGCACTGAAAATTTGACATGTATATTTTTGTGAGTGTTGTGCTTCTGGTGTCCATGCTTAGAAATAGGATTTGTTGCACACCAGGGTTCAGGTGTGGGGTTTTTCCATTTCAGTCCTGGATTATTGGTCAATGCCACACATGATAGATTCATGTTTTTGTGCTTAGGGGTTTAGATTTGGTGGTTGATGGTAGGTATATGCACTCATAGTGTACATGTATCCTATGTGTTTGATTCGCTGGTGGCTACATCAGCTGTATGTCTTGATGGAACATATCTAGGCTCACCCATATATGTAATACACCCCCGTTGGCCCGCCCGTCTATGTATTATCCCCCACGTCGGCTGACCCGTCTATGTAATACATCCTATGTTGGCCCACCCGTCTATATAATACATCGTACATCGGCCCACCCGTCTATATAATTATACCCCACCTTGGCCCACCTGTCTATGTAATAAATATTTTATCGCACCCTCGGCCCACCGGTCTATTTGATATCCCTTTCGTCGGCCCACCCGTATATGTAATACATTCCACATCGGCCCACCTGTATATGTAATACACCCTACGTCAGCCCACCTGTCTATGTGATATTCCCCTACCTCGGCCCACCCATATATGTAATACACCCATGTCGGCCCGCCCGTCTATATAACAATATTTGCCTTACATCTCTCTTCAGCCCAGCTGTCTATAATATCCTACTCTACATATTACCCAGATGGGCCCACCCATCTCCATGAATGATCATATTCCCCCGGCCCATCCGTCAACATTAAGGATATATATATCATTGGCATACATGGGCCCACCCGTCTCCATCGGAAATAATATGTGTCCCGGCCCATCCGTCATCATCGAGAATATACACAACATGGGCCCATGATCAGTTGGCCCGTCTCATACGGGATATTATGGAGGTCGGGTGGCCCGTATAATACGGAATTTGTCACTGAAGGGGCTTGTGGGCTTTTGCCTTTCTTCCAGCCTTTGTTGCCCCAAAGTTATTTTTGAACTGATTGTGCAATTTCTGGAAGAACACATCAGCCGGACTCCAAAAAGGTCTGGGACAAACTTACCACTTTTTGGGCGTCTTCTGCTAATTTCATTTCATTAAGCTCCTCCAACGTCATAGGCCCTAATGCTGTGACCCCAGTCGGCCTCGGCTCGGGAGAGGCCTCAAACCAGTTTTCATAAAGGTCCGCAAAAAAGTTCCTATAATTACCACACTTTTCACTTTGCTTCACGAGGAACGCTTCATAGTATGGTTTGAGCCATTCCTCTTGTTCATCAGATGTCCATTTGGGAGGGGCCATCTAAATTTGTATTAGACTTTTTTATCAATAGCAAAACCTGACACTTACAATATGACACGTATAATGAGCTGATAAGTAAAGCGAGATGAAAATTTACGAGATGGCTGTACATATATAATAATATCCCACGCATGGGCCAAGATACTGGCATGGTAATGTTTGGCAGATAAGCCATAGTAATTTCGCAGTTGCTCAGCAAGTTCCTCACCTTCGAGAAGCCGTACACAATGTCAGTATGGGTAGCATGCTGTAACTTGATGAAACCAGCAATGGCTTGAACCACCTTCTTTTTCGTAGAAAGTTTAGGTTGTACTATATTACAGTTTGGGGCGGTTGAAAGACTGCATCAGGCATAAGGGGTCACGTAAACCTAGCTATCATCTATGTACCTGCGCCCACCATACTAACATGGTAATGTTTGGCAAATAAGCCATGAAACCAGCAATGGTTTGAACCACCTTCTTTTTCGTGGACGGTTTAGGCTGTACTGCATAGTACAGTTTGGGGCGGTTGGCATCAGGCATGTACCTAAGTGTGTGATTTAGGCTGTACTATATATAGTACAGTTTGGGGCAGTTGAAAGACTGCATCAGGCATAAGGGGTCACGTAAACCTAAGCGTGTATGAATATCCTAGATCGCCCACCGGTTGTCTTGATAAACCAACTCGAAGCTATCATCCCCTGCGCCCACCAGTCGCCTCGATAATACATAAACCCCTTAAGAATCGAGAGAAGTAGCTACTACCAAAGCGTTTGAAATAAAAAGGCCTGCTTAGCGTACAACTCCTCCAATTTTATGCCATTCACCAAAATAAAGGATAAGACATCTTCCAATGCCAACAGCATATCCTTAGCATCCTTCGTGGCTTGACAAGCACTAGTGTACCCTATACCGCTCTTCCCCTGCTGTGATAAGTCATCTTCAGCATCCTGTAGCTCGCTGAATATGTCTTGGACAACTCCAATAGCTGAACGAATCCTGTCGGACACACCAGTTGCCAGGTAATCGAGCAAGAGCTTGTTGATAACCTCTCGAGGCTCGCCTCCGAGATATTTTCGCAAGGGACCTTGCAATTTTTTCCTGAGTGATTTCAGCGCATCTGATGAAGTCTTGTCCCTGTCGACCCGAGCTGAGTAAAGGCATTCCATTTGAGACACGACATGAACGCAACTTACATGATATTGGATGAAGTCTTGTGGGGATTTGTGTTGTCCCTGTCTACCCGAGCCAGATATTTATCTTTCATCTTAGCACTAATCGTGGACTTATTACTGCCAGCGCATGCAATGAGTAACTATGTTAGCATAAGAGATCGATGTAAGAATTAAGCACATACCGTGCATAGTAAGCACGTTTGTGCATTCGTTTGGCCTCTTGACGTTCTTCCGGAGTATTGTAGAGCTTGGGTCGGGGCATTGAAAACAGTGATGAAATTGTGGGGTAGAAATTGAGTAGAGTTCCGTGAGGAGTTGTAATTCATTGTGTGTGGGACTTTTATAGGACCAATTCAACGCGATTAACCAGTGCTGGTATAGATAAATCACAGTAAGCCTAGCTGCATATTCAGGCTTCAGGACCTCAGATCTAGTAATTTCAGCATAAGCATCACCCATCAAATATGCAAGGCTGTATATGTATCACCATGAGCTCACTTGTCAACCTTGTTGATGTCGCTTCAAATCAGCAGCGGCGCCGGGTTTCAATCACATCAATACATAAACTGTGACCTCGTCAGATTCATCAATATTCGTTCAGCTCAATCTCAAAATTATTGGTCCATGAAGTTCATGCGTGAATGTGTGCAGGAGTGACTTGATTATGCGATATACAAAGCAACAAGAAGGCGACTATTCACAACAGTTACAACTATATAACAGTGAAGCAACCAAATCAGACTTTGGCAGCTTCGCCTCGTTCAATGGCTCTCCTCAATTTCTCCTCACCCGCTTCAAGTGAGTCAACCTTGGAGAAAATAGCGCGTGATACACCCTGAACTTTCGGTGTGACATTGTCCCTGGGAAAGTTTCAATGAGGCTTGCGGGCGGCTTGGACAACCTACCAGCCATTGAAGACTCCAATATAACGACCGCGCGTCACGCAGTAGTAAGGGGCACTAGGATTGGCCGCCGCAGGCATGTTATACAAGATGCCGTGGTAGAAGTAGAGGAAGCACTCGTCAGCCATGGCATCTGCTACTTTGGCGAAGAACTCGTGTGATTGCTCGATTACGGTAATTTTTGGCAACTTGTCACTGTAAGAGCCAAGGGTCACATAGACAGACAATGTATTTGGGTCGGCCACATAGTCTTCAGCAGGGATACCGGACAAATTGAGGCCACCATTGGATGAGGCAGTTGTCTTCAAGGATGGTTCACCAGGACCCTTTGTATTGGAAGACGCATCTGAGAATCAATCAGCATGCGAATCAATCGGTAAAGAAGCTAAGGAAATTTGTACATACCATCAGCAGTTGGAGCCATAATAGAAGTTGTCTTCAAGGATGTTTCACTGGGACCCTTCATATTAGAAGACACATCTGAGAATCAATCAGCATGCGAAACAATTGGTAAAGAAGCTAAGGAAATTCGTACATACCAGCAAAAGTTGGAGTCATAATAACATTGACAAGGGCCTTTGCCTGACCAGGCGTCAACCGTAGACTAGCAAGTAATTGGGAGATGGCATCTTTTGGTACCAATGTGAGTATAGTACGAAGCCATGCAAGCACCAATAGGCGTACCTATGACACCATCTGACATATTATCAGAAACTACAAAGGGCGGGGCGGAGGGAGAGGTGTCAGCTTGAGGGACAGTTGATTGAGTCATTGCGACAGTAGAGTTGGGTTAATTGGTTGGTTGGCAATGTCTCGTTAAGTAGTCAGTTGATGGTTCAGTACATGGAGGTAGCATGGTTGAAGATGTAGCCGGAGTTGAAGAAATGGAAAAACAGTTCAAGAATCAAAGGCAGATGGGTCGAGGGAATATGAAAGAGAATGTTGTTTGGCTGTGATGAGCCATGGAACTCGACCCATTAGGCAAGGACAAGGTGTACGTAGGACAGCACTGGTGAATCTGGAACTGTGGGAACGTCTTCGATTTGGTAATGACTTTGTACATATGATGATACTCATCATGCATTGCAGTTCTTTCTGGTGCTAGAAGCCCTTACTCATCGCACATTGTGGTTCTTTCTGGTGCGGTGTCCTTTTTTGCTGCTTATTGACGTTTCCTCCCCTTGAAATAGCATAGAATCAGACATACATGGGTAAGTGCCAGTATTTGTATGACTCAATGTGCATGAGCGCTACGCTAATTACATGTATAGACATTAACCGTGTCCAGTGTGACAAGTTCGGAAATGTAGTGCCCAGGGCACCTAGGATATATCCTCGGAGTCGATGGATTCTCGCATATGGTGAGTCACTCATTGCATGTTGACCACTGGGCCTTGACGCAGCCTCTTAGACATGTCTAATCTCAGAGGCCGCCCTTCCAAGCGTCCAAAGCTTATTCGACACGGAGGTCATAGTGCCTCCGCTGAGCTTCATACGCGCCATCTCAGCTTTGCCCTAAGATCCGATGGTGGATTCGGCCTCCGAACGTCTTATCTTCCTGCTCCAGCACCTGCCGTAGAACCTGCAGAAGCACCATCTCACGTATCCGCTGAGATTGACCCATGGAATGAGATGGAGCACAGTGCTATATTTTCTCCAGAAGACCTTCAGCCAGGTGACGAACCGAGGCCATGAACACGCCGATGGACACCAGGAGTTTGTCCTTTAGTTTAATCAGTAGCACTTATTTTAACCGTAAATTTGCAGGATGACCCAATCCTCCTTTGGCTAAATGAACGTGAAACTTACTTGAACGAGCTTCTATACCTGGAGGGTCGGGGAAAAAATGACCATGAAGCATGTTCTTGCGGGAAACCTTCGCCCTCTTTCAGATGTCAAGATTGCTTTTCAACGGAGCTATTTTGCCATGAGTGTGTTTTGTCATTGCATGCCAGTGCACCACTCCATAGAATCGAGGTTTGTAAGCTATCTATTGCTCTTTGCTAGTTCTCTTATCATCCACCACTGTTTAGGAGTGGAAAGATAGTTTTTTTCACACCACATCGCTCAAACATCTCAGTTTCCGCATTCAGCTAGGTCACAAGCCAGGGGAATCTTGTCGTCGCCCACGCCCCGCCTATGACAATGATTTCGTTATCATCGACGTTCACGGTATACATGAAGTCAGCCTTGACTTCTGTAACTGCGAGCACGAAGCCCCGCATTTCAAGCAGCTCCTTTGTGCCCGGCTTTTTCCTGCAACGGTTACGGATCCTCGAACGGCTGCGACATTTAGCGTGCTGGATCTCTTCCACTTGTTATCTTTTGAGTCTAAGGTCTCTGCGTATGAATTCTATCACAGCCTTGCACGGAGGACGGATAATACTGGCATACGGCCAATTCGAGTATGTTACATTTACATTGCTTTTATAAACAAGTACACTGATATATGTTTTTCAGGATCGATATTCTGTCTTTCTAAGAATCATGCGCGAATGGAGGAACCTCAATGCACTCAAGCGTGCTGGCCGTGGGCACGACCCTGCTGGCCGTGGGCACGACCCTGCTGGCCGTGGGCACGACCCTGCTGGCCGTGGGCACGACCCTGCTGGCCGTGGGCACGACCCTGCTGGTGTGGATGCTACTCAAGAAGGAGAACTCACTGTTTTATGTCCTGCGTGTCCCCACCCAGGCATAAACTTGCCCCCAAATTGGGAAACTTCAGATCGGCAGTGAGTGTTTGATTTGATGTGCTACGAACATATCTAACAGCTTTTAGATGGCTCTACGCAGGTTTCTTTGCAATTGACGCCAATTTCCGTCTCAAGCGCCGGCTTGTCTCCTCCGATGCCAAAGATCCAGGGCTCACACGTGGTTGGGGTTATTTTGTTGAAGAACACCAGTACAAGACTTACTTGGCTGAGAACTCAGGCGCTGTTCAAGAGGTAAGATTTTGCACTCAATGTTTTATCATTATGATTGACAAACTCCTCGTTCTGACAGAAAAGCACTTGCGTTAGTCACAACGCCGTCAACATGGCTGATACCAAGGCTTCGAAGGGTCTGGCTGCAACCGGTGTCGGGACAATTGATTGTGCCCGACATGATATGAAATTGCCCAATGGTGTGGGCGATCTTCAAAAGGGTGAAAAGTGCGTACCTTTCTTTATGATGTCGTTCTAGTATTCATTGTGCTACAGATACCTGAATATGGACTATATTGTATTTTCAGCCCTCACCAGGTTCCCTCATCTCACTAATGTCAATCTATCGTACGATATCGCCTGCCAGTGGCACAAGAAGCTTCAGGGCCGCATTCCTGGACTACCCATCAGGCTCCAACCTGGTGAACAGCGGGACCCGCTCTTAGAGATATCCAGCACATCTGCAAAAAAGATGTTCAACTTCTTCGTGCCTAAATTCCATCTTGCAGCTCACATTGAGGCTTGTCAGACTGCGTTTTCATTTAACTGGACTCCGGGCGTCGGTTGAACTGATGGTGAAGCACCTGAACGTGGATGGGCCAATATCAACCGTGTGGCTACAAGTACCAAGGAGATGGGCCCTGGCTCCCGCCGCGAGATTTTGGATGACTTCTTTGGAGATTCAAACTGGAAAAAGATCACTGCTCTAGGTTCGTATTTTTTTCCTCTTAGAACTGGGTTTATCACTGACGCCTGTAATCAGGCAGAATTATGTCGAATAAACTTAAGGAAGTGGTCAAGGCAACGCAAGAACACAAGCTTGCATTCGAAGAGCTTGAGAATTCTATTACAGAGTCTGACTTGGGTGTCTCGTCACTAGCAACATGGAAAGCTGAGATAGAGGCTTGGGAGACCAACCACACTAAGCCAAATCCTTTTGAACACCGAGTCGACAGTGAGTCACACCTTATGAATATTTCAAGTAGTGTTAAACTCCTCGTAGCTATGACACTTGCAGCTGTATGCCTCAAACTCGTGCAACGAGATGCCAGGGAGTTGGAAGAAGGGACCACAATTTCCCTTCATGCAGAGTTATCTTGTAGCATGCTTATTAGTACAGGTATCGATCTCGAACATGCGCAGTAAGGATCCTATAGTAATGTGTTGAATTTGTACTGATATATTTCCAGGCGTCGTTTACGCGCAGATACTGCTTCACTGGGTCGGCATGCAACAGACACCCAACGCACAAAGATTCTCACCCGTAGCAGTGTACTGCAGCACTGCATCGATGTTTGGACCGGCATTCAAACTTTATATATGCCCTCAGTTGCCAACTTACGTGCAACGGGCTTCACCAACTCCAGGAGTGACGATAACGATGACAGCAGTTGCCCGAGGCCAAACTTTGACTCGGGGAAGGCAGAAGACGTTCAACTCTTGTTACCTTCTGAGATGTGCAGTCTGGTGCCGTGCGATCAAAAGCTCCTCGAGGCTGAATGGTCTCTCCGCATGGCACAAGCCCATGATGCACTCAATGAGTGCCGTTCTCATATCCGCCTCCATTGTCAACTCATGCAATTCAAGCAACAACATATCCGCGGGCAAGGTGCAAATACTCGAGCGAAGAAGACACTGGACGCTGTGGAAGACCATCTTATCATTAGTCACGCCAAGTATGTGTGTGCGTGCAAGGCGCTCGTAGCTCTCTCAGATCATGTCGACCATATTGGCTGGGAACGGAAGCTGCAGCCACTCAAGAAGTCCCATCTCCGGCCCATACGGGATTTCACAGGACAGTCGCAAGGGACTGCAATCATGTCTTGGATCTGGTTGACGTACGGGATGTCGGATGACGATAGCGAAGGCTTGCAGGATTGTGAGTCCTTGTATTGATCTATCATACTCTACTGATTGGAATTGCTAGCGCTTCGCATTGAATGGTGTAAAGCCAGGGCGCGTCGTGATAGGTGGGGCGAAGAAATTCAGCTTTTGCTGGAAGAGATGCAACATATTCTGCTCTTTCTCGACTGGCAAGCACGTCAATGGGACGAGCGCACAGGTGCACGAGTACCACAAAGACCTGAAGACGTCGAGGGTGTGGTCGCATATGCTAAGAAACAGGTGTTTATCTGGCGCAGCCTATCTGAATCGTTCAAGGAGAAATGGAGGCAGGTTCCAGTATCGATGGCTTTGGGTGATGATGTAGATGACGGAGAGGGTGAGTGTCCTTCTCTTGATACCCCTCCTCAAGAAGATTTGGCACATGATACGTAGTATATTTATATTCGCTATTTGTACCTTTGTACCTTGATATGAACACTTTGTTTGGCGCAATGACTTCGTTTGATGCGGTCCCTGAGCTTCCCTGAGACGGGGGAATGGTTCCTTAGATCGTTTACTAGATTAGGCCATCAAGAAGACTCACTTCAGTGGGCTTCGTGGTCTTAGACGGTGAGTGGCTGACAACGGCGGAGAGGTACCTAACACGGAGGGGCTTAGATAATATCGGAGGGGCTGGATTACTGATAGATAGTTACACAGAGGGGATATATCTTAGGTATGGATAGGTAGCTTATTGGATGTATGAGGGTTTTATGCTTATTAGCCAGTTTGATATATCCTTCCCCCAATACGAGGTGTTCATTCGACCAATTTGAAGAAAGCCCTTCTAGATATGACTGATACCATCGTGATCATCACTTCACGAATGCCTAACCCCCATGTTCCATCATATACCATATACTGTAGCATATCATCACCACCAACACTATTCCCACTGGTTTTCAACGTTCAACTTGCTACATACCTAGGCTACCACCATTGTAAATCTCAGTCTCGTCTAACCACCAACAGCGCGCCCATTAATGCCGTCCCCTTGCATATGTATACTGTATAGTAGCACCTAGTACCCCAAACCGGCAGAATACACCTTACACAAATCCACCCTCCGATTGTCAATTGATACTTTCCATGTGAACTATACTTTCCATGTGAACTATATATATGTTCTGCAAAGATCTCAGATATGATTGATCGGGAAGGCCTCGGAAAGTACCGTAAGGGTGGCGCAGCCGCAGTCTGCCATGTTTATTTTGTCACTACAGACAACAATATATGGTTCAATTCATTGGTACCTGCATCGGATATCTTTATCAACTCACATCTTGATAGTACCCTTCCTAGTCCAGCCGCTGCAGATGACGCGCTCGTGGTTGGCGTGATGATTGTGTGTGTGCGTGTGCTGGTGAATACCTGGGTAGAAGCCAAAGCATGCAGATATATTTCGTGAGTTCTATCTATTTCTGATGCCATACTGGTAGGATCTATGCTAATGGAGCCACAGTGTTCAATAATACGGAGGAGTCGCTCCAGGATGGCTATCACTTTTTCTTGACCCAGCATCCTATTGTGTCCATGTGTGTCCCATGGTTATCACTCATGTTGCATCTCACCTTACATTATTCTTCCAGTGTCCGTGCTGTCATCAATTTGGAAGGTCGGCTGTTCACATATGAGACACCCGTTCATGCAGCTGACATGAGTCTGTAGCTGCTGATACCTCAGGCCCTGAGCTTCTGTTCCAGGCGACGTCTCACGAGATGATTCAGGCGTATTCCCATGTGCCTCGGTCAGTGTTATTGCTTTTTTTCTTTTGGTCTCAGTGCCAATGCAAATGTACACAGACCATACGGAACTATCTTTACAAACGAGATCTTTAGCTCGGGTGTGCTACTCTCTGAGTATGTTTCTTTGTCTTCCCCTTACTTCTTACACTAATATTCATGTTGTCGGCTGTAAGCACTGATTTCCGGCAGTTTGAGTACCACTTGAACGTCACCGGGCTTGACATACATCTGACCTTTCGTCTTTCTACAACTGTCTCCTGTTTCTCTTTTCGTTGGTCAAGTTTTCAACTCTAACTGCACGTAAGTGGCAGTTGTATACTCGTACCACATGCGCGAGGTATGCAACTTGACAAACTAAAATATCGGGATATACTGATGTATTACAGAATCTGGTAGAACACATTGAGGCAGGTGTTGCACAGGTCTGTTATCCGAACCTCCCACACCTGATGTGATTGATTATTGTCTCCCTCACTTCAGCACATGGCCGAGAACACATCTGCGCTCATTGAACATCTCGCCTCACCCGCCTCACCGTTACCAGGGCTCGCTTCAGGCTACGGCCGTCCTTGCACCGTCTTCTTTACGTACCTTGGCGTATTCTTCGTTTACTCGTTCCACACAGCTAAGGTGCTGTACTCGCTAGTTTTTATTTCCAGTTGACTGTGTTTGTCAGAAGCGCTAGCGGGCCCAGTGAAAGAAGTGCAACGATGGCGAAGGCATTATTTTCTGTGGTCTTAGGAGGCCTGGGAGCTGTTGTTGGAGCGAATGTCGTTGCGTTTATGATGCAGCAGGTGTCAGGTTTGGGGAATGGGCTGGTTCAAGGGCGAATTTGGGCCGTTAATATTGTATGGCCCTGCAGTGATGTGCGGTGCGTGATTTTACTTCAACGTGTGCTATAATTTTCCACGCCAACCTATTCTCAAATTGACTCGGATCTTATGTTGTGTTTTGCACTCAGAAGTATGTCTATTTCGTTTTTTCAATGCCTTGCTGGCGTCATGACTCACACAAACTTATCCACACAGGAGTACTCATAACTACTCATAACTCAACTGCCATTGGCCCCAATCCCTGAAAAAGCCATCTTCCATGCGCAACTCCTTGCCTATGCATTCTTAACTGTAGCGGGCCAGTTCGCTGGGTGATGCGAAAGGAGCGGAGGATGGGTGCAATATGGTAGATAAGCCGGAGGCCAAAGTGAGCCTGTGGACATATGCTCTGGGCCAGACCATCCCACTGTTGACGGGGATTCAACTGACTTCTGCGACTTTGGTTGTGTTCGTACCGCTGGCAAGTGTTTTGTGTTTCCATGGGCCTCCCTCATACTCCTTTCACAGACTTGGCATATTGGGTCTCAGGCTCCAGCAGAACACATGATCGCTTCCATTGTGGCAATCTTGGGTTCTTACACACTTAATTTCACCATGTCATTCGTTCACCAATTTGATCTGCCTGCTCTGCGTAAAGCAGTCACAATTTTGCTCCTTGTAGTGGGCATAGTGAGAAAGGAGGTATTTGATCCTCAAAAGAGGCTGTTTGTTCTCCATAAGGAAGACGTAAGCGCTAGTTCCCCTGCGGCTCAACATTGCTCTCCCTTCATACATACATGGCATGTCCTAAACATGAGGATTTGGAACTTGCGCCCGTCAGGAAATTACTGAAATTTGAACCAAACACGGTCACGTGCACCGCCTTTCATTGACTTGCGTCTGATCGCCAATGTCACTTCAGCAAGCTTTTCTTTTGCATATGCCAGCCTCACTCAAATAGATCCCAGTTCAAGAAAAGAGTCTGAGCAGATACTAACTGTTTAAGATTATGATCCAGCGGACTCAGCCCTGTTTGTCCAGCGCACTTACCTTCATTTCCTATGGCTTCCTTGTGTACGTCCTGCTCTAACCGCTCTATATATTTTCTAATAAAATCATATTCAATCAAGCTGTTCTCTCTCTTTATTCCATCTTTCTATCGCATCCAAGGAACTCCAGATCTTGCAGAGGACCAGTCACATCCTATTCACGCCTTTATCTTTATCGAGTTCTCCTTTCTCTTCGCGCAGCCACGAACAAGTACCATAATGAGCTTCCTCAGATTACAGAAGACGGAGGTGGTGCATGCGAAGTAGAGGAGAGCATGATTTGGTATGCTTTGGGGTAAGAGAAAGTCGACGCCAGTGCAATGGAAGTCTGGTTGGCTCTAGCGCATGGAGAAGCGTGAGTGAGTGAGTGCTTTTATCTTGCTTCTGGGGACATCATAACGACTTTGTAGAGTTCAGATTCATATACTCAAGCTCTCTCTTCGAGTCTTCTTGGACCATGCACCCCATTACCACCCTTCGAGGTGCCACCCACCGAATTTGATCGCCCCGTCCTCTATCAAGTGTCTCGAGTTCTTCATGAACAAAATCTCAATGCGGCAGCTCGTATCACTCATGAAACAATTTTTATTTCAGTCATTTACAAACTGTCATTTTAGTTCCTCGATCCCGCTCTCAGAGACTACTAGCCTAGTTGAACTCATGAACTCAATCAGTTTGTTCGTGTTTGTTTCTTTATCTTGTATAATCATGAAATTCATTCAATTTGATTATTACAATGTGATAGCCTGGATACAAGTGCTAAGGATTACAAGGCGCTCCAGGGCTTCTGAAAGTTCCAATTCTGACCGTCTTTGAGCCTGGCGCCTGTCTAGCATGGGTAAGTGTTTGTCTACAAGATGTATTCAATCAGGACCAGCTAGTGATGTTCGTCAGGCAGGCTGTATTTAGTATGGCCCGGGAGGTGTTCGCTAATTATATCCTGTCTTGATGTCATCAAATCACATCAACGATCAGCGTGAGAACAAAATCACCTAGCAAGTCTCACTATGGCTCTGACGGTACGTCGAAAAACAAGTTGAGACGAACCCGTGTACTCAGCATGCTCTCATACAAGACCCTAACATTCGACCACCAGGAGCTGCTGAAGTGCAGCATCCCTATCTGGCCAACACAGCTTCGGCGATACACTGAAACGGCACTACTGTGAGCATGCATGTTACTAGGAGGAACAACAAGAACTCACTAAATCCAATAGGGAATCTTTAGGTCGTGATTATATGGTGCAGGAGATGCAAACCGATTTTCCTCAGTTCATCTTTCCCGTTTCTGACAGCAACAATTTGACAGCAGGGTCGATAGGCGTGAAACACGTGAGGATTGGGAAGAGAGTACTCATCCGTCAGGAGCTACATTTTATTATAATAAAACAATGGTGAGCACCGTGATCTTTAATTTGCAAGTTGCAAGTTGCACGCTCACTATAGAAATATAGAGGACATACACCAAAATGAACCTCCGGACTTGTTCGGACGAGCAGCTCCAGAGGCTCAAATCTTGGATTAACGCATCTAGAGCTAAATTACGTGGAAACTCGTGGTTTTTAGTCGTTGAACAGATGTCAGTAAGAGGCAAGGAGATCTATCCGTATTACTACGTGGTACCGGAGAAACGCATTATTACCTGGCTAGAGCCAGTAGATGGTTATCTTCTTTTCCAGGAATGCATGGCAGCGTGGCATTGGAACCACAAAAGTACATTATTTTTTCGTGTTATCCTTCTTAAAATTGATCTTGCAGGACTCGAGCTTGAGGCTCAATTCTGGTGAGCAATGTCGTGTCAAACTGATCCGAACGTTTTTCATTATTTGACCAGGAAACATATCGAATATTTTCCAGTCAAGATCATAATCAGTCGCGAGGAAGTAAGAGCTTTACAGGCTCAATTAAACTGGTATCGTGTAGGCGAGTTATTTGGCATCGCGGTACTGGATCAGATTGACTGAGCGATAAACAGAAGCGTTGGCGTTGGAAAGATCTACAGCGGCTTCACTATTCTGGAATCTGGATCAAATGAAGGAGATGGCCTCTGAGCTGGCCATTGCTGGTACGTACCTTCTTCTCAATCTGCATCGTCAAGTCGATGACGGAAGGACAGTGGAACTCGCAGGACCTGATGGGGTCGCGGATGCACCAGGTGTCGCAATCTGTGGTACGTATACCTTAGAATAATGGGTCATTAATAATAGGTTGACCTTGTTACTCATGAACAGCTAAATTATTCCATATAATCCATATGATGTTCCTTTTCTGTACCAGACGAGATCAAACTGAACAGTCAAGAAGGGCATCATGAATACTTGAATCACTACGGCCAACCCGAAGCTCGCTTGATGCGAACGCACTCACTAGGCGAGCGACATGGAAATCTAGAGAACTCTCGTGTCATGACTGGCGTTTCAGTCACAATGCTCTGGATTCCGATAATGGTACTTAAACGTCTTCAGAGTATCTACGTCGATGGTCTCGTAAGTGGGGTGGACATCAAGAAATTCACGGACGATTTCAACGCACAGGCTAAAGCCCAGACAACCGTGGTAAGTGCTATGTCGTACACCCAAACGAGAATACTCAGTCTCTGTCAGGCAAGCGTTATCATGGCAGTCGATGCCAGCATTCTGGCCATCCCAGGTCTGGGTTCACAACTCGCTACAAAGGCGTTGTGTTCCGTCTCATTCATCCTCAGTGTTTACTGCATTGTCGCATGTACGATAGCACAACAGTTCAGCTCCAGAATGAGATCCCTGGACTTTGCGGTTCGTTTTATTTACATTTGTGCAACTTGACCTTATGTTCCCGACTGAATAGGTATACTACATGCAAGGAAAAATGATCAATCTTGTGATCCTTGCGAGCATACCAAGCTTTATGTATCTGATGAGGTAAACAACCCTTCAATCGCGATCACTTGCTGCTCACAAGACTACTCCAGTTTGGCATTTTCTATTCTTGGATTCCTCGCAGGTATCTTCACGATTGAATTTGGGCTAGACGTATCTGCAAAGATCGGATGTGTGTTGGCCTTCATTGTCGGGGCAAGCTTCACGATTCCATTAGTGATCGCCAGTTTTGGTCCCGGACTAATTCGATAATGAGGAACGGGAGTGGTGCATCTTACTGAACAACGACCAGTCCTGACATACAGGATCTTCGCGTCTTGATAAATTGCATGATCATTGCCTGTAACTCTGTCAGCATTACTTTCTCTCTTTTACCGTGATTTCATCTTTGCAACTCGTACATTAGATATCTGCACGTTCAGCTTGGGTCAAAGCCTTCAACAATGCACACATTACAATGAAGCTGCTGACCACTTCACTGCCATTGTCAACTCCACTACTTACGCTGACCCATCACGCCCCAATTAATACAGGCTGACCTGGATGGTGACATAGTTGATCAGCATCGAGCCCTCATCTCCATGGGCTTTGCCCTCTGGTCTTTAAGTCGACATCGAAAAAGTGTAAGACAATAGATAGGGATAGCCATCTCATTACTGACTACTACGAGTCCGTGTAAGTGCAAAATGCACAAGAGCGTTGCAATAAGATGTAGACAGGTCAGAATGAAAGCAAGGGTGGGCACAAAAGTTTCACGACATCTCTCCTATGATACGTCGAGATCCGGCAGAAGCCAAAAAGATCTCGAAAACCCCGCAGCGCGTCCCACACCAGTGAGCTATGTGCCTGATCTCCTTGATAAGATTCTTCTGGTCGATACCGACCTTCGCCAGCATCGTGTCCCTCTTCTTGACGCTGAACAAGGGGGTGTTCACCAGTTTCCAAGGAATGAGAGTGTGGAGGAATCTGCAGACGCAAAGGGGATCGGGGCCAATCACGCGAGGGGCGTGAGTAAGCTAATTTAGGAACAGGAGGCTCAGGGCTTAGGATGCGTAAGCTCGACGGCGCGACAAATAGTGTCTAGCTGCTTGTTTCTCCTGATGGATAGTACTGATATAGCGAGGGTGGTATGGATAAGGGCAGGGGGAGATCGGATGCCGAAAAGTAATAGGTATTGGGTGAGACAGTATTCTCCACGTAGTGAGGAATTGGTAAACAATTGTCGTCCAAAAAGTGACATTGGGGAAGAGAATGTCCACCTCGTCTATAAATGCATCTGTGTTAGAGAAGGTGTTGACTGGAAGGAACGAGTAGACCACGATCCAAAGGACCGTGACAAGGGATGATCCAATGCTGACGACCCAAGCGATAGAGGTCCAGCTAAACTAAGTAATAATTTAGCGTTATCAAATCAGCACGACAAAGTGTACTCATTAGTGAGTGTTCACCCCGACATGGGTTCGCTACAAAGATTGTCCCGAAGTCCGCGTGAAGGCCTGATCGATAGGGTGAACGAAGAGATTTGGCGTGCTAATCCCGGTCAGCTACAAACGAACGATGGGATCGTTTTCCTCACCCTGGAGAACCAAGAGTTGTGTAGATGCTTGAGGATTTCTATGGTGACAATTTAGAGAGGGCAAAGTGCGCCTCTCTCACACTTCATGATGTGCGAGCGGATGCCATTTATTAGCAGGATAAGATGCCGTTGTGAGTGTCGACCCAGGTGCGTGGAAGTGAGATAGTACATCCTTGAGGATGCACTCGAGGTGGCGGATGGCACGTTGGAACGGGAGCTTGGTGGCGCTGACTCTCTCGCCAAGAATAGTCATGAGGACGTAGAGAAGCTCCTCGACCATGCTCAGAAGATGGACGCCCTCATAAGGACAGTTCTCGACTTCACCGCAGAAAAATGACAGGAGGCCGAAACGGTTGAGGATAGAGACAATGATGGTATTGGGATCGAGGATGATGAGAGATGACTGGAGGATGAGCAGGTCTTGGTCGTAGCAGAGCCCACACAGCACAAAATAGCGGTAGTGCAGAAATTAGCCACGGATAGGGAAGCCGTTGCGGACCCATAATCCTGCCCTGATCTGGGCGATCATAACGAGCACCGCGAGGCCATGGCTACTAGACCAGCTGCAATATCGATGAGCTCATTTTACCTGGCAAAGGGAAATCAATTAATACCTTCATCGAAGTTCAAGAGGCGCAAAAACAAGCCCCGGACACTAGACACCTCAATCTGCTTCAACAGATCTGCAAGGAGCCAGTGAAAGGAGGGATTGAAGCTGGTGATGATATGCTACAGTATATGGTATATAATGGAACATGGGGGTTAGGCCTGGTACGTTGAAATCGATGATCTAATGAGGCGAGAAAGTGGAAGTGTTACGTCGAATACACTGATCCACACATCCGTCTCATACTCACGGCGACGCGCTTGTTATGGGTTGATATTGAAGACCTGGAATACCATGACAAACTTGTTGTATGAAGGCTGGGTGACGAGCGATGAGCTGTTGGACAGGCCAGTTGTGGCAGAGATAGCCTGTTTCTAGGACTCGGAGATCACCAAAGACGGGCATGACTCGGAAGTATTTGCCTGTGAATGAAGGGCTTTCAACGTCTATGCTTTTTTGAGCAGGAGACGTGGTGAGGATGTGCTTGCCTGGAGTGCGGTTGGTGAAAAGGTTGATAGTGCGACGTGATGTCGAGCACTATGAGTACGGTTGGTTACTACTGTTTATTACCAATACAGGGTGACCGAAGTCCTACCGCCCAATCGGGATTTGTGACAGTACTGCTTTCTATACTGTTGAGTATTGTTTGGATCATTAGTTGACACATCCATATCACGTTATACTACTCTACAAACCCACCCATTGTGCAGCCCGATAAGGAAGCTTAACAGTAAGTCTTCGATCCCGATCAGATCTTATAATATATAAAGAATATTCACGCTAGATGTCTCGCGTTTTTCACTCACCCAACTTTGCACACGATGATTGCGTAAGTTCCTTCATCTCCAATAAATTTAACAACCGACAATCGCGACAGACACACCTTGAGTTCCTTGCCAACATGGTAAGGTGTTTACAACTGTTGGCCGACATTGCCCCTGACATGGATCCGAGACGGCGTCTAACCACCGCACGTCACTACAAAACAGAATCAAACAATTACTGCGTATGTGCGCCAGCGGTTGCGCTCACGTGGCACGACGTCTCGGTCTCAAGATCTAAGTAAGTTCGCGTTCGATCTTATGTCATATATATGATAATAATGACCGCGATGTGTTATACAGACCATAGCTGTCGAACAAAGATTCACAGATACGATAGATATACGCCACATCCACCAACATACCCCATTACTACTGTAACCGCATGCCCAATCATGCAATATGCAAGCCATGTATCATACCAAAATGTCCACATAACATACCTATAGACATACATACAGTTGTGTACCAAGAGTTGCTGTGTATCAATATCATACTGTACAATCACACATAGATCTTGCTGATCTGAATCTGAATCGTATTGTAACATGATCAGTTTTTTACGCTTATTCCGAATCTTCAAGATTCAAGAGAATCGGATAGAAATAGAGCGAGATAATGTGCAAACGTTCATTACATGCATTTTATTTGGAATTTGACGCCGATGCGATGCACCCTGCCGCGGACTCACTCACATTCGGCATGATTACATAAAGCTGATGCTCGCGCTTTCGGACCTAATGTCCTTTATCCGAATAACCAGGCGTCCTTGTCATTTTGTTGCATCTAGATTATCATACTCATAACTCGACTATGGAAGAAGCCATGGACACATTTGAAAGCAATTGCGTCGATCTTGACACTTTCAGGTACCCTCGTGCGCATAAGATCGCTATCGGTATGGCAATACTTATTTTGACATTAATATTGTCCAGTATACTGCTAGCATGCATGATGCGGTACGCTTCGTTTATCTACCGACTTTATTGTTCTGACTACCCTTTCTAGATTCAATCCGGGTCTCAGATGGCAGGCCTCACCTCGGTCCTCTCGCTCAATATACAGATCGCACCCGCCACCGGTAGCCTGTTATTTTCCTCATTCGAAAAAGCTTCTAACGTCTTAGATGTCCTCTCCAAAGTTGCATCCCTTGTGTATCGAAGAGTCACCGAGCTGTGTCGTCCAGTCCCATGACTAGCCACGCTAAACCACACTTTTAGACGTTAACGGTACGATGAAGACATCAACTTTAAGGACTGAATTGGATGGTCTCGTTGCACCACAACGGGTTGAACGGTATCCTAACTTCTGATGTTTCACTTTGATACTCACTAAATTATACAGGGTCTCGGTAAAACATCGCAGACCATCTCTTTCCTTCCCTACTTGGAACATCATCGCGATACTCTTGGTCCCCATCTGATTGTTGTCCCCAAATCCACCCTTCAAAACTGGGCTCGCGAGGTCGGACAATGCAAGTTTGTTATACGGACAAGGACATGAATACTGAAGTTCGGTACTATAGCGTGAGTATTGGTATGTAATTGTATAATTTCGCGATGTACTAGGCCAAAGGACATGCACTAAAGGTCGGTGCTAAAGTGTGAGCATGTAATGAATAAATGCAGACAGCACCGAGTGCCAACGTAGCGTCCAGAGCACGTGCCCTGGCATCCGTTTTTGGACAAATTCACGAGGACCAAACGAATGGCAGCGAGACGATAATATACGAAGTACCTGGGACGTATTGGCTCAGGAATAAAACAGGATGTCATGAGAATGTGTACTTACCACCACGTTGTTCTGTTGATAACGCAGCGTTGGACAAGGTCTTCTGGGAGAGTAGGCAGCCAGTTCAAGGCCTTGTCCAGCGGGACCCGAATATCAAGGTGGGCGCAACTATCGCGACCGGCGACCACTTCATCACCAGTGAATTCAAAAAATACGTCGCTCATGATATTCAAGTCCAATAACATCTTCTCCTGCGTCTTCTTCTCCAAAAGCTCTTTGGCTCCACGCTGCCGGAATACTCCAGGGCTCAGTGAATACGTCACATTTTTTTCGGTGCGATACGCCTGTATATATGATATACCATCTGCGCGGGCGACAGTGGTCGTATTTGCACGAAAGCCGGCGAATTCTTTGATTTGTAAATGGCGATCAGCGTGGAACGCCGACTTTTTCTTCATCAAGCGATCGATGCGGTCAGGGCCTGCGTCAGGCGCAAGAAAGTTGAGGATCTCTCGGTAAGAAGACTCGCGCCAGGTGGCAACATGCCCTGGCAAGCCAATCGGTAGTGCAACATCCTCGTGCACAAAATATGCATCCTTGAACTCGTCCTGAATATAGTCAGGATCCATAACTACCAGTCACTTAATCGAACGTGTCTTACCTCAGGGTCGTATGCGAGACTCTTGAGATAGTTGTCCTTGATCAACCTCTCCTTGAAAGGAGGGACGGGCCAGACCGACAATGCCGTTGTGTAAGGCAACGAACGTGATACCCCGATCACAGAGTCAATGTCGCGAGTGATGGTGGTTTCAGGTCGAGGAGGAACATGGGGAATGCCTTGCTGGGCATTCAGGGTGATGCGGCACTGGTCGATTTCCTCATCTGCCTCTGGCCCGATCCTACCTGCCAATACGAAACGGATGAAATCGATCTCTGACCGACGATCGTCTCGCACGCGCGTGAACATGTCTTGAGATTGGCCGAGGAATTGGTCCAGTCTGAATTGGACAAGGTCATCGACCTCGTCTGGGTACTCATCCTTGAACTCGTCCTTAATATAGTCAGGATCCATAACTACCAGTCACTTAATCGAACGTGTCTTACCTCAGGGTCGTATGCGAGACTCTTGAGATAGTTGTCCTTGATCAACGTCTCCTTGAAAGGAGGGACGGGCCAGACCGACAATGGCGTTGTGTAAGGCAACGAACGTGATAATCCGATGACAAAGTCAATGTCGCGAGTGATGGTGGTTTCACGTCGAGGAGGAAGACGGGGAATGCCTTGCTGGGCATTCAGGGTGATGTGGCACCGGTCGACTTCCTCGTCTGCCTCTGGCCCGATCCTACCTGCCAATACGAGACGAATGAAATCGATCTCTGACCGACGATCGTCTCTCACACGCGTGAACATGTCTTGAGAGTTGTAAGGACGTGGGTTGTCCGGTGAACGGGCTCAAGAACGTGCAGCAGCTGCAGCTGCAGCTGGAGAGATTAAGAGAGAAGGAGTGGAAGGGGGGGGGGAGCGGTGGAGACGACTTCCATTGCGCCTCTGCACTTTAGATTTTAAGTCAGTCGCTGCACATCCGATGGTCCGATTCTGACGTACTTACTAGTAGTTTATCGCCTATGATGGCGTCCCGTCGTGTGCACGGATCTTAAACGCAAGATTTGGATAGGTTAATTGAGGGTTGTAAAAGGCCTGGTACATCGCCGTAGTGTTGGAAGGAGATCTGAATGAATAGCTACTACTAGGTCCGGCGCCTAAGAGGCACTAAAACTAAGTCACAAGGCCGTTCGTCGCTCGGTTTAGTAAGCGAGCCGAACTTTACTGATTAGGCTAGTCTACATTGTCTTGTCGCAACTATGATACTCGCGTAGCACTTTAGCAGTTTACTCAGCTTAGCTTGAACTTAACGCTACGCGCTCGGCTGTCCGTATGTATACAAAACAAAGCTCCCGCCCGATCTGAGAGTTTCAACTGACTCCAATGAGCCAGCAATTTGAACAGTCATAAGTTGAGTTCAACGTGCAACCATTGTCTATCGATGTCCATCATTCAACTGGTTTATGGATCAGCTATTCACACATAGTATCGCAGGCGGGCTGCCGGTACGGCCACCGCGATCGATGTCGTGTACAGATATTTTTGAAGTCAGACGCGTACGGCTCCATATGTGTGGACTTCTCAGACGGCTGGCGGCTGCGAGGTTAGTTGTATTACATAAATTATATAAGTTTCTTGCTTCGTCGAGAATGCCAAAGCGGCAAAAATCGGTTCGTCAAACCCTCTGCACGTGCTGTCATTCACGTCAACATTAATGCGACCCTTGAAACATTCAACTCGCTTCTCAGCCGCTGAATATTGTCCTGCTTTTTTTTCGTTTCCCGGTCCGGGCACGTAACTCTAGCACTATGTGCCATCCGCAATCGCATCAAGAACAACACCGAACACCGATGTTAATATAGATAAACGAACATGTAAACATGATTTACATAATATAACCTTCCACGCAATGCAGGTTAGTTGTAAACGACATCGAGAAGAAGGCGCTTGAAAGGATGCGCCCAATGCTGTGCTTTCTAGAAGGTGACCTGAAAGTGTGACAGGGACTGAACAGATTTGTCCAATAAACCTTGGACGGGAGGCCCATGCCACCAAAGGTCAGAACATCGGCCCAAAAAAGGTCGGATCCATTGTATGGAAAGAGGCTCTTTCCTATCTGAGAGGTCCACGTCATGCACCACACGAATGGACAGCGGAACACTGCTGGCTTTTTTTTAACCAGTGCTTGTTCTCGTCACCACCAGTTGTGTCTACCCTAAGCAAGGATATCCTTAAGGACGCCCATAATCGAGGAGTGCACAGGGCAACTACTCGCCAGTGACGGCAGACCCCCTTGTCAAGACCGTTGGGCATTCATCCGATGAAGGTGCAACGTAATTTGTCTGGGGAAGACATCGAAGAACTCTCTATCCAAGTGGCTCTGATGGTAGCGAACAGCATGCTGGAGATGCCAGGGCTTCGTGGAATTCCAGCGACTCTTGCACGATGGCCCGTTTCTCCTTCAATCTAGCTTGGATACCTTGTAATTTTTCCAATGCACGGTTAAGAAGGTCGATGTGGTCATCGAGAGCTGCAGGTTGTAACTTTCGCTGCGTTACAACAGCGTGAATAGTTGGGACCTTGTCGGACGGAACATAACTGGTGGGACGATAAGAGAACGATGTCGGCATCAACTCAGATAACTGAACCAAAATATCAGCTTTGAGTCTTAAAGGAGTGTGGCCCATCACGATGAGCAATGATCGCGCCATTGCAACTGAAAAGCATCAAACTCACATCTAACAAATCATTCAATAAATCAGGACTGATCATTTAAAGATGTGAACGTTCCACGGCGGTATACAAGGGTACTGATCGCTCACCTCAAGCTGAAAAAATTGTGCGCACCACCGTCATATAGAGCGGGTATAGTGGGGCGTTTTCATCCGTGTCGTCGGGATGTTCGACTCGGAGCAGGTGAAGTAAGGCCTTCACAGTCGTCAGGACCTCACGCACAAGGAGGTACACCCATAATATAACCTTCCACGAAATGCAGGTTAGTTGTGAACGACATCGAGAAGAAGGCGCTTGACAGGATGCGCCCGATGCTGCGAAAAGGGTGACCAACGTGTCTGCTATGAAATCGGCGGATTTTCCGAGTCGTTGCGAGCTCGCTCCAACCCGGAACGAACGACTGATTGTAAGCGTCAAACTCGCGATGTCGATGACGTAGTAAGAGACGCTTCCTGCAGCCTGCAGGGAGAAAAGGAGGCCCAGCGATCGTAATGAATCTACTGTTGCGGAAGAAACTAGTCACCCTGCGCGCATTTCCTCATCCTGACGAGAGCGATGAGGACGAAGCAGGTCAGCAGCTTCATTGTAATGTGCACCGTTGAAGGCTTTGACCCCAGGCTGAACGTGCAGATATTTAATGTGCAAGTTGCAAAGATGAGCATCAAAGACCAAGCGTAGCCACATGATACTTACTTCCATGACAGGATGCACGAGAGAATCAACATTTGGACAAGCGGTAACCAGAACTTTGATAAGCGGTACCGCTTCCTCATGTTGGTCTGCGTTGAAGAGTGCAACGACCTGAAATACGCAATGAGGCAGAGAGCATGTGAGATGAATTTGACCTACCTTGATGAAGAGAAGAAATTGGTCAATGGCTGAATCTTGGTTTGTGAATGTGGATGCGACATTCATTGAATGCTATCCTTAGTTCCTGAACTTGAAGGCCTGATCCCGCACACATTCGTCAGCGTGTAAGAGCTATTTATATCTCGGTCACGGTAGATTCCAACAAGGGAATTATATTACCACGCTCATACAAGGAACCCTTCAAGCTGATGACGATACACCGGAAGGAGTCAGACGTTGCCTGACTCTAGATATAGTTAGCGATCTTAGCAACGTTGGTATTGTCCAGAGCAGCGTCTACTTCATCAAGGACAAAGAACGGTGCAGGCTAACAACCTGAGACATCGTGAGAACAAAGGTTTTTGGGGTGAAGACGAAAAGACCAAAGCAGCCACAGTCTTCTCCCCGCCCGAGAGTTGTTCCATGTCACGGAATCGCTTCATCAGTGGCATGGCATGATATTTGATTCCGGCATTATAAGGTTCCTGTGATCAATAAGTGTAAAATTGCCTGGACTTGACAGACTGAAAGACTCACCTCACTGTCCTGTAAACTAAGATATGCAATGCCTCCCATCGGCGAAGCCTTCCCTTTAGTGAGGTCTTTATAGACCTGGTCGATACAATCTGAAATGTGGTTGTATGCCTTGTTGAATAACTCGCATCGGGTGACTGGGATGAGGATGGCGCTCAAAGTAAACTATTCGCATACCTTTTTCGCTTGACATCGTTGAACTGAGACAATGAGATTATGGTAGTGCCACCGACTACTGTCACAAGAACGTACCAGATCGTCTCTTATAACAGCTATAGCACTCTCTAGTCGTGTAACTTCAGCAATGACGTTTTCGTCTGTCTTGCCCCTCGGTATCGAGTGATCCAATTCCTGAAGCTGTGCCACAAGATTGTCACGAAGACAGGAAAGGCCTAAATATAAATGAGTGTGAGGCGCCACGGTCAGTGAGCTGCCTACCTTGCACGTCCTTCTCCCACTTCTTTCCTCCACCATGCCGTACTGCGCCCACCGGTGATGAGCCCACTCTTATAGATGACAGTGCCCGCCAATGTAACGGCTGCCCAAATGTTAGCATGGCATCCAACTTCCCGCAAATGAATGCCAACCTACCTCTCACCTCCTGCCCCCGCTCCCAGCACACGTACCTCACCACATCCATCGTGTCACACACGAGTGCATTCCCACACGCATGGAGCATCGCGCGCTCTATGGCAGGCTCATACTGGATCACGTCCACAGCGAGACGGTGCACCTCTAGTAAATGAGCGGAACTTGTCGTTGATTGGCTTGGTGCTGGTCGTGTTGAGGGGGAGGAAAGTTGCTTGACCTGCGCGCTGGGTGCGCATATACTATAATGTTTCAAAATTAGTTTGGATAGACAATAACAGAAGGCAGAGAAACGCACGTCGATGCATTCGATGGCAGTTTTCTCTTCATCCGCGACGATAGCGTCGATATTGCGCCCAAGGATGACAGATACAGCTGTCTCGTACTTGTCCTGTGTGGGTTTACAGAGGTCGACCACGCGCCCGCGGACGCCTATGGAATGTGAGCGGTGACTTTCTCTGACCAGGCAGGCAGCGCTGCAGACTGGCGAGCGTCTTCTTCAGCTTTGCCTCGCGCTCGGATTCATTCCTGTTGACGCCTGCTTGGAGCAAATGCTGATAGACATCCGCGAACTTTTCCTTTGCCTCGGTCTCAATAAGCGGGTCATAAGTCATTAAAACGAGCTTTATGTTTTTGTACCTGAGCCCGCGAGGTTACCAAACAGAGATGTGGATCTCGAAGTCGAATGAAAGCAACAGCATAATTTGCAAAAAGTGGTGCTCTGTGGAAAACGGGAGTACTTTGTATCACGAGAATCTTCCAGTCTTAAAGACCTCGCATGACGCATATGGTAATGGTGGTCGTGTGGGTGCAGGCGGTCGCGAGAATTACCACAGGAGGGGTCACGAAGGGCACCACGAGAGTTGGGCCGGACAGCATCACAAGGGTTGTGTACTGATGGGAGATGCGGTCAGTCAGCACGACTTGAGCTCGACGGGTGGATCAAATCATTCAGTCTATCAATGGATCAGCGATGATTTTGGTAAGGGATGAGGTTGTCCCAGCCGCACCGTATCCTTCGCCGCTTCCTCGGCTGCTGCTTTCACTTCCTGAAAAGATAGGATACATCAGCATTGGCGTAGGAAGAGCAACACACATTCATCCCTCATAAGCCTTTTCGCGCCCCTTGCAATGCTTCTCGAGCAATTCTAGATGTGGGATGTCGCCCTTGTTCCATTCCCTCTCATCTTCGAGCTCCTTCTCCAAATGTTCCTACTCCACATATCAACAGCGCAAATAAAAGGGAGAAAGATCAAGCGTTCACAATTTGCGAGGCGAATTGTTCATCACCACGACCATCTAATTATCCACCATCTCTCCTGGCTGCACGAGCAGGACTAGCAGTAATAGCTTGAAGAACTTGGGCAAAGTTGAGGGAGGGGTTGGAGGTAAGAGTAGCGGGACAGTAGAATGCGACCGACTGCAAGGGGAGATCAACGTGAGAACGTGCACTTCGGATGATAAAATGAATGAACGACAAAGCAGGAATAGAGCGCCGAAACGCCGCCAAGCTTTCCGCTGCAACCCACAACCCACAAACTACTCAATCCATCACCCGCCTGCGCCAAAGGAATCTCGAACCCTGGGCTAAGAGTGAGATAACACACGTTGTAGAGAAGAACCACAAGGCCAGTCGTGAATAATTGGTTTTGGCCATATGTTGGTGCGCTTCTGAACCAGCTAGTGAGGCGGGTGGTGTATGGGATGGCGAGGAGGGAGAAGGAGTAGAGGAAGGATTTGAGGTGAGGTGCAGAGGGTGTTTGGCTGTCCACTTATCTGTGAGAGGAGATAATGATGGGTGTATGAGCTCAAGGATAAGGTTCATTATCCTGCTAATAAATGGCATCCGCTCGCATAGCAATGGTATCACGACCCTGTGGATCGACTTCAGCGAAACACCGAGGCTTGTCGAATCCAAGAGCATGGACTGTCAATATGAAGTCTTTGTCGAGGACCGTCCTGGACGACCAAGTTACGAACATTCGTCGTTCAGACTTTTTCCCAATGCGTGACTTGTAGTGTTTGCGAGCAATCGTCGGGTGAGTAGGACTGCATATCTCCTGTATCTTTTCACTGGTTATGACGTCCGCAGCGATTTTGATGAACGTATCTTCATTAGTTGTAGAGGCATCGAGCATAGCTGCTGGAATCTCGCCGTATCGTTCGGCAATAGCCATCGGAAGCTGTAGACGGACCTAGTCCCGTCTGCCTTCATCCAAAAGATCCATTACAAACTGTTTGCTCTTCAGAAAAAGTATTCAATAACGAGAGTGCACTTACTGTCAATCTTGCTGTGACCTTCTGTCGAGCGGAAATTGAGCCAATTGAGATCATGAATACTGCAGTAAAGTCAAAGTCAGTGCTCATCCAGTATCATCGAAATGTGCCAGTCATACTGTCGTGTGTCACCCATTCTACAAGTCCTGCAGTCCTTCCAGCATCTATTGCACTCAGGGAAGCTTGTGCGGCTTCTGACTTTTCCTTAGCGACACTGACAATAACGCGGCCATCGGCATGCTCGAGCTCAAAGGCACAAGCAGCAGCGCTCGCTGGAAGAGGGAATACATATTTGGCCCGGCTGGTAGGGCTATCTGATACGTTCTCAAACACTTGCGAGAGCACAACCCTCGCAGAGACTAGTATGAGGAAAGTGACGTGCTGATCAGTGGTTTTCGTCTGCACAGCGATCGAAATACGCACTATCGACCATCCATACTCTCACATCGACCTCTTGAAGCGGCAAATGCAGAATGCCTTGGTCCGGAGAGTGATGAATAATTCCTGCGTGTTTGCTCATACTGAAGTGTCGATATAAGGTGGAGATAAGGCCCATAGTAGATCCTTGGTCGTTTTATAATTGGAGTTTGACGCCCGGGCTTCCTGTGTTGCAACCCATCATCCTTTGGAAGCGTAAACAGGAATATCTCAGGCTGTGATATGCTGCAGTTTTGATTCCTGTGCACGAGGCGGACGAACTGCTAGCTCCAAAAACTTCTTCCAGGGAAAGTCGAGGACTGAATGAAGTATTGAATCCGATTTGATACTGCCGAATTAGATATTTCAGCGTAGCATCAATCTCAAATAGATCCGTCAGCAGGAGGACATCTCTATCCCAGAATATCCGGCCCATCCGACCCATCTCTTCATGGTCAAGTGATAGTTCATCATTCTCGTACATGCGAAGAGCCAGTCACTCTAATGTGAGACAACGACAACATATACGCAATCAGTTAAGCCACCTTTTGGTGTCACAAGTCTACAACATTTCATTAGAATCCTTGGCACTGTCGAACAAGCTCGAATTCCGAAACGCACTTCAAGAGAAACACTGCAGCTTTGTGCGATGAGCTACCCCATCAAATATTAGTTACAACGTCGGAGTTACCAATTCGGCGAGTTTGAAAGCTGCAATAGATGCTTTAGATCCGTCAAAGTGCATACTTAGACGCTCACAACATTCTCCCGCTATTGTTCGTCCCGTGGCTGACTATTTTGGCACGCCGCAGCCTAGTCGTCTGGACGATCGATACGTCGCACCCGTTGTGGTGCAACGAGACCATCCAATTCAGTCCTTAAAGTTGATGTCTTCATCATACCGTTAACGTCTAAAAGTGTGGTTTAGCGTGGCTAGTCATGGGACTGGACGACACGTACAGCTCGGTGACTCTTCAAAGACATAGGGTTGGTCGTCTCCATCCGCAGCGAATCCCCCATCATTCAACAATTCATCATCATCTTCCTTCTCAGACTTGCGATGACCTGCATTCTCGTCGCTTCTCAAAGAATTAGTCGGTAGTTATACAGAAAAAAAACACGAATGACGCACGCTCCCTTCTTTCAACCTCTACCCTTCAATGGCTTCGGCTGCGAGTCCAATATTGCGGATCACGAGTTTTCTACAAGACGGTGAGCAGAATATGATGGGACTGACGTGATATAACGCGCCTTGATATCTATAAAGTGCGTGAAAAGATCCGTCTGACCGAGAAGGTACGAGTATCGTTTAATAGCATCGGTAATCTAAAGCGAGATAAGTGCCGATTTTGATGGAGATGAAATACCAGCGACAGGTCCCTAATCGAACACATGATAGGTTAGAACCGAGGCTGAACATGAGGAGGCAATGTCATGAACGCGCCTCCTGCTCATCATCGTTGACGAGCTCATCTTCTTGAGCACTCATGCCCTCGTCGATGTACTCGCTCTCGCCGTCATCCGCTCCCTAGCTTTGCTAAGAATGAAACACGGTACTTCAATTTCAGTATGGTGTTACATGTACCACACGGACAAGGATGGCCCAGGCCGGTTTAACTTTCCGTCAATTGGTCTTGCTCATAGTATCGATCACTAAGCAAAGTTTCCTGCTAGTCGTAAGGTCAACCCGAGTTCGGCATCAGAATAATTGGCGCAGACCGAATCATGCATGATAATTCAAGGACAAGAATCCAAGATCCAAGTTCAACTTGACGTTTTGAAGACGGTATTACATAATTACATGACGTCCATTCTGGGAGTAGGCGTACCAGTCAGCCAATTATGTAAAATCGTTTCGGATCGATCCCCTTTGATCAAGTCTAATGTTCAACGTTGCAACGTTCAACTGCCGAACTATTATGTAGTAAGTAGTGATGAACAGCGGCTGGCTCCTACCACAGTGCATCGACAAAACTTATTTTCTCAGGTGTGCCGCAGTTCACATCAAGTTCACACGATCCATAGGTAAGTCCGTCGTACGTTTTGTGACATTTAACTGAAGTGAGGCCGCGTCGATTATCTAGCGTACAGTTGAAAAATCCTCGCGATCTTTCAACAGATGCTTATAAAGACCACCTCAAGGATTGGTCTTTATTCAAATACTAGCCTTCGAGGCTAACGATAGATGAAGGATTCAAGTTGCGCAGTGCATTATTACATCTTCATGCGGCCTCCCGATATCAATCTTCAACAACAACAGTTATTCGTTTCGACAGCCTCCTAAACTCGAGCTTTAGTGGACCACAAGCAAGACTAGGCACGATTGATCATTTCAGATAACTTCAAACATCTATATTGCTCGAGTAGTACGGAAATTTGTCCAAAAACAACTGTGCTGATTGGCTCCGAGCTAGGCATTGCACCATCAACCATAACACCAAAGTGAAAGGAGAAATACGACTCGCGGTATCATCATCACAAACCAAGACATTGCAGCAATTTTCATCTGTTTGGCAATCTTGTGTCTGGTTGAAACATGCACTGACGAACATGGCTGCTGTCAACGCAACAACAATGGTGAGGTAGGAGAAACGCATTGTTTGTGGGAAGTGGAATGCAACTCGAACGATATCTCCGAGGATGGAGAAGTACTGTAGGACGATTGCTAGCTTTTACATCCTGCATATACTCATGGGCGCGATTCTGATCGATTTAGCAGAATTATTATTGCTGTCAGATAGCAGAAGTTTCGGCAGAACCGGCCGGAGCGTATCCAATTGATCATGGTCATTGTATCATGACCTGCCGGCAGGCATCGACAATTCTCTTCGTAACCATGGTATACTCGCTCAAATTCCCGCTCTCTCACTCATCGCTTTATCATTTGAACCTGCAATGACGAGCAGCGACTTTTTTCTCACTCGCTCGTTGCTCCATTGTACGCGATATTGGCACTGTCTTTTTCTTTGTTCGTTGACACGAATAAACAGTGTGTATCTCGTCGATTTTTCACGCGTGACAACGCAGTATACGGTTGAACGTGCGTAAAAAGATCAGCTCTGAGATCCAGAACTGTTTTTAACAGATCTAGTCAGTCCTTAGCATTCATTGAACGTACTTGCGTAAGCGAATCTCAAGGGAAATTGCCTGTGATTCACTGTCCAGGTCGAGCGATAAGGATTGATTGAATGTAAAGTAATCCGTGGAATGCGGTGGCTTATTAAGTAACCGCACCTCGACCTCGACGAAACGAAACGAAACGATGATGGAGGGCTATTATGCACCTCTAATCATTTACTTTCTGATTGAGAGATTACATTGTATTGCGCACATGCAAAATGACCTTCAGATTCAGTAGAAATGTTCATACTGTGGTAGCATGGCACGATGAAATCTGAAATATGTCCGCTGCAGGACACGTAACCGGTCAGCGTCAAAGTAGTTGCCTGTAAACGTGCGGGTTTTGCATCAAAGGACTTCATGGCGCACTCGCCCTTGGTCACAACATGTAACGTGCAAGAATCCCCAAGGATTGGATATCGCTATCTATAGACCAGGTGCCACAGGGACTTGGTATACATCGGTTGCAATACAACCCTTAAACAAACAGCCAATTCGAGGAGAAGTTTGTTATCATATCAATGCACTCTATTTGGTTAGTTGACTTGCTTTATGTAAAGGGGGTGGGTATGATATGGCTGTGACCTCTCGCAAATCGAGTGTTTGAATAATTGAAAGCAGAAGTGTCGCATGAATATCATGGACTTCAATGATAAGACCTTGCACAATACAGGTGAGAAACATATACGCAGATGGCAAGGAAAATCGTACTAGGACGTAAAGCAGGACAATAAACGGCAAGATACATGCTCCTTCCGATATCTGCCTGACTGCACGCCTGTTCGCTCAAGCTGTGGCGCACAAGCTAGAATTGACAACAAGACAATTCAACATGCCAAAGTGCGATCCCAACGATGCTCCGATGATAAGCAACGGCCCGATCATTAACCACAGTGCCGGGAGCCCGAAGATGATCACCTTGGCGGAGATGAATGAAACCTCCATCTTCATTGCGATAAGGCCTGTAGGAAATACGTGTGAATGCAGAACTGACAAACGAGAAGCTCAATAAACATACCAAATATTAGTGTCAGCGCCTCTGCGCTAGGAAGCAACCACGAAAAGACAACAAAGAAACGGAGGATACCAGGAAGCACGCTCATATGCCAACCAATGAGGAATCCCCTGACAGCGAAGAGGAATTCCAGTGCAACAGCGATAGCCATCGTAACATAAAGAGCGTGAAGAGGTGCCCACGGGAACTTGGAAGAATGCTCCAAGAGCTGCAATGGACCACATCCCGCGGTTGATAGTGAGTGCGGCAAGTTGTTGCTGCAAGTTGAACGCCATAAGCTTCCTCTCTGAGACGTGCATCATCTGCCCAAATGATCGAGACTGTCACGATACCGTAGAGAGAGCCGGTAATTTGAATGAGGAATGACAGGTATGCAAGGTAGCCTGCATTGCAGACGGAGTGATAGAGGTCAAAAAGTTGCGTGCTGAGTCCAGGGTCCATTGACATCACACCGACGGCCTTTTTGGGAGTAGCGGTGGAACGATCTGCAAGCCCGGGCCATGCAGCAAGTACCGTACGCTTTGCTAGACCTGAGCCCAATAGGGCACTATCAGCTTGAACGCCTCGAACCGGAACTCCATAGATGCAACCACTTACTACCCGTATACCTTTGCTCTGCAACATAATTACAAGTGGACGTTTCCGAGTGACCTGGGTCTTCTCTGGCTTCGTTATAGTATCTCACGAAGGAACTCTGCAGTCGTGACTCTTCAATGGCCTCAACAACCTCGTTGGATTTTCCCATGGAGAGAAAAATAGAAGCGATAACCCAGGTCTGGCACCATCCAATTGCCGCAATGATAGGTGTTGATAGCTGGCAGGAATAATTGAGGATGAAGTCTCGAACACTGTTCAACCACATGCTGCGAGTCGTGAAGCTGAAAGCTGAAAATCGTGCACTGAAGAACTCAGGCCCTAAGGCCTGAGGCTTGAGTGTCGTTTAGCGCTCGAGAATTGATCGTGCCATCATTCGGGTCAAAGGAAGCTCCGCGAGTGGCAAAAATAAACCTTACTATTGCTAACCGTTCTGTGTTAACACCTGAAACACGGCGGAATAAAAGTGTGTGACAGATTCCATTCAAATTTAGGGATAAATTCTTAGTATGGAATACAATATGGTCTACATCAAAATTCATAATCAAAGCCTGAAAAGGTCCACAATTAGTTTTGACCCCAGATTCGAAAACAAATTGGGAATATGTATGGACAAAATTGCTGAATTTGTTAGCACGGATCTGGCTTATTGTTAAATTCATAATCAGATAATGAAAATGACAAGTATATATGAGACACAAGATTCACATATAAATAGTAAATATGCCACATGATCAAATATGTATTAAATTGAAACTCTGCTTTAAATCGGTTTAGGGAACGGAGCGGGACTGTGTTTGGTAAGCCAAGGGAGGAAAAATTACAAATATGTACATGGATATGTCTAGAGTTAGATTCTGACAGCAATCTTAAAAATTTGCATGTTTCATATGAGTTCCCCGCTCAGTGCCCCGCTAAGCGGGGCACTTGTTCGATTTGAGTACAAAAAAGAAGGGGGATCGTTTGACAAGCACCGTTTTTGAGTGGGATTCCATAAGAAAATCAGTAGTTGACATAGTTGTGCATGCCCTGATCTATGGCAGTAATTGTCGACCGAACAGTAACCAACAGAATTCAAAAATTGCTCTATACAAAAAAAATGGAATCTAAAATTATAAAAACCTGCACAGAGGAATGAGATCAAGTCGAATAGCAAGTCAAAAATGCACCGGGAGTCTGATTCGCCAAGATGTTCCGAGTAGTACTAGCAAATGTGTACAAGAGAAGGGAGAAATAGAGTATTGTACATCTAACATCCATGCTGGAGCATGCGAATGCAACCTCGGTGAACAGAAAATCATAGTCGTGCATGCCCTGATCTATGGCAGTAATCGTCGACCGAACAGTAACCAACAGAATTCAAAAATTGCTCTATACGAAAAAAAATGGAATCTAAGATTATAAAAACCTGCAGAGGAATGAGATCAAGTCAAATAGCAAGTCAAAAACGCACCGGGAGTCTGATTCGCGAAGATGCCTGCCGTCCTAGCACGCATGTTGGGAATTGAGATTGATCTCTGAGTCGTCAAGATCACAATAAGACGAAGAACAGGAGACCTGTGACCAAAAAACGCACTGGGAGTCTAATTCATTAATTTCGTAGACTAGGACCGCTACAATAGATAAGAACCAGACATTAGAATTAGAACAAGATCACAATAAGACAGGTAGAACAACGAACGGGGGACCTCTGACAAAAAACGCGCTGGAAGTCTAATTCATTAATTTGGCTGAGTGCTTTTGGACAGCCGAGTCATAAATCTAGATGCGGGTGGATGAAAGCGATAGGGGCGAGGGACGTGATGCCCGAGGCACTCACAAGTACTTTGAGGCCGGGAGCGATCGACGTCGGTCTGCGTGACGATTTGACATGAGCTATCATGACCCCATGACCGAATGGAATGACTTACTCAACGGCTCAGCGGCGTGCGCGAGGTAGACCTTAGTTCTTTTCATGACCTGCATAGCGTTTGGCAATACACAGTTGAAGACTAGATCCGCTACAATGTAAACACGTATACAATAACTTCAGGTTATAACAATCTACTAATCTACAGACTACATCTACATGAGATTAAGTTACTGTTATAATGTTGCGTATGCGGTATGATAATAGGGGAAAGGAAAACAATGAAACCATGATTCGGGGCCTAAGTAGTGAATTCCGAGACAGTCAAAACTCCGACGGAATTATCCGGCAGCCACTCAAACGCTCAGACCCAGAGCCGCTCAGCCGGTTCGGGTACTTCCGGCGGAGTGTAATCCTCCCATTCACTACTTAAGCCTCGAAACCTTGTTTCGAAGGTTCCCTTCTCTTGCCATCATCATTTAATTTAGTTGTTAACTTTGCGTAGTAGTCAATGTCATTATGTTGTCAATGTTATCATTATTATCATTATTATTGTCTTAGTACTTGTTGCATGAAAACAAAGAACTGTCTGTAGTCGTTCACTTTGCGTAGTAGTCATTCATTTTGTTTACAATAATAACATAACAACTAAGACCGACCAAAATCATGTACTACACGTGAGTACAAGGTAGTCACTTCGACACTGGAACGAACTAACAACTCATATCCCGCCAGCGACCGATCCGCGCATTGCTAAATAGCATGTCCTGCTGATCATGAAGGTAATAAGTTCATATTCACCCGCTTAACAAGTTTGTCTAACTGAATTATGCCCAAAGCGCGTCCTGAATGGCGGTATTGTCGCCACTTCAAGCCTCTCACCATCCATTGCGAATTTCCCCCTGAACGAGGTTATACCCCTCCTCCTTTGACACAGCATCAAGTGTTTTCATGCGACACAGATTCATTGTCGCCTGATGCCGTAGAACAAATTCCGCCAGCAATTCCTTTGCCCTCCAAGATTCCGAAGCCGCGAGGAGAGGTTTCCCGTCTCAGTCGGGGCGGATACAATTTGCAGGAGACACTTGGCTGGCCTGCGTCTGAGTATGAAGAAACCCGCGTGCGTTTTTGTTGTGTCTGTCCCATCTATCTGTTTAAATTGTTTTCATGCAGGCTTTTGTTTCACAACTAGCCCGTGAATACCTCAAAGTACATAAGTCATGGAGGCTCCAAGCACAGCCGCAGTTAGCCATTGTCTATGTAGAGGTGGGTTTCGGTCTTATGGACAGTCTTCGTCACTCATTTCCTGTAGGCGCAGAAACGATATCCTATCCTTGAACGTTATGAAGGAAGTTGGGTCATCGGTGATATGCTTCGTATTTTTTTGAAAAATAGTTGTAGCCGTGATACTTCGGCATAAGAATGCTTGCTTTATAATACCATATTCTAAAGCCAAAAAATTACATAGAAGCAGGTTAGTTGACTGATCGGTATCAGAAGTGATCTACTTTTGACCATATCAATAGATATGGCTATTGAACCATACGAAGTACATCACTTGGCATGAAGCAGATGATTTTGTAAGTTTTATTCTACAACAAACAGTAAACCTTTATTCATCATTTGTAGCAACTCTATCATACAGCATACTTCATCTGTTCTGGTGATATGGCACTATTGTACATGGGATACTCTGGACGACTCTTCGAAGTTTGCATGCTCAGTCTGGAAAGTGTCCAGGCATTGCGGCAGGGTATCCTTACTCTACTGATTAGGAACATTGATGTATCGAAAGGTTCGTAAACTTACCTGTTTTATAGACCATGCCTGATTGTGCAGTTGCTGCAGCTCCAAGGGATAGAAGGCTACATTTTACACTGTGGGGGATGATATAGTTGATTCCGTTGAGGACTCATCGTGTAACCATGAGTGAGGTGAGGCAGTCCTGTTGAAGCCCCTAACACAACATCATTCATACGGATTGCTGTGGAATCAATCATCTGTCTTACACTGTGTTTCCTGACTTTGGCTTCATCTGGACTCGCTTCAGGCAGCATAATCTCGTCAACATCCACATCCAGCAATGCAGTTTGCAGCGCAATGTACATGCGTTCGCGTAACTGTTCAGTACTGACATGCTTAATCTCACAGTGACGATCGATATACTTGTTTACACGTGTGTGTAATCTGCGAACAAGTTTTCTTTTTTTTGGCGATTGGTACTGGTACCACTGGGCCTCACCACAGTCGTTTGTCGTCGAAACGATAGCCAGGGGTCCATTCTAATTTAAAGTAAGCAGTGTCCATAAGCGGCGAGCGAGATATTACTAACCTCGTCATCTACCATCGTGGTGTCCGCACAGCCATATGTTCCACTCCCTGTACTAATGGGCAGGTCGAGATCCATAGCGAATCCCATCCACACATCCTGACATGCTTAACGATGAGGAATTGTAGGTAGCTGATTTACTTACTTTGTCATCTTCACGTTGCCGAAGTTCACGTTGATAGGACTTGATCGATGCCTTAATGCCCCATTCCAGTTCCTGCATTTCGTATGCGTTCATGGTTCCCCTGAGAGAGCGCGGAGAAGGTCTGCCATACGGGTTGAACCTTGCCTTGAGAGTGTTATCTTTGCGAGAAATTATTTTCGATGCCATGAGTTGCATAATTGAGCACTTACTTTCTGATTTAAAAGCAGTCCGGGCAGTTTTGTATTGAACAATAGGCGATTTCATCACCGATCAAGTCAGTATCCCCGCGATCAAACTCTAAATCATATTGACGCTTCTCCGGTCACATCTCCATGGTTGTCAACGGACAATTAGCCAATTGTTTATGCTGCCTTTTGTTTAGAAACTTCACGATCAATTTGACTGTCGGTGCTGGGTTTGTAGTTAAATACGGGCAACTTTCCTCCTAAGTGTCTTCACCATGGATGCAAGTCTCCAACTTCAGTCAAAATTATATTTTCGCTGACGCCGAAATAGTTTTCTAGCAAATATACTCTCACTCGTCACACCAAGGCGGTCAATATCTTGGCTGTGAATATGCATGGAACATTGCTCCTTACTGGAGGTAATCAGCCTATCTCTCACTTAACTTGTACTGACAGCCAGATAGGTAACGATAGTCGAATAGTAGTATGGAGCTTAGTGTCCGGCGAAATGATTCAGGAGATATTTACACCAGCAGCAGGCTATATCAGTGCCATTACCTGGATGCACGTCGACGATCGTAGTGAAGCATCATTTGCATTTGGCGCTTCAGATGGCAACATTCAAGTTTACGAAAGGAGCAATGAGGTATGTGAATAGGGGTATCACTATTGGTCTTGCTGATGACAGTTGATCAACTCAGGCATTATTCGAATTCCAGAGCACGACCATCGGCCACTCAAGTGCGGTAGAGTCGCTTGCTTGGGATCCCGTCCATCGACGATTGGCGAGTGCCGGTAGTGGTCGTCCGCATGTTTGGAAATTCACATCAGACAGTGAGATGCCCAGCCGTCGATTATTGCATGATATTGATTGTTGTTAGAAACTCTCGTGCCTATCACCTCGCACCCTGAAAAGCAGCCGTATGTTGCGCGCACGGTACACTTCTACGACAACGGTGCTTCCCTTCTGGTGTCATTTCTGGAAAGCGGTGAAATGTTGGTTGACGATTGCATCCTTGTTTTCAGTCAAACTCTTGCTTTCAGATTCTGCTATTCTATCGAACCTTGGGATTTAAAGTGGCGCAAGAAGGTGCAGGGAAGAATGTAAGTGAGGACTTCGTCCTCCGTACTAGATATTCACTCTTATGCTGTAGCGGTAATGCCGTCCTCGAGGGCAATTTCCTCCTCGTGAGCAATCTCAAAGATGGGGTGGATAAATATGCTATTCCTACCCTATAACGTGTACAGTCCTACAACCATGTGATCCTCTGTAACGTTCCTCTGCAAATCTCCATTGCTCGCGAGGCGGGACTTGTTTTTGTTGGAGGTGATGATGGATTTGCTCGTGTATTCGATTACAATACAGGGGCATATCGAGGACAGCTGACACATGGGAATCGGGGCGATCAGATCATCCCCGTCGCAGTAAGTCTGGAACTTGATATACATTACCATCCATACTCACAATTTGTAGTCGCACGAAGGGCGTGCTGGGTGCACCGTTGTCACTGGCAGTTGCTTTAACGGACACAGTAACGTGAAAGTCTGGGAAGAAGGCGAATCGGTATGGTCGAGAATTTCTTGTGACGGTGATAACTAATCAACTTCAGATATCGATGGAGGAAGATGTGATGCCTGCCCCGCCCCTTGCGGGAGCTTCGTCCACCTTGCAACTTGCTCGATTTGCTATAATCTGCGTGTTGGTAAACATTGCCATGCACGCTCTTCATTCAGGGACATTAATGGAATTTTGCCTGCGGCTTCATGACACTGTAGTCAGTGTTATTTGGGCTGTGTAAACGCATTGTTCTGACTATTTCATAATGTGCACGAGGTATTTACCCCGCCTACTCATAAATTAGAATTCAAATAGCCTTATGTGATTTTCTGATCATCATGTTTAAAGTAAGTTATAATATCGAATAAACTACAAGCTGCTTGCACCCCGCTGCGTATACGACACAGAACGGCTTCAAATCTGAGGAAGAAAGAAAGACTGGCCCCCTCAAGAATCTACATTTGCCACATCCGCGCTACTCCCTTATGCGCCCAGTATCCTCGAGGTCGTCCACCAATTTCTAGCTGACGACGAAAGATATGATTCCGGCGTGAAACCCTCCTTTGCACTCGCCGGCGGTATGTTTAAACTTAAAAATAAACAAGATAAAATAAAATAAACTACCCTGGCCTCTGTCACCGACATTGACAATTACCTTTGCTGTTTTAGAGACAATCCATCCAGCTTCACTGCCTCTGCAACTACCATGTCACCTCCTCTCACGTGCGAAATATATGTGGTTCGTACAACTCAATTTACTCTCCTCTTGCGAATGAAGTTTGACATCTTTCTTCGCTGCAGGAGATGCTGGAATCGGAGGAGAAATCAGAGTGGATTATGGACGTCGATGCGGATGTCTTCATGGTTTGCATCTCTTAATTCACTTGTGATGCGCTACGATTTAACTTTCACAGGAAATACTAAAGCTGGAGGGGGATTCAGACGGGTGTATGGACGTCGATGCGGACGCCCTCACGGTTTGCACCTCTTAATTTACTTGTGACGCGCTACGATTTAATTTTCTACAGGAAATACTGAAGCTGGAGGGGGATTCAGACGGGTGTATGGACGTCGATGCGGACGCCTTCATGGTTAGCACCTCTTAATTTACTTGTGACGCGCTACAATTTAATTTTCTACAGGAAATACTAAAGCTAGAGGGGGATTCAGACGGGTGTATGGACGTCGATGCGGACGCCTTCACGGTTTGCACCTCCTAATTTACTTGTGACGCGCTACGATTTAATTTTCTACAGGAAATACTGAAGCTGGAGGGGGATTCAGACTGTTGTATGGACGTCGATGCGGACGCCTTCACGGTTCACACATCTTAATTTACTCTGCTCTAGTCCCTTGAGGTTTACTATGGTTTTTATACTCTGCAGGAAGACATGCTTATTGATCAGGCGGTGCAAGCCGCCGGAGGCAAGCAGATGTAGGTGGGATGAAATGTAAGTGTTACATATGACCCAAGTAAAACCGACGCCTGACTGCACGATAGCCCCGTATTTTAGTCAGTTTTGCGCTCGCTCTATATGCTTGTCTCGATTCGTCTATCCGGATATCACTCACTACATATGTACATACTGCACCCCACTCATCACATTGATCCCCAATTTTGTTGTGCCTCGCGTTACCACTTACCTGTGATCGGATTTAATACCTGTCTTGATATAAATGCCGAACATTGACTTTGTTGATTCCCAGGAGACCTTGCAAAAATATGCAAACCTGTCCGATTTCATTATTCCTACCAATGAGACTCTCTGTGAAAGCGGCTGAGTGCCTTCCGCTGATCTGTGTACGGCCCAAAAGAAACTAGCCTGAAAGGTCAAATTCAAATTAACTTCCGCTTTATTGGCTGAGTGCCCGCAGTGGTTAAAATTCGATTAATTTCACGATTAGCAAACACTCAAACTATTTGCACAGCGGTACAGCTTGCTATGTGTTCTGAATACAGACTGCTTAGGATTACTCTTACTATTGTGTAGTGCCAGCCGAAGTTGTGGGTCGAGCTGCAGGTGCTAGGCATTTCTATCGGAGCTTCAACTGAGTCTGATTCACTACTTAGGTAGCGAAACCTTGATTTCTTGATTTCCTTTCTCATTCTACCCCTAACAAGATGTCATGTATAAACTTCAACAGACACTCAATTTCATAAGGATTTTTCGTATGTCCTTTATATAAGGACTTGTTCTACACTTGTTGTAGATACATGGACTGAATATTGTCAGACTTCAATTTTGCAGCTTCTAGCGCTGTGGCGGAGCTTCATGCTGAGTCTGATTCTGATTCACTACTTATCGAATACAATGCCTAGTTTGCTTTTTTTCTTTTTTTCTTTTCCCCCATCGTACGTGACAACACAGAATTAACTTTTACTAAATTTAACCAATCAACTGATGTAGTTGTACATAATATATTCAAACGGAACTATAGGTCCTTATCTGGTATCCGGTATGATGACGACGCTTTACGACCATGATCAAAGAAAAACTGATAGCTACTACATATAGATTTTTTGATGACAACACACTGCGCTTCATCTTCCCACCACCATGACGAGCACCTCAACATCTGTCATTTTGCCGAAGTTCAACTTGCCGAGTGCACTCCCCTCATGCCCCGACCAGTCACCCATGGACAGACTACTAGACAAAGCTCTTGAAGGCAACATCTTGTGGGAAGAAACTGATCTCCCTGCCACCGCTCCTTCTCTCATGGATCGTATTATTCCGACATCGAGTCTCGACATATCAACTATCGAGAAAATTACTTATACCACTGGAGCACATATACTCGTCAGTCAGAAGTGGAAACTAGAGAGGAATGTATTATGGGGGACAAAGAAAGTGAAGAAGCAGAAAGTGCTGGATGAGGTGGTGAGGACAGGGGACGAGGATTCCTCATCTGCGTCAACTTCAACTGACGCCAGTGACCAGAGTTGCGACGCACTGGAATTCAATCCAACAAGACCGAAAAGAAAACTGCCTTCGAAGGTGCGGACACGAGCCCAAAGATGGGCACGTCTATTCAACGCCATCCATAATGTCATGCGCATGTCATATAAGGAGACGTACCCTCATCGCTCGCCTATGTACCCTTTCGAGCCTGCAGACATCAAACGCCCGCATCGGCAATGGTCACCGGAGTTTTGCAATGTTCCTATTCCGGACGCGACCAACAACCAGAAGCCCGATATAGTCCTCATCGATCGTGATGTTCAACCAAAAAGTTGGGCACACGTCCTAACATGCGTCGAGATCACCGAATCCGACCTCGGCGCAAACCATAACATACCGTTGTTCAAGGGGGTGGTCACCAAAGGCTACCTCATGATGTGAGAACAGCCCTGGCGCCGCTTCGTCATCCTTTTCAGCCTTGCAGCAAATAATCTTCGCGCTCACTATATAGACCATTCAGGTCTTATCGTCACACGTCCCATCACCATCAACGGAAACCCGACGCGTCTTGTCGACATGCTCAACACCATGTCGTTAGCCAACAGCAAAGCCTATGGCATGGATCCCACCATGCACATGTGCAATGAGTCCTGCCAGCAATCACATTGCCACGTGGGGGACAATGGGATCGGTTGGATAGAGGACGAGAAAAAGCAGAAGTTATGGATTATCGCCGTTTTGTGGAGAAGTCAGGGTCTTTTCTCTCGCGGAACGATTTGTTACCACTGTAGAGAATCATGCCTCTCATGGCGTGATATGGCAGTTTCCACTAGGGAGTATACAGCACCAACTCGCAGCACCACTCTGTGTACTGTCCACAGCGATTCCTATATGAGGCGCAGCTTTCCCGCGCAACGCGCGCCATGCGCGCACCATTCCCGCGCTTCGCGATGTATACGCGCGCGCGCGTTCCCGCGCTTGCGCGCCCTATAGCGCCAGCCATCCAGATGCATCCATCCACTGTCCACCAAGCTCCCTAGTACGTATATTTCCATTTCCTTTATTAGCATAGTTCCACCTTTATTTTTATCATAGTTTCTCACTCATATATATTTTTACATACCTACTTGGTAGCGCTTCGGCTCCGCATGACCGCGCTTAGGCGCGCTATATAAGCGCCAGCAGTACATACTACACGGAACCTTACTTTTTCCCTTTCACTTACTAGTTACCACCCACTATTTACTTAGCAGAACATAGTAGAAGTCCATTTGTCTACACTTTGCATCTCTCTTTTCTTATATTGCATCATATTATCACTTAAGCTTAGTCTCTCTTATTACCGCTTACGCGCGCGCGCTTTCCCGCGCTTCGCGCTAATACGCGCGCGCGTTCCCGCGCCTTCGTACCTTGCGCGCACCTGCGCTTTCTCGCGCTTCGCGTTCCTGCACATACCTCTAGATCTTTGCTGTACTCACCTCCCCTTTAGGGTCGAACGCACTTGTCTCCTCAAGCAACGCAGACTAGGCAACGCGCGACCTTTCAACATTTATAGATACAGTTAGGAGCTTCATTTGTTCCTAGCAGTATTGTTGTTTCTACACCGCGTTCGGGACAGGGACGGAGTCGAATATGCATTGAAGGATTGTTGGGTGGATGAAGCAAAAAAGGATCACGAAGAAAAGGTCCTTGAGCTGGTTCGGGGCATCCCTAATGTAGTTACTCTCGTTGCGGCTTGGGATGTTGAGTACAATGGAGAGCCTGACTCCACGCTGCGCATCCGTCATTGCCACGGGAAATTCAGTCCTGGATTCCGCTGTAAATATCACCGGCACATGCTTTTGACCCCTTGTGGAGAACCATTGTCGACATACTCGACTAAACGAGAGCTAATAAGCGCTTTTCGCGACTTCGTAGTCGGTGGGTTTCTTTGGTGCTTAAATTTGAGTCTGACACTTACAGTTCATCCTTAGCGCACAAGGAAATGGTCAGAAAGAATGTCCTACATGGAGACCTTAGCCCGAACAACTTTATCATTTATGAAGGACAAGGGTACTTCATTGATTTTGACCACGTGCAGATCATCACGCAAGGCAACACCAGTGTTCGTTCACGCGGTACAGTGAGTCGAAGTTGTAAATTCAATTTGGTACAAGTGGCTGATCTGATTGTTCGAAGGGCACCATACCATACATGTCTATCCGCCTTCTCTATGCAATAGCTGCGATTGAAAGAACCCAGAGTTGGGGAAATGCGATGGTCGAGCACACTCCCAGTGATGACCTCGAGAGTCTCTTCTACATTTTCGTTGATTTTGTTACCACGTTTGATGGGCCGAAGGGCAGCCCAAAGAAAGCGGAACGGTGGAGTGAAGTCATTGAGAGCATGGGCACTGCGGCTGCTCCATATAAATCAGGGCTGGTGCTCGTGCCGCGGTGCGACAGGGAATTGATGGACCGCACGACGACTTACTTTGGCAGGGTCAGAGAGCTCGTTCAAGCATGGCGTTACAAATTTCTTGATGCAGATGCAGATCAAACGCGTACTGGCATTACTCACGAGGAGATCGAGGGGATCCTCAACACATGGGTATCTCACGAGGCCATTGATGAGCCCCTACCTCCAGAGGAAATGGTTCTCGAGCCCCATTGATATTATTAACATCAGAATCGGTTCCCGATTGTGTCAGAAGATAGTCCATGTCACGATATCGTAATGTTCTTATCTTTGTTGAGCCTAGCGCGGCTGTGCAGCCGTCCTTTACGTTCCCTTATCAATATTTCATTCTACGAGTCCCATTGAAATCTCGAATTTCTATTTGAGTCACAATTGCACGCTGGCCTACATATGTGCTAGTGAATTCGTCATCTTCAATTATGTTCTTACAGATCAAGCAACCGTCAATGAGTGGGATTTAGTGAAAACAATGATCAACAAGTGCCTACACTTCCATTGTTGCAGAGAGTACAACCATATTTATTCCAGTCATTGTACGAAAACCAGAGGAAAAACTGTCGCATGCTAGATCCAGCTCATTAGGACTCCATGCGATGACAGTAGATGACGAGCTCACCCAACGGCACTGTATGGTATCTCGAGATCATCCTAACAGCCTCGAGGACAACCAGGAACATCTGTAAATGGAGGTACTCACCTTTTCCTAGAACCTGCCAGTGGATCGCGTTAATCTTTTCTTCTTTTGTCCAGGATTCAGCATTTATCGGTACTGGGCAGTATGTTTGTCAAACCGAGGTGAGCTTACTCGTGCAGGTGACTTTGGCTCTTTGAACCTCTTGTGGCCAGGAAAGCAGACTTATTCATGGCGATGCCACGCCCAGACACGGCAGGCACTGAAAGGCGAACGGGATGCAATGTTGACACTGTAACCGGATTCGCTAAATCCCTGGGCCCCAGGTTCCAAGCCACCACTAGGTCCCGACCTGAATACCACCCCCTGAAGACAGCGCGATGTCAGCGGCGGGCCAGAAGATTTACCTTATTATCTCGCGCCCGAGCTTACTAAAGCTATGAGAGTACTGAGCTGACGTGGGCCGGGTTGCTTAAGCCATGGTGCGGGCCGGTGCAACCGACGGGAGAGATACTGAGACCAGCATGGTAGAGAGAAGTCAAGCAGCTGAGAACCTCGGCAAATGTGGCCAAGAAACGCGGCATGAAGAGGGTCAGGAGGACTCAGGTTATATCCACTGTACTGTCCATGCCGCGGGCAACGTCTGCGAAGGTCAGCAATTTAATTGGATGATCATCTCTTGCATGTTCGCAGCGTCCTTAAACTGTGGACCTTGGTGCACGTTGAACGTTTCCCTCAAAACCTGGGCGTGTTCGAGGTCGCTTAGGAGACAGATAGGAACGTGGTGAAACCAAGACATACCTGTGGTGTCTGGTGAGGGCTCACTCTCTAGCTCAAAGAACAAGAATCACCGTGTGTCGTCGGGCAGTTAAGATGAAAGCAGTGCTAATGGTGGAAACATGTCAGTGGGATACCATGTAACTCAGAGTCTGAGTTGCAAGCCACACACCTTTCTCAAACATCTGGAATAATGCAATCATGAATACCAAGCACTGAGTATGATGGAGAGAGCGCACACGAAGGGCTGAAGGACTGAGTGTGTATATAGTACGACAGCGTGATGGGGCCGCAGTTGAGATTATCGATTATCGACCGAATTTGCTACGATGGAGTTGCTTTGAAGGTAAGTAGGAGGCGTCATATACTAACCGTACGTGCTGTTGGTCAATGGCCAAGGCGTTGATTGTTCTGACCCTTGCATTCGGGTACGACTTTATTAGTAATCGTATATATATCGCACGTATAGACGCAGATACACAAACGGATGAATAAAAATTGTTGAACCGACGCATTCAAGAGTCAAGACATATCAGTCACGTGATGTAAACCTTCTGATCCTAACAACGTTCAACACACACCAATCGTCCAAGAGCCAAGGACATATTCGCCAAGGACATATTCGACCAGTACTATGAGTAGTACTAGTCACATTTTACAAAATTGTGAACGAGAACCAACCAGTAAATGAAGATGTGGGCCGAGAGCAGACAGGGATTCTGTGTTGGCCAGACGTGCACCTGATCGATCCGTGTACGTTGTGGCATGACCGAAAGCCTTGAGTCGTTCTGGTGAAATCGTAGGTATACTACTCACTGATGCGAAGTGACGCGCTGGAAAAACCATGGCAAATTAGGGAGTGACAGTTTTGGGTAGTATCAATGCATACTTCTTGCCTTGCCGTCGCCCGTCTTGCAGGTTTTGCGTTCGTCTTCGTTCAATTGATGATGCATCTTGCCTATAAGGGCAGTTTCATGAGAGTTGTATGGCCTAGGCTATGAAACAAGCCTTCATCCGCGCTTACAGTCTGCTGGCAGGTCCTGCATGTCCTTCCCGACTACAGAAACCTTAGAGATTGTTGCCTGGAACCCTTCAAAAAATGCAGTCACGTCTTGATGCGGCAGGATTTGTTCCATGAATGTATATATAAACACCAAGGTGATACAAATACAAGGACTAGTGTGAGCTCTCCGACAGGACATATGGTCTGCTGACTTTGATTCAGGGCCAGCAGGATGATGGCACATCCAACCTGACTCTGCCTGCGATGTGGAAACGAAGTAAATATCTATCTAAGGCGTGTCCCTAAAGCCCATCAGGTACTGCATAATCTGGAAGGCAGCCTAAAATCATCGGTTCCTGTGTTAGGGCGCACCTGCACATCAGCGTTGCCAACTTACCACTGGTGCAAACTGTGGAATCCTACAGGAGACATCAGAAACGGGACCCTGTGAATTGTGGCAAACTCACATGTGTCCACTCAAAGCTCCTTCGTAGTATGTGAGTCCCCGCTCCGAATGTGTTGTGCCATAGGCACCCACACCATCGACAATGAAGCTGTCGTTAGCGATGGGCGTCTGGAATCCTTGCAACCCATTCCCTGAGAATATAATGAGTGATTAGTAGTGTGCATCAAACATTATGAGTCACGCACAGGTCATGCTATAGATGAATCCTATCAATGAAAGTGATATAGTCACACTCAAGAACGCACTGACTTTTGAATGACAATTCTGGTTCTAAATCATCGAACCATGCGTCAGAATATACGAAGATCAAGGGTCGAAGGTGAAGTCATACCCATCAGCAATGAGAATGAAGTCGGCGAGACCGTGCACAATGACGGTCCGCTGGTTCTTCTCGATAACATTCGGTAACACGGTGAAGACAGGAGGCAAGCTGTTGTCTCCATTGGGGAAAACATTGATATTGGAGCATTCCGACCACTGGGTCTCAACGGGCGCGTGAATAGCTTCCTTGACATTGATAACCAATGCATTATAGAAAATGTCGTCCCAGACATCGCAGCCCTCGGCAAACTCGATAGAGTCTCCAGGTAGGGGAAGAAGACCTGTTGGAGGGTATGTAACGTACTTATCCATGTAGCCAGTGTAATTGTACGTCGCGGCCTTCTCGTTGAGGTAGTCCGTGTATGTTTGACTAAATATCAATCGGTCAGTGACCTGCAACTAGATCCGAGTGAAATGAACAGACTTGAAAGAAAAGAGACCAGAGTATTTGTTCACGAAGTCGACTGCAGGGATCTCCTCTTGAACCACATCCCACGAGATTGAAGTTGAGGAGTTTCGGAATTTTCCTTTTTAGTTGTATCTGAGTATGATGTAGTATTGGGTCTGTGTGGCTTGTAAAAACAACCCATTGAAAGCAATTGCCACTGCTGGACTTGCCAGACTGAGGTCAGGACGCCCGAAGGTCTGAGTGGCTGCAAAGACAAAACATCGTGGGAAAAAGGAGTCGGGGATTGGGCGCGTAGGTGCTGTTACGATTGGGTCAGTAAATCCGATCGTGGGTAGGTAGTACGTGGGTAATGCGAGGCACTAGAAAATTGGGGTTAAAGCAATGATGAATGGGGTAAGGCTATAGTGCAGTTAGATGTCTGTTTTACTTGTTTAGATCATATGTAACACTCATAGTTCATGTCACTTGCATCTGCTTGCCTGAGTCGAAGATGGCTTGCACCGCCTGATCAATAAGCATGTATATTCTTCAAAACATGATTATCGAGCAGACAATCACGCCAGGCTATTCGATAGGTCATAGGTAACATGGTATATTATAATAGAAAATTCATACAATATAGGCAACTTTTTTTGTCTATACGGTTTTGTTGACAATCAGACATGTATCAGCACGAGCAAATTTCTTTCCTTCGATTGTGGTTATTTCTGTCGCATCCTTCCTCGCTGTCATCGTTGTATGAATGCTCCCCATGAGGTCGCCTCGTATCAAAGTGAACTTCTTGTTTTTCCCTACCGGTGGTTCCGGGAGAAGACATCCAAGAGGAATAGGATCCACCTTCATCCCCTTATTTTTCGTCCTGGAGGAGTATCTGATGAATATTTCACCATCTTTTACTGGTCCTCCCTGGAGGATGAATGGGTCCGGTGAAACCGTGTCAACGATCCGATTATGATAGGATGCCCAATCAGATGATGGGTACGCTATACGTAATTTCATATGCCAATTATAGCATAACTCGGTGATTAGGGGATTGTGTAAAATTCCAGCGAGACCGTTTGCTGCGATCAACGTCAGTGAATGCAGTATAGAACATGAAATAAATTAGGCCATACAAGGAGCGGATGATGCACTCGCATCGGGAGGATGCAATAGGCGTTCTGCCCTATCGCTTTCGTTGAATGTCCAAGGGTCATCATGGAGTGTTGTGAGGGAGGGACGCCGGTCTATCCCCAGCGACTTGATGGAGGCATCCCACACCGATACCTGTACAACAGGAGTGGGCTCATCAGGAGAAGGTGAGTGACGAGGAGTTTGAGGGGGTGCAACATGCGGGAGTTGGACAAATGAACTTCGAACTAATTTGAGGAATTCCCTCAGCTGACTCGGAGGCAAGTAAACACCGGTGAGGAGAACTCCCTTCCAGCTGCATGCGCATGAGTGGGATTAAACAAATTAAAGCAAGTAAAGTGTTTCCTGACCTGGCGACGTGAGCTCGCATGAACTCTTGCTTCCGGCCTTGAACTGCAACCTCACATCTGTTTTGAGAAAGCGATTGCAAGGTCCCTCGGTAGGATTTCATGGGGCCCTGTATGATAAATACCTCCTTACCGAGAAGGTGCCGCATCGGATCACGGTCCGCCCGCCCATGAATTCTCGCGACATACATTATAGAGGTTGTGACCTGTAATCATTACCATCAGATGGATAACTGAAATCAACGGGAACTGACCTCCTTTTGCAGCATGTCTTTGAATGTCAATGTTTTATCATTGAGATTCACGCGCAGCACCGTCCCCGACGCACGGAGTGGGTTACCTCTAATGACTTGAACGATATCGCCAGCTACAACATCGTATCCGCGCTCAGGAGTATGTCGAAGAACAGTCGGGTTGGGATTAAAGGCCGTCATCCTTATCGGCACCCATACGTGGTGATTTAGTGAGTCTGAAAAAAATGCAAGTGTCCGGGTCGGCATATCGACCTTGGAGATCACCCCGAATTCGCCTCCGTAGAAGCCCTCAGTTACAACGACGTGATCACCTTTCATCGGAAAGTCATTGTCGGTTGATGTATTTGTGGGAGCCTGTTTGCTGATGTCCCCAATGAACGTTGCCAAAGAATCGATTGCAACAGTGAACTTGAAAAGAAAAAAATATTAGCGATGCTATGAAAATCAATAGACCACTTACTTCGAGATCGGAAGACTGGTCGACTACATCAACCATGCCATCATCGACTTGAACAACCATTCCAGTTTTCCCCTTGAGTTGTAGGGCTACTGTAGTGTTGTCGAGCACACGAACAGTGTCTCCCACACGGAATTTCCTTTCCAGATCGGATATGGAGAACATTAGCGGCTCGTGAGAGATTTTCTCTATGTGCACCGATTCCTCCATGTGCACTGATGCCGAACGGGTGCTCATATCAACACAATTAATCTTCGCCGTGCATCCAAACATTTCCCCCGCTCTAACTCTGACTAAGTCGCCTTCTATCCAGTGTTGAGTGGCATACGTATGCAATGTAGACTGCACGAACGCAGGATTACATCTTGACTCCTGGTGAAGTGCGATGCTCTCCGGAGTGGGAATTTGAATCTCAACGACTGTGGTCCTACACAATCTGAGCGCCAGAAGGCCGTGGATATAGGTTTTCTTTTGGCCCGCAGAGCTTGGGATGCCGTTGTATAAGCGCGGCACGTGGGGGTCCTTCCCGACATCCCGCTCTGGTATTTCTCTGGACGCAACTAATAGCGTGATGGTATCGGTTTGCGGATCAAACGAATATCCATACCCCATGTCATGCCGATACTGCCCGCGTATGGGGCGATACCAGCCAGGGATTGACATGTTGGGTTTGCTGGAGACCTGATCCTCCTGAGGGAGAAAGAGGACATCGAAAAAGCAATTGGCAGTGAGAGGAAGGCCAAGCCTTCCTGACGACATAGGTATCTTCGGCCTTGACGCACAAACGACCTGGGAGCGTTGAATGTGTGTAGACCTCTAAGCCCTTGCTTTTCAATTGTGCAGCTAAGAAAGATGTTTTCGAAACTAGAAATGTTGAATATAACATGTATACATAGGAGATGTTTACTCACATGGCACTGTGATAAGCCATGTCGGGAGCTCAGGTGCTGACCCCATCCCGACGTCTTGCGTACTTGATATAGACTCTTCGAGCACTCCTATTCCTCTACGAGGCTGGTCCGAGGCTGCTGGTAACGCTGCGCTTGACATTGCACGCTCGACCATGTTGGATGTCCGCGTGCCAAATATCTGGAGCCTTGCCTCAGGAGTGACAGCATCAACGACGACATCCAATACGGACTCCCAGTGAACCATCGCCGTCGGGTTGTCTGAAAATTCCACTTCCAGAAGGTGGTATGCGTGACTAGAGCTGATTTTGTCTTCAATGAAACTCTTGATAGTGTGACGTGCGACCTCGCTGGAGGAAGGAACTGGTCGTGAAGGGTCCATTCGAGTTATTATGTCCGGTGATGGTGGTGCTGCGTGGACCCGCAACGACTCAGAGTTTGGGGTGAACCTGCTTTCGAGTTCTGCCAACTTCTCAAACCAAGCACATGCAGATTGGTGGTATGATCCCTCTGAGGGCCCCGCAACTTTCGCTGTTGATGGAATGTGCCGAGCTTTGACAGCGCGAAGATTTTTCAAAGCCTGAATATTGTCTTCATCGGCTGAGAAGAGTGCACGTATCGCCTCCGTCCAGTCCTCTTCACGATATCGAGAGCCCAGGTGTGAAACGAGTTTCGCTTCCGTTTGAGGGAAGTTGATGTCCGAGGTAAGGTACTCCTCCAGGATGTCCCATGCTGCTTCGTCTTGCTGAGGGTCCGACAATGTTGATGCCTGATCATCCTCAGAAGCCTGGTCATTTATGAAGGAACCGTCCTCTATAGGCAGGTGAAATAGGTGGAGATATAGACAAGATCCAGCGACTCACCTTCTTCCTCTGTACCCTCGTTTTCCGCCTCAGAGTCGACAAGCGCCTCCGTATCAAGGTAGCGCCTTGCCAAATTCGTGTATTTGGCGCGCTTGATGCGCGCTTCTTCAGTGATTTCGGAAGTTGCTGGCCGTTTCGACATTGAGCTGTGAGTAGGTTGCTAACAGTAATGTAGTAGCGTTAGGCGTGTGCTCTAATTGTGTAAAGTACGGGTCCTAGTCCATATGTATGTAGTACGCGCTATCTATCCTAGAGTCGAGTCAAGAGATAGAGATCAGAAAGAAGAGTCCATGTACGCGACCGAGCCTATTTGTAGTGAATCCCATTTTAATTCTCACAGTCTTCGCCACAATGCCACTTTCCATAAATGGCATGAACAATCAAGATTCAGCAACGGGACACTGAGTGGACATGAAACATACCTGTATAAGGCTCTGATAATGTGGTCAATGCGCTAAAGGAGAAGTAAAATAAACAATCTTGTTCGTGTGAATGTGAACTTTGAACTTACCATCGAGTCTAGCTTGACGTGATAATATTTGCGCAGCCTTTCCGGACGAATGAATTTCTGCCTTGTCTTACTCAAGAAAGAATTAATACTACGACACGACGGTAGCGTACTACCAACATTTCCCTATTGGATAACAAGACTAATATAATAATATTTTTGGACTATAGCTATGTATGGCGCAACAGGATGATAGAAAATCCACTCAACCAAAGGTTTCGAGGAAGAGTTGGACTCCGCCGGAAATACCCGAAGTGACTGATTACGTGATTTTTCACTTTTGAAGTGGGTATCTAAGGACGATCCCGCAGAACCAATTCGTATCGCCATGTAACAACGGGTATATAGTATAGTACAATGTGATATCATGGCATATGTAATTAAAAGTCACTACTGCTGATCTCAAGCTGAAAAGGATGATCCGGACAAGAAAAAAGTATTTTGAGCCTTTCTAACGAATTCGTGTGTTTAGCCCGAAGTTCAACGCTTTCCAGCTCGTGAAAGGCGTCGAGCCAAGGACGACAATGGAACTACACGAGGGTGAGTGCCAATGTATGTACATTTGAAGGGAACTCACGAGGAGACCATCCGGATCAGGACCATGCACAGAAATAGTTAACTGTTTCGCAGGTACGGTACGGCGTTCGTTGCACGGAAAGTCGAAGTGGTTGGCATAATGGGGAGCATCGAAAAAGCTCAACTGTAATACCTGAATACTCGAGAAATGTTGGGTAACGTCTAGAACAGCGGACAAACGGTTAGAGGTGAGATCTTCGTCGAACCGAAGGTTGAGGTTTCGAATACAGGGGGCTGAATGAATTGTGGCTAGCAGGGAAGTGAGGTACCAAGGTGGACCACCAAGAACGTTCAGGTGTAGTACACGGGAATTGTCAATTTGTTGCGACGTCTGTCTTGACAACTTCTGCAAGGAATGATTCTGCGATTTCGGCGGGAAAAGATTCTGCCCTGGATGAATCCACAATTGGCCAACATTCTGATGGCGGATCAAGAATTCAGCGAGGACATCAGGGGGACACTCGATGTCAACTGTGAACATTCGAAGCAGCGGGAGGTGGACGTTCCGCAGTAACGCAGCCCACTGAATGCCATTCAATCCAGTGTGGGTGAGCGAGAGGTCGGTTAACGGGGAATCTCGCAAGGTTGCGAGGGTGAGCGAGGCGACACATGGAGAGAAAAACATGTGCGAGTCCACCGATAATCGCCGGAGATGACATATTGCACTTGAATTCGATCCAGAAACAGGAGCAGGTACAATCGTACACAAGTCCTCTGTATCACTACTTGAATAACTGAAACTGAAGCAACCTAGATCCTTGACGAGCTGGAATAAAGATGCCAGATCTACTCCTGGGGGGGCGTCAAAGCACATGACCGATGAGATAGGTTTACTCTGAACACCTTTCAAGGACTGCAAGAAGATCTTGAGTGCTGCCAGGTCATGGTCACCAGTACCATGGAGGTCACAACGCAGGAACCGGGGGACGCAGAAAGAACTAGTGCGACTGTACAACGGAAGGGCTAGGCAGGTTTGAGTGTTGACTTGCAGCCATGTCCGCTCCACATGTAAGCCTATGGAATGTAGATATATGGGTGCGGCAAGGTCCATTGAGAGGACCGAGACTTGTGTGATCGAGCGCAGGTCTGCCGCAGGCAGATATTGGAAGATCATCAATGTAAGCTCGTTTGGAAAGGGCCAATGCGAACAAATCGCTTGTCCAGTCAAGGACACCGCAGGCAAGGGAGTTCCCTGCAAAAGACAGGGATCAAAAACAATTTTTCAAGGTTTGGGTTGACTTACGCGCGAAAGGAAGGGGACTGGACTGCGCTCCTCAGTCGGGCGAGTCTGAAAATGAAAATGAGGCATGCGTGGAGGACCGGGACATGGTTGAACTCACGGTGAGGTCAGCAATCGTATATGAACGGGAGCGAGTACGCCTCTTGGGACTGGGAGGAAGGGAACCATCTGGTGTGTCTGTGTATGCTTTGCGTTTCGAACGCTCTTTGAGAATTGTGCGCGGTAGGTCTACAGTCCCGGAGTGGACCTGCAGACAAGAAGAATGAGGCAGGCGCGGAAGAGCAAAGAATGATTTAACTCACGGCGAGGTCAGCAATTGCATATGAACGGGAGAGAGTACGCCTCTTGGGACTGGGAGGAAGGGAGCCATCTGGTGTGTCTGTGTATGCTTTGCGTTTCGAACGCTCTTTGAGAATTGTGCGCGGTAGGTCTGCAGTCTCGGAGTGGACCTGCAAACGAGGAGAATGAGGCAAGCGCGGAAGAGCAAAGAATGATTTAACTCACGGCGAGGTCAGCAATTGCATATGAACGGGAGAGAGTACGCCTCTTGGGACTGGGAGGAATGGAACCATCTGGTGTGTCTGTGTATGCTTTGCGTGTCGACCGATCTTGAGGAATTTTACGCTTCTTACAAGGCGGCGTCGAGCTATCGGGAGAATCATCAATGATCTTCCGTTTTAAAATCATTGGCGATAATTCGGTTTGCACATGTGGAATGAGGTGCACAAGAGAAGCAGATCCGAGAGTCTGTGTGGTCTCCATAGCTAGAGGATGATGGGAAATGACACAGAATTACGCGAAGTATTTATTGCGAGTTGCGAGCAGACAGTTGCCCACTCACTGGCTGGACAATAGGCATACCCACCCGCGGACTGCAATGAACTAAACAAAAAAAATGAGCAAATGGATGCAGTATATCGTGAAGGCGATGATGAAAAATAATATCATGGGCCGACTCACCTGTCCAAAGAACTATCCTAGCGGGCGAAATGAAATTGATCCACTTCGGGGAGGCAAACAATAGTTTATCCTATAGTGCAACAAGCCTAGGCTCTGTTAATGAACGACCTCGGTCCAGATGAGTTACCAGCAAGCACCGGGTCTAAACAAGCGCCTAAACATCATCACAAGTGCGTCGTTTGTGTGACGTACATTGCTACGGGAAATGAATCAGGGGTTATGCATCTAGGCATCTGCGGGACAGACGTTCTGTGAAGGTTGAACATCAATGACGTTGCAGTTCGGGACGTACACTTACTTCAAACGACCTTTTGCATTGCTTTCGACGAGCAGGGGATACATTAACATCGACAATGCTATGCAATATGCCAATACTAGTGTACAGTAATGACATTTGAATCAGGTTGTCCATGTAACTCTGCCTTCGTTTCAAGGCAGCAGGGAAAGTCCCGATAACGATAATTCATTGTACATATTGCTTGGGCATAATTCAGTTAGACAAACTTGTTAAGCGGGTGAATATGAACTTATTACCTTCATGATCAGCAGGACATGCTATTTAGCAATGCGCGGATCGGTCGCTGGCGGGATATGAGTTGTTAGTTCGTTCCAGTGTCGAAGTGACTACCTTGTACTCACGTGTAGTACATGATTTTGGTCGGTCTTAGTTGTTATGTTATTATTGTAAACAAAATGAATGACTACTACGCAAAGTGAACGACTACAGACAGTTCTTTGTTTTCATGCAACAAGTACTAAGACAATAATAATGATAATAATGATAACATTGACAACATAATGACATTGACTACTACGCAAAGTTAACAACTAAATTAAATGATGATGGCAAGAGAAGGGAACCTTCGAAACAAGGTTTCGAGGCTTAAGTAGTGAATGGGAGGATTACACTCCGCCGGAAGTACCCGAACCGGCTGAGCGGCTCTGGGTCTGAGCGTTTGAGTGGCTGCCGGATAATTCCGTCGGAGTTTTGACTGTCTCGGAATTCACTACTTAGGCCCCGAATCATGGTTTCATTGTTTTCCTTTCCCCTATTATCATACCGCATACGCAACATTATAACAGTAACTTAATCTCATGTAGATGTAGTCTGTAGATTAGTAGATTGTTATAACCTGAAGTTATTGTATACGTGTTTACATTGTAGCGGATCTAGTCTTCAACTGTGTATTGCCAAACGCTATGCAGGTCATGAAAAGAACTAAGGTCTACCTCGCGCACGCCGCTGAGCCGTTGAGTAAGTCATTCCGTTCGGTCATGGGGTCATGATAGCTCATGTCAAATCGTCACGCAGACCGACGTCGATCGCTCCCGGCCTCAAAGTACTTGTGAGTGCCTCGGGCATCACGTCCCTCGCCCCTATCGCTTTCATCCACCCGCATCTAGATTTATGACTCGGCTGTCCAAAAGCACTCAGCCAAATTAATGAATTAGACTTCCAGCGCGTTTTTTGTCAGAGGTCCCCCGTTCGTTGTTCTACCTGTCTTATTGTGATCTTGTTCTAATTCTAATGTCTGGTTCTTATCTATTGTAGCGGTCCTAGTCTACGAAATTAATGAATTAGACTCCCAGTGCGTTTTTTGGTCACAGGTCTCCTGTTCTTCGTCTTATTGTGATCTTATTCTATTTTCTTTTCATTTTGTTGTCAGACAGGCAAAGCCAGCGGATGCCCCGCAAGCGAAGTCCGCAATTGCATGTATATTATGACACTACATCATGCGAGACAGACCTGCTGCTCTACTTGTTATTATGGCTCAACCCAACAACAATTTTATATTGGATGACGATCCAGAGATCAATCCAAATCCCCAAAACCTTGCCGCAGCACTCGTGGTAATTGGGCGGACCGCCCGCAAGTATGTGACTGAACTTGATGCAATTATCAACACTGACTTGGAGATTGCAATTTTCTCTAGTTTCATCACTCGCGGGAGCAACATCTCACCAGCTCCAACTGTGCCTGAACATCGCGCTACTCTAGAGAACAGGAACAACAATTCATTGACATACAAGCCATACAGGCCATACACCCCCTTTACACCTCCCGTCCCGCGCGAAGGGCAACATTCCAGCCACTCCCTGCACTGTGTATCCCAGTCTACCCCCACATCTTCCCTGAATGTCGCCTCCCACCAGGCCATGACCACCAAGTCTCCATCCTCGTTTCCTGCTCCTGCTTCATTATTGTCCCCTGCTTCTCCAACCATTCCGATGACCGTTTCTCCAGTCATCCCTACTACGCGTCCTGACACTTCAACTTTCAGTCCAATAATAGCCCTTCCAAATATATCTACCACATCTGCTCATTCGTCTTCTCGGACAACTGCCCCTATGTCCATCCCAGACGCTCAACAAAACGATAAAAACGATATCACCATGGATGATGGGCCGCCCTCCTCCCAAGCCGATCGCGAAACCATGATGGATCAAGACATACCAACAGCCGTTCCGCTCCCACCTACAAACCATGTCACCAGTCCTAAACCAGTTTCCGGTCTTCCTGTCAGCTCTGGACGAACGAAAGCACTGCCCTTACCGTCCATTACAGAATCTCATTTGGGACATCTGGTAAATCAGCAACTGTCTCAAATATCCGATCAGGTAGTCGTGCCTGCTCTCAAGAGTGCAGTCGATGCCATGATACCGACATTAATTGACCGGATAGCCAATGAAATTAAGAGCATCCACTCCACCTGCTCTCACAACCCTCGTGCCCACAACTCTCGCACCCGGAAACGTGGTGGGACATCTGAAGAGGATGATACTAGTGAGCCTGAATGTGACGACGATCTAACGCCTTCTCCTCGCAGGAAGCACCCAGGCAAGCGGGGTATCAAGAACCATTTACATGTATGTTCAAGGCGGTCCAAATGAACAGCGGCTGATATTATAAATTCAAGGATGTATTTCGGACATACCTACGGGAAAAACGCCTTCTAAAATACAAGTCAGGTCCCTTGCCGCAATCCCCTCCACCGCAAATGGTTCAAGCTTTTAATCATGATAATGAAAACCCACCAAGTTTGGACAATATCACCATCGACTGGCAAGATTCTCTGAGGTCTTCTTTGTGGAATACAGAGGCAGTCAACTTGTTAGTCGTGGACTTCCAACAAAAAATCCAGACAGGTTGTTATCCATTGGTAATTTTTGACGAAGATATGATGAGCCTCGATGACCTGCGCGTGCTCTGCATCATCAAGCTTCGTCGAACTCAACAAGCCTATCGAGATCGCAACAAGATAGCAGGACTTGCAGACCTGCAACAGAGAGAGGAGGCTACCCATGAACTATCTTCTCGTAGTACTCGGAGGCAACGTCTGGACAGGCTTAACACTCGTAAGCACGGAGTAAGTGTGCTGTACTACTTCCCCCATTCTGTGCCTTATGTGTTTGCAGACGCTCGAAAGACGTCGAAAAATTGCCGAACAAAATCGTCAACGCAATCCTCAAATGTGGGACACCATTAGGCGCATCATTGACAGGTTGGATGTCGATGGCATGAGCGGGGATGAAACAGACACCCCTGTTGGTGCGAAACCAAAGGTCGTGAGGCGCGTAGCTCTCCCGTGGATCAGCCCAGCAATCACTGATCTACTTCACGCTGTTGAGTCCTACGCCCCTGCGACGTACGAGGAAAATATGACAATTCCAGTTGGAAACACTTCGCTTTCTCGCTTTATGGAGGCGAGATGCACCTCCAAAAATTCTATTGCAATCGCACGGTTGCCTCGTAATTGGTATCATGATGATTGGTACAAAGTCAATTCAACCAGTGCTCGGGCACTTCTTGATGTTCGCAAGGACTTCGAAATTCCGCGCTTGGTTCGTCGTCGTATTGTTTAATTTGAAGTATACTTATCGTTTGACAGGAAGTTTATCATTCAATGAATCATGTCCATCGATGAAGCCCAATGCAGAGCTAAGAGTTGTAAGACACAGGAGATATGCGCTTACAGGTACATTTCACTCTCTACATAAGCCAGCGCGGTTTTTATTCACTGTTGTCCGTATCGTAACTTGTATGATCTTATTTGAGAGAGTACACAGACCAAACGAGCACAGGGTATGTTATTTTTGGTTGAATAACAGTAGTACATGACAGATTGAAAAGTGTAATATTAGCTTCATAACATGATACTGCGAAGGCACAATTTATGCAAAGGCAACAGTAATGTGTCGGACAACATTCACGGTCTCTTTACCTGGAAAGTCTTGCGGGTTGAGCGACGAGGAACTGGATGACCTGAGATGTGAGCTGGACTCAGTGATGAGGATTGAGGAACCGGAGGAGGCTCATCGGCAACCAGGTGAGAGATCCATTTCACAATGACCCCCTCAATGTCACCGTGAGTAACGGTGCTCTCAGAAGTTTCATCAACTGCACGAAGAAATATGAGGCGCCATTCCTGAACGAGAGGCTTGAGTTCGGCAAAGTAAGGCGTCGTACGATTCATCAACTCCTTGTCATGCTTTACGACGAGCAATAGCCCCGACTTGTACAAAACAGCCCTGGAGCCTACGTCCTCCAATTGATCAGACCACTGTTCTGTCTTCGGGTATATTATTGTCACTCGCGGCCCATCGTACGTGGTCATGAATTCGACAAAAATGTAGAAGAGAGACTCGAGATCATCGGCGGCAGTCTGTTCCGTCATCGTCATTTCGAGACCCTTCTCTCGCTGTTTAGACACCAAATGCAGATGGCGCAGAAGGCAGATAGACATGTATGGCATGGTGCCCTTCGAACAATCAGATCAGCCACTTGTACCAAATTGAATTTACAACTTCGACTCACTGTACCGCGTGAACAAACACTGGTGTTGCCTTGCGTGATGATCTGCACGTGGTCAAAATCAATGAAGTACCCTTGTCCTTCATAAATGATAAAGTTGTTTGGGCTAAGGTCTCCATGTAGGACATTCTTTCTGACCATTTCCTTGTGCGCTAAGGATGAACTGTAAGTGTCAGACTCAAATTTAAGCACCAAAGAAACCCACCGACTACGAAGTCGCGAAAAGCGCTTATTAGCTCTCGTTTAGTCGAGTATGTCGACAACGGTTCTCCACAAGGGGTCAAAAGCATGTGCCGGTGATATTTACAGCGGAATCCAGGACTGAATTTCCCGTGGCAATGACGGATGCGCAGCGTGGAGTCAGGCTCTCCATTGTACTCAACATCCCAAGCCGCAACGAGAGTAACTACATTAGGGATGCCCCGAACCAGCTCAAGGACCTTTTCTTCGTGATCCTTTTTTGCTTCATCCACCCAACAATCCTTCAATGCATATTCGACTCCGTCCCTGTCCCGAACGCGGTAACAAATCGTTCCGCGAGAGAAAAGACCCTGACTTCTCCACAAAACGGCGATAATCCATAACTTCTGCTTTTTCTCGTCCTCTATCCAACCGATCCCATTGTCCCCCACGTGGCAATGTGATTGCTGGCAGGACTCATTGCACATGTGCATGGTGGGATCCATGCCATAGGCTTTGCTGTTGGCTAACGACATGGTGTTGAGCATGTCGACAAGACGCGTCGGGTTTCCGTTGATGGTGATGGGACGTGTGACGATAAGACCTGAATGGTCTATATAGTGAGCGCGAAGATTATTTGCTGCAAGGCTGAAAAGGATGACGAAGCGGCGCCAGGGCTGTTCTCGCATCATGAGGTAGCCTTTGGTGACCACCCCCTTGAACAACGGTATGTTATGGTTTGCGCCGAGGTCGGATTCGGTGATCTCGACGCATGTTAGGACGTGTGCCCAACTTTTTGGTTGAACATCACGATCGATGAGGACTATATCGGGCTTCTGGTTGTTGGTCACGTCCGGAATAGGAACATTGCAAAACTCCGGTGACCATTGCCGATGCGGGCGTTTGATGTCTGCAGGCTCGAAAGGGTACATAGGCGAGCGATGAGGGTATGTCTCCTTATATGACATGCGCATGGCGATATAGACGACATTGAAAAGACGGGCCCATTTTTGCTCTGGTGTTCGCTTTGGGGTCGGGTTTCTGTTTGATTTGTTGGGATCAAATTCTTTGGTGCTCCAGCTCTGATCACTAGTGTCAAGCGCGGCTGACGCAGAGGAATCTTCATTTCCTGTCCCAAAACCCTCTGTATCAGAATCGGTGTCATCCAATACCTGTGTTTGGTTCTGCCTTTGTTTTGGTATATGCCTGATCGCATTTTTATCAAGTTGCCACTTCGGACCGACCAATATTGGCACTCCGGTAGTGTACGTGATCCCCCCGATAGCTGACAAGCGGATGCTCGATTTCGGGATAAGGTTATCATTGAGAGAAGGAGTAGTTGCAGGAAGATCACTTTCTTCCCACAAGACGTTATCTACAAGATCATTGTCCAATAGATTGTCCATGCATGGCTGGAGGCGACGTATAGGGAATGCGCTTGATGAGCTGACCATAGACAAGATGCCAGATGTTGAGGTGCTCGTCATGATGACATAAGAGACACTTGTCCCCTAGCGACGTCAGTATAAACTAAGTCTACACAAGGAATAACATACGTTTGCGTTTGCGTTTTATTGAGAGAGGAGATGAGATGAGACGTAAGCGAGGTTTCGCACCATAGTGAATCGGATCGAGTCACTGATGTTCCAGAACTCACTGGCGCTCGGTGCTCAGCCGCAATCAGATACAAGAACAAATACAACCGTGCATGGGTGTTAGAGCCCGGTATCTTGGCTCTAGATATCTTGGCTGTTCCGAGTAGTACTAGCAAATGTGTACAAGAGAAGGGAGAAATAGAGTATTGTACATCTAACATCCATGCTGGAGCATGCGAATGCAACCTCGGTGAACAGAAAATCATAGCTGTGCATGCCCTGATCTATGGCAGTAATCGTCGACCGAACAGTAACCAACAGAATTCAAAAATTGCTCTATACGAAAAAAAATGGAATCTAAGATTATAAAAACCTGCAGAGGAATGAGATCAAGTCAAATAGCAAGTCAAAAACGCACCGGGAGTCTGATTCGCGAAGATGCCTGCCGTCCTAGCACGCATGTTGGGAATTGAGATTGATCTCTGAGTCGTCAAGATCACAATAAGACGAAGAACAGGAGACCTGTGACCAAAAAACGCACTGGGAGTCTAATTCATTAATTTCGTAGACTAGGACCGCTACAATAGATAAGAACCAGACATTAGAATTAGAACAAGATCACAATAAGACAGGTAGAACAACGAACGGGGGACCTCTGACAAAAAACGCGCTGGAAGTCTAATTCATTAATTTGGCTGAGTGCTTTTGGACAGCCGAGTCATAAATCTAGATGCGGGTGGATGAAAGCGATAGGGGCGAGGGACGTGATGCCCGAGGCACTCACAAGTACTTTGAGGCCGGGAGCGATCGACGTCGGTCTGCGTGACGATTTGACATGAGCTATCATGACCCCATGACCGAACGGAATGACTTACTCAACGGCTCAGCGGCGTGCGCGAGGTAGACCTTAGTTCTTTTCATGACCTGCATAGCGTTTGGCAATACACAGTTGAAGACTAGATCCGCTACAATGTAAACACGTATACAATAACTTCAGGTTATAACAATCTACTAATCTACAGACTACATCTACATGAGATTAAGTTACTGTTATAATGTTGCGTATGCGGTATGATAATAGGGGAAAGGAAAACAATGAAACCATGATTCGGGGCCTAAGTAGTGAATTCCGAGACAGTCAAAACTCCGACGGAATTATCCGGCAGCCACTCAAACGCTCAGACCCAGAGCCGCTCAGCCGGTTCGGGTACTTCCGGCGGAGTGTAATCCTCCCATTCACTACTTAAGCCTCGAAACCTTGTTTCGAAGGTTCCCTTCTCTTGCCATCATCATTTAATTTAGTTGTTAACTTTGCGTAGTAGTCAATGTCATTATGTTGTCAATGTTATCATTATTATCATTATTATTGTCTTAGTACTTGTTGCATGAAAACAAAGAACTGTCTGTAGTCGTTCACTTTGCGTAGTAGTCATTCATTTTGTTTACAATAATAACATAACAACTAAGACCGACCAAAATCATGTACTACACGTGAGTACAAGGTAGTCACTTCGACACTGGAACGAACTAACAACTCATATCCCGCCAGCGACCGATCCGCGCATTGCTAAATAGCATGTCCTGCTGATCATGAAGGTAATAAGTTCATATTCACCCGCTTAACAAGTTTGTCTAACTGAATTATGCCCAAGCAATATGTACAATGAATTATCGTTATCGGGACTTTCCCTGCTGCCTTGAAACGAAGGCAGAGTTACATGGACAACCTGATTCAAATGTCATTACTGTACACTAGTATTGGCATATTGCATAGCATTGTCGATGTTAATGTATCCCCTGCTCGTCGAAAGCAATGCAAAAGGTCGTTCGAAGTAAGTGTACGTCCCGAACTGCAACGTCATTGATGTTCAACCTTCACAGAACGTCTGTCCCGCAGATAACAACTAAGACCGACCAAAATCATGTACTACATGTGAGTACAAGGTAGTCACTTCGACACTGGACCGAACTAACAACTCATATCCTGCCAGCGACCGATCCGCGCATCGCTAAATAGCACGTCCTGCTGATTATAAAGGTAATAAGTTCATATTTGCCTGCTTAACAAGTTTGTCTAACTGAATTATGCCCAAAGTGCGTCCCGAATGGCGGTGTTGTCGCCACTTCAAGCCTCTCATCATTCATTGCGAATTTCCCCCTGAACGAGGCTATACCCCTCCTTTGACACATCGTCGCCTGATGCCGCAGAACGCAGATGATGCATCACCAAAAGTCCTACGAGGTAAGTTAGTACAGGAAGGCCAGCGAATCAGCCACTCATAACTCACCCGGTTCATTGGCTTTAGTACCAATTCAGATGTTTCCCAAGGCATCGACACAGCGTGGCAAAGCTCACTTGTGCACACTGGAACAATATCCAGTTGACTACTTTGAGCGCACTTCCATATCTGTGCGCCAAAGTCGCTGTAAGCTAGAAAGGGATCTTTGTACCCCGCGGGCACTGGTAAGCGACCTCGGATTGCAATGGAGTAAACCCGATCGTGATCTTGCCCTACAGAGAATATGTGTTCAATGACGCCAGGCGTACGTTTTTTGGATGTATTCTGGAAGAACACACAACTATCCGGAGCGGAATAGTTACAACTGGAATATTGCAACCCTCCTATGTCCAGTCATTTATACTCCGTGATGTGGTCGTTCCCATTGAGGTGAGTTCCTGCCTTATCTAAGGCGTGTCGAAGGACATCGGAAAGCGGGGCTTTGATGACATTAGCATCATCGTGCGAGACGTATGAGATTGATTGCGTAGCCGTGCGCAGGATGCCAACGTCTGTACAAAATCCTTCTGCGAAAGGAGGGCAGCATCGCTGCAGGATTTCAACTGCTTTGTTGACGATATCGGGTGCTCCAGGCTCTTGAAGCATCGCCTTCACACTTGCAGCGGCACAGAACGTCTCTAGCATAGTTCTTTCCAGCTCCCCTGCAGAGCCTATTCAATATGCTTCTATGAATTTTCATTCCATGCTCACCAATTTTGTGGTTCGTATTGACCTTCTGCAGGCCACCAATTATCCGTTCAAAGGGGAACATCCACCAGCCATGCATGGGTCCATATCTCAGAAGGAACTCATGTAGGTGGAGACATGCATGGTGATTAGGACAGAAAGAATGGCCTGGAAAGACATCTCTAACGCACTCCAGATAGGCCTTCATGTATTTTCCATATTGCTGAGTGTGATGTGGGGATGTTACGTGTGATGTTCCCCATCGTATTGCCATCGCTAGCAGCATAGTGCTGTGAGCTAATTTTGGCCTCCGTTCCTCTCCATCACCATATTTCGTCCCCCAAAGTTTTACGAGCGTCACCGGTAAGTCAAATTCAATTGCCGTCCGCCATTGTTCTGCCTTGAGCTTACCGTGCTCTGCATCCCCCAGATTCTTCGGCGGCCCGCGGTGCCATGAAGGTCGCATGATGCCGCTTAGTTCTGCTTGAATTGCATTAATCTCCTGGTCTGTCAGGGCTTCGGCAGACAGGTCTTTCTGGTCGGTTTGGCGCTCTACTTCGACTGCATATTCCTTCACCAATTCCTCCGTGACAAATGCTTCGTTATCCACTTCCATCCGATCCTCGTCGTTTCTTGAGATACTGTATGTGGGTTCGGCCTGTTCATTGTCAATTAGGTTTCTGGTGGCTAAATATGGAAGCGCACCAACAGCGCTTCAATCATCTTCTTTTTAGTGTCACGACCATTGCTCGACAATGTTATCCCTTTCTCTTGGACGAGAGCTTGTAACACAGGCAGTCGTAAGCGGGTCATAGCGGAGGGGGTGCGGTTTGACTCCAGGACTTTTTTGCCCTTGTCTAATTCCTTTGGGTCGACAGGTCTTGTATCTGGCTTCCTGATTGCCTTGCTCGCCTGTTTGTCTATGGTGATCAAGTCTCTGAAATGGTGTTGCACCACCCCGAGGAAGAGGTTATGCATGCCGTCGATGACGACGAACCGCACTGGATCCCAGTAAGGCAGTCATAGAAGCTCGGACCACCTCACTCCATGTCGCTTAAAGATTTTGGTGCGTTCCGACTTTGTTTCTGCATTTTTCCATTCTTCTGCAGCTGCCCTGTGTTCTTCGCATGTACGTCGTTTCCATTTGTTATAGTCAAAGTTCGCAATTTCTGACTTGTTCAGCCAGCAAAGTCCACACATCTGATTTGCAGTGGGGCCCGCACGTCCTGAGAGCTTGCGAGCTGCTGGTAGATCGTTGATCGCCACTGCAATGACAGATCTCGAAAGTCTCCCTTCAGCATGTTCATGCGTCCTGGTAAACCATGTCCCGTCTTTCCATGATGGTAGGAAGAATTCAATTACTGGGCGAAGAAAGTGATTAATCTCTTCGAGAGCTGGTTCTCTAGGTCCGGGAATAATGCCGACCAAGTACATGTTTTCAGGCTTATATCGCAGACTGGGTGGGAGGTTCAGTAGCCCCATCGCAATTGAGCCAACTGATTTCTTCTTGCCAGAGGTCTTATTTCCGTGTGGGTTAAACCAATCCGTCGAAAGACTCCACGCTAATCTTAGGTCCCTTCTCTTTAACCCATCCATGAACGGCTCCCCGTCAGGACCTAATATCTCCTGCATCACAGTGCCATCCTTGATATCCCACAAGTGGTACTTTTCATTCATCATCGTTCCACGGTCCATAGCTTCTTCTATGCCCGGCCAACTGAGCAAACCAGCAAGAAAAGCATTGAAGTCTTGGACAACATAGGGGCGCACTGGCGCCCATGATTTTAGCCCCTCGTCCTTGGTACGTTTCACCAACAACTGGCCGCATGGCATACTTGCTCGGTATTTCATATAGGTACAACGTTCGGGGTACTGCGATTTTTTTTTCGTGGTCACAGGCGGGTACGTGCATGAGCATCTTGTACAAGTAGCGAACGTTCGAGTAATTGGATCCAGGTCGAATTTTTTGCGGACGGTACAGATATCACAGGGAATTACTCGACTGGTGGACTTTCCGAGCGTAGTTTCGAGGAGGAGATTCAAAAGCCCGAGAACTGCATTGCACCATGGTCTGGTAACGTGTCCAAAAACGTTCAGGATCAACGCAATAAGCATGGTGAGGAGTATGGCAGGGTTGGCGTTGTGAAATCTTCGTTGAAAATTAGGTCCTGGTTATAATTCAGTATGCAGTCCTGTTTATTCAATATCTCTTACCTGTATCGACGATTGCTGAGGCATTATTCAGGTCTTCCTTCGTTCTACGACCCAGCACGTCTACGATACTCCCCACTGCATCTCTAATCTCATGCAATGATTGAAGAAATGCATGCCGCAATTCTTCGTTACAAGGATCGTCATTTACTCGCATATCTCTGACCTCCTCCTGGGCTTTCTTCATCCAATTACACTCTTCGGTAAGCATCGTCAGGACCTGTTGCCCGTCAGACGAGTCAAGCTTATTCACAGTATTGGTTACGCCCCGAAGACGAGCGTGCAGCTCAATGTCAAGGAGGTAAAGTCTGCGGTAATCTTCTGATTCTTGATCCTGAATCACCACTGAACGCTCCCTTGAAGCTCTAGTAGTATCGTCTGATGTGGATCGGCTGGCCACCTGTTTCGCCTCACTAACGCGCCAGTTCTGTGTTCTGTGTTCTAGTGTTAATTGGAAGATGCTTCTGGCGAGGTCCTCATCGTCATCATCCTATTCCTCTATTTGTTAACTGAATGCATGCGTTTGCGATGTGCAACTTACCATTGCCCTTTCCTTTGACATGCCGTCGATGGTGAAGGTACACTCCAATGATTTGGTCGGTTTTGTAGTGAACGCAAGGTTGTTATCGATAGAGAATTTCTTGTTCATTCATTGGATATTCATTTAGACCTTCTATTTTTCCTTCTCTATGAATTTTTTTTTTTAATTTGTATCTCGCCCGACAACACTGACAATCGGATCAGGCTCAAGGGGAGTTTAACCGCTCAGCCACTTCGGGTATTTTCGGCGGAGTGCAATTCTCCCACTCACCAAACCTTGATTCTTTCTGATTGTCTCATATCATCTTAATTTTGCGTAGTAGTATGAAAATGTTATTGTAGTATTGTATGAACGTTAGTGATTTTGTTGTCTTGACGACTCCGTGATTGTAGTCGTCCGTCTCTCGTTTGTCTCTCTCTGAGGCGAAGAATAATCAGTACAAAGGTATTTGAATTTAGGCATACCGCTCACTGTCTCAACACTGACTGTCTCATCGATGACACCGCATCGTGTGAGTGATTTAATTATTCTGATACAATCCCCACCCTCACCCTCACATTGATACAGAAATCTTCAGACTTGGTTTCGCGTCGAAGACGCATGCCCGAATCGACCAACAAACAGAAAAAAATCGAAATGCCCATCAATTTACCAAAGGTGAGTTTTAGCTGTTCTTCCAATACCCCATATTCAAGTAGGAACTTTATAGCCATATTCCCAGCTGGCTCAAGTAACAGCGGTTATACTCTCAGTCGCATTTTTATGTTTCGCCGTCCTTTTGGCTGTGATCTCGCTGGATTACTTACAGATATATCTATGTACTGGTAGACGTGTATGTGTATATTAGATTGATAGTCAATCGCAAACGGATAGAAGACATAGGGATATGGGATGCTCTCGCGCAATGCTAAAGAACCACCTCTTTTAGGGCACAATTGACCCGCATGCTGGCAACACTAGCAATAAAGAGTGGGGAGCGGTCTGAGAGGGGTACTCAGAGGGCCACTCATACATATGTTTCACATATCTACAAAATGTAACCAAATGTATCGCATTGACAGATAATGATAATTTTTAAATTTTGTTTTTGGACTTATCAGTTAGGCAGACCTTAAGTTTGATATCTGACTTAATCCTCCATATGGCCTTAGAAATGCCGTGTGAAATATGCACGAACAATTGTATCCTTGAAGGCGTTTCAATATTTGTAACCAGATTTAGGAAATGAAGTTAATATGCAACGTATGCAGATTACAAAAAGAATTCTCCCTGTTTTTGCCGAACTTACTCTGAATCTAATCAATAAAATTTGACGCTTATGCATATTTGTGATTTTATCCAAAAACTGTCCATCATCTGCACAATAGACAAATAGGTTGAAATATGCACGATTTTTCTCAAGATATGTATCACATCTGGTTACAGAACTTTTCCGGCTGTGTCTCAGGTGTAATGAAGCTTTCGCAAGCGCATGACTTGCAACGCGGAGTTACGGGACTCGTATTCATGAAATATACATATGTATATGTTTTGATGAACCCGTGCCAGTGGGGAGCCAGGCACAGGACTGTCCGAGTCGCTCGAATCCCGGGGATATCGATATTGCAGCTAGAATTATCATATATCATGATCGATATCGATAATCACTAGCACCAACAGGACTCTCAGATCCACTATGGCGTGCTGTGACGAGCTGCGATGGAGGAGGTCATGCATGCAGGCAGCCGCATGAGCGTCTCACTTCCTGCTTTGCCCATATGTATCACCTTACCGTTGCTCTTGTAGTGGTGAGAGTTCCAATGAAACAAGGCGGAGGAAATCAAGACACAATATCGCTCTTGGCTCTCCTGTACTCCAACTAGCATCAGGTCCGTCATCGCATGAGTACACTGGAACAACATTATATTTCAACATTGGGAGGCGATAACGGTAGCTTCTGCAAACAGTGAATGTCGCAAAATCCTACATCCTAACAATATATGCGCAGTGTTCTGGCGATGTCTGCAGTATATCACATGCCGCTCAGTCATCTTTGTCACTGTCCAATGCCTTGCGATCGACTTTGGGAACGATCAATCGAAAACTGGTGCTGCTCAATGACTGTTTTCTTGTTAGGTTTCCCTGCTAGATTGTGAGCAGTCACCTTTATTAGGAGATGTTGTGCAAACTCACATTGTCAGGGTGGGATTGCTAGAATTCGTGAATTCTAGCCGAGGGACTACGTACCACGAGCGAGAAGTTTGTATTCGCTTTGGATCGGGCGAACACCGGTAATTTGGACGCGATACTGTAGATTGGGAGGTTGGGTGTTGACCGGGACCAGCCAAGTACTCTGTTCCAATCTCGATGCTCTTCTGGGTAACGTCGCAGAAAGCACTTCTCTTCACACGAGCGAGGACATGTGTCAAAAAGTGACCCATAACCGGTTTGCCTCCCTGCAATCCACTTATTGTCTCAGAAGTTGTTGAGCAGGAGTGTCGCGCCCCAGCACAACGAGTAATCTTCGTCCTGTTTGCTATCTGTAGATCCCCACAAGCGTACGGAGAAATATCGTGGGAGAAATCCAACAGACTCCTTAGATCACCAATACTGGGAGGAGACAAGAATCTGGCATCGACACACACCGAGATCGCACAGTACTCTCTTTTGAAAAAAGATGCAAGTGAAATGAATCGTTATCGTTTTTGCAATGGAGGTGCTGGCCCATTAGTACACCTCTTGTGTTGATGATGTCTCTCCTGACTGCCAGTTGCAACCGCTGGTCGATCTGCCATAAAATGATCAACGAGCCAAAAATCTATGACGAGCAGAGAGTGGTTAGCGTGTTAGACATTACAGTAAAAAAAGTGCTCGCCTCGTTCGAAATAATTGATGGGTCCTCATACATTTATGTAAACCAACGAAGGCTGAATCGTGTGAATTTGTTGCGGACACTTTGACTCGCACCTCATGAGCGCTACGCTTGATACATCCAAAATGGTTATAGCTGGCCTAACATTAATATTTTATTATCTAGGACCTGAGGCCTCGAGGCCTGATGGGCCACCGTTACGCCAAGCTCCAAGTAGGACACTCGTGATTCGCCGTTCATTTTGCGCCGGTAAACCTCACTGCTATTAGTAGCGCTCAACGTTTGCTCAACTCCCACCCATCCCATTCGCGAGAACATGAGTGCTAACACGAACAACCTCTCTTCGACTCCACAGACCATTTATGTCAAACATGCGATTCATCCAGAGAGCGGTGATTCCTTCCGCGCTGTAGCAGCTTCCACTAAATCTCTCAAAGCAAGCCAGAAGGACTTCGGCGTACAATGTACGCAATGTCAAACGAAATTGGAGAAGCCTTTGAAATGCGCAAAGGTGGTGGTCAAATATTTGAATACTCTTTCAGCCATTAATCGAGTGTTGCAATATGCTTTTAGTGTAAGGGCGTCTGGTATTGCTCAAAAGAGGTATGATTTCCGACTGAAATGACACTGAAGTCTGAAGGGTTGTGTGCCTTCTTGTGTACAGTGCCAAAAGAAAAATTGGTAAGAGTTCTACCTATGATTAAACATATTGGGCCTCACTCTACATGGGCTCGATAATAGGTCCACCCACAAACCGGCATGCCATGAGGTCGAACGCTCCTCGGGGGTATTCAAATTCATACAAATGTTCGGTGTAAACCCGGTGCTCATGGGGCTCCTCAAAGTCGCTATCATCTTTGACTGTGGCCTGTTCGAGAATCCCCGGATCGGATTCGATGTGCCATTCATGGCACGTGCACGTGTTGACATTGCAATAGAACCTAGTGATGTTCTTGACTTTGTTAGATTGTATTTCAACGACAAGGCTGTTGGAGACAAACTTCAAGGGATGTTGCAAGTCAATACGATCATTCCGTGGCACCCAAGAACGCAAAGTCCCTTTATGCCGAAGCGGCTACAGCTGTGGCGTGAGGCTCGAGCAAAGTATAACTCAGAAGGTCTTGCCAAAGATCCCGTAGGACTCGTAAAGTTCATTGGCTGTAGTTGTGCAGAGGACTCAAAGAACTCATTGACTGCTGAGTTGCACATCCCGGCTGTTGTCCTTGACATGGCAAGGCAACGCGAGCCCTTCACATTTGTCTCTGCTGTCACGGGCATGCAGTTTAACAAACCCATGAGCACTGTGACATGTCTAGAGTATGTTCTCCGTTCTCATCCTTGGATTCTAGCAAGCGGCGCTTCTTACATTTACATTGCACAGGTATATCAATGTGCATATTCGAGCGGACAAGCAGAATCAGCTACGTTTGCGGGCTGAGATGACAGAATAAGACAAGCAAGCTATTCGCGCTGCAGGTCGTAATGAGCATACATTTCCGGCTCGTACCCTCAAACAGAAGATGGAAAGAGAACACCTCTATGCTGGTATCATGGAAATAATACGTGAAACAGCCAAATGTGAGTGTGAGCTTTTTCAACTTCTCGTTCTGTACTAAAACAAGGAAGGATTCTCGTACCTTTCTGATCGGAGTCTCTTGTACGACACCTCTTGAATGGGCTGCCATTGACATGTGCGAGCGATGATCAGTCGCCAGCACAATCTTGTCCGATACCTGTGTACTATTAGTGGAAAAAAGTTGACTCGATATCAGCTGCCGCGAAATAGTAATCCACATACTCGCCAACGGTCAATATTTTCATTCTTCCTATATTTCAATCTCAATTGTGACTGATCTCAACGGGCGTTGAATCCGCGTTGTGACGCACCTATTTGACATAATCAAACACTTGATAGACTCAAAGATCGCTGCAGAGGACCTCAAACTCAACACGTGTGATCGATGAATGGCATAGAAATCGATCCCGTCATGGAGGTAGGTGTTCGACGAGGCTCGGTATCAGTAGCGGAGTTAAGTGTGTGTTTAGGGCGCTCACATTCTACACGTAGAACTCATGCCAAGAATTTGGAGATGGTGGGAGATAATTTTCAGTTACTGCCAAGGTACACATATTTGATGCTTGACTCACACCTTAGCAGTAGCCATCCAACTTGCAAGAAGTATTCAAAACTCCTATGTGCGAATTTTCTTGGGGATTGTAGCTTTCGTCTTGCTGAATATCTGTTTTAGTTGCATCCCTGATCTCACTGATCAGATAATCAAAGACTCAGACACACCGGCTGCAGTGGGCGGCTATGCGACAATCTTCAAGTGCAGCTGGAACTCGCCTTCTGAATCTTCTCCAGTAGGTCTCCCCTAGTTGACAATCGACGTCGGCTGATAATTCTAAACACTACCAGGTTGCGGTTCAGATCGTCAAGGTTCTGCATGACTCTGACCGTGCCTCACTCAGTATGTACATTGAGACGTAAGTCTTTGTGCCACAGAAACCATGTTTGTAAATGACATTGGACAATGCAGGAAATTAAGAACAGCACTTTCACCTGACTGATCAGGAGTGACACACAAAGGCCGCGACGGTATCGATCGTCCAGACGACTAGGCTGCGGCGTGCCAAAATAGTCAGCCACGGGACGAACAATAGCGGGAGAATGTTGTGAGCGTCTAAGTATGCACTTTGACGGATCTAAAGCATCTATTGCAGCTTTCAAACTCGCCGAATTGGTAACTCCGACGTTGTAACTAATATTTGATGGGGTAGCTCATCGCACAAAGCTGCAGTGTTTCTCTTGAAGTGCGTTTCGGAATTCGAGCTTGTTCGACAGTGCCAAGGATTCTAATGAAATGTTGTAGACTTGTGACACCAAAAGGTGGCTTAACTGATTGCGTATATGTTGTCGTTGTCTCACATTAGAGTGACTGGCTCTTCGCATGTACGAGAATGATGAACTATCACTTGACCATGAAGAGATGGGTCGGATGGGCCGGATATTCTGGGATAGAGATGTCCTCCTGCTGACGGATCTATTTGAGATTGATGCTACGCTGAAATATCTAATTCGGCAGTATCAAATCGGATTCAATACTTCATTCAGTCCTCGACTTTCCCTGGAAGAAGTTTTTGGAGCTAGCAGTTCGTCCGCCTCGTGCACAGGAATCAAAACTGCAGCATATCACAGCCTGAGATATTCCTGTTTACGCTTCCAAAGGATGATGGGTTGCAACACAGGAAGCCCGGGCGTCAAACTCCAATTATAAAACGACCAAGGATCTACTATGGGCCTTATCTCCACCTTATATCGACACTTCAGTATGAGCAAACACGCAGGAATTATTCATCACTCTCCGGACCAAGGCATTCTGCATTTGCCGCTTCAAGAGGTCGATGTGAGAGTATGGATGGTCGATAGTGCGTATTTCGATCGCTGTGCAGACGAAAACCACTGATCAGCACGTCACTTTCCTCATACTAGTCTCTGCGAGGGTTGTGCTCTCGCAAGTGTTTGAGAACGTATCGAATAGCCCTACCAGCCGGGCCAAATATGTATTCCCTCTTCCAGCGAGCGCTGCTGCTTGTGCCTTTGAGCTCGAGCATGCCGATGGCCGCGTTATTGTCAGTGTCGCTAAGGAAAAGTCAGAAGCCGCACAAGCTTCCCTGAGTGCAATAGATGCTGGAAGGACTGCAGGACTTGTAGAATAGGGTGACACACGACAGTATTACTGGCACATTTCGATGATACTGGATGAGCACTGACTTTGACTTTACTGCAGTATTCACGATCTCAATTGGCTCGATTTCCCGCTCGACAGAAGGTCACAGCAAGATTGACAGTAAGTGCACTCTCGTTATTGAATCACTTTTTCTGAAGAGCAAATAGTTTGTAATGGATCTTTTGGATGAAGGCAGACGGGACTAGGTCCGTCTACAGCTTCCGATGGCTATTGCCGAACGATACGGCGAGATTCCAGCAGCTATGCTCGATGCCTCTACAACTAATGAAGATACGTTCATCAAAATCGCTGCGGACGTCATAACCAGTGAAAAGATACAGGAGATATGCAGTCCTACTCACCCGACGATTGCTCGCAAACACTACAAGTCACGCATTGGGAAAAAGTCTGAACGACGAATGTTCGTAACTTGGTCGTCCAGGACGGTCCTCGACAAAGACTTCATATTGACAGTCCATGCTCTTGGATTCGACAAGCCTCGGTGTTTCGCTGAAGTCGATCCACAGGGTCGTGATACCATTGCTATGCGAGCGGATGCCATTTATTAGCAGGATAATGAACCTTATCCTTGAGCTCATACACCCATCATTATCTCCTCTCACAGATAAGTGGACAGCCAAACACCCTCTGCACCTCACCTCAAATCCTTCCTCTACTCCTTCTCCCTCCTCGCCATCCCATACACCACCCGCCTCACTAGCTGGTTCAGAAGCGCACCAACATATGGCCAAAACCAATTATTCACGACTGGCCTTGTGGTTCTTCTCTACAACGTGTGTTATCTCACTCTTAGCCCAGGGTTCGAGATTCCTTTGGCGCAGGCGGGTGATGGATTGAGTAGTTTGTGGGTTGTGGGTTGCAGCGGAAAGCTTGGCGGCGTTTCGGCGCTCTATTCCTGCTTTGTCGTTCATTCATTTTATCATCCGAAGTGCACGTTCTCACGTTGATCTCCCCTTGCAGTCGGTCGCATTCTACTGTCCCGCTACTCTTACCTCCAACCCCTCCCTCAACTTTGCCCAAGTTCTTCAAGCTATTACTGCTAGTCCTGCTCGTGCAGCCAGGAGAGATGGTGGATAATTAGATGGTCGTGGTGATGAACAATTCGCCTCGCAAATTGTGAACGCTTGATCTTTCTCCCTTTTATTTGCGCTGTTGATATGTGGAGTAGGAACATTTGGAGAAGGAGCTCGAAGATGAGAGGGAATGGAACAAGGGCGACATCCCACATCTAGAATTGCTCGAGAAGCATTGCAAGGGGCGCGAAAAGGCTTATGAGGGATGAATGTGTGTTGCTCTTCCTACGCCAATGCTGATGTATCCTATCTTTTCAGGAAGTGAAAGCAGCAGCCGAGGAAGCGGCGAAGGATACGGTGCGGCTGGGACAACCTCATCCCTTACCAAAATCATCGCTGATCCATTGATAGACTGAATGATTTGATCCACCCGTCGAGCTCAAGTCGTGCTGACTGACCGCATCTCCCATCAGTACACAACCCTTGTGATGCTGTCCGGCCCAACTCTCGTGGTGCCCTTCGTGACCCCTCCTGTGGTAATTCTCGCGACCGCCTGCACCCACACGACCACCATTACCATATGCGTCATGCGAGGTCTTTAAGACTGGAAGATTCTCGTGATACAAAGTACTCCCGTTTTCCACAGAGCACCACTTTTTGCAAATTATGCTGTTGCTTTCATTCGACTTCGAGATCCACATCTCTGTTTGGTAACCTCGCGGGCTCAGGTACAAAAACATAAAGCTCGTTTTAATGACTTATGACCCGCTTATTGAGACCGAGGCAAAGGAAAAGTTCGCGGATGTCTATCAGCATTTGCTCCAAGCAGGCGTCAACAGGAATGAATCCGAGCGCGAGGCAAAGCTGAAGAAGACGCTCGCCAGTCTGCAGCGCTGCCTGCCTGGTCAGAGAAAGTCACCGCTCACATTCCATAGGCGTCCGCGGGCGCGTGGTCGACCTCTGTAAACCCACACAGGACAAGTACGAGACAGCTGTATCTGTCATCCTTGGGCGCAATATCGACGCTATCGTCGCGGATGAAGAGAAAACTGCCATCGAATGCATCGACGTGCGTTTCTCTGCCTTCTGTTATTGTCTATCCAAACTAATTTTGAAACATTATAGTATATGCGCACCCAGCGCGCAGGTCAAGCAACTTTCCTCCCCCTCAACACGACCAGCACCAAGCCAATCAACGACAAGTTCCGCTCATTTACTAGAGGTGCACCGTCTCGCTGTGGACGTGATCCAGTATGAGCCTGCCATAGAGCGCGCGATGCTCCATGCGTGTGGGAATGCACTCGTGTGTGACACGATGGATGTGGTGAGGTACGTGTGCTGGGAGCGGGGGCAGGAGGTGAGAGGTAGGTTGGCATTCATTTGCGGGAAGTTGGATGCCATGCTAACATTTGGGCAGCCGTTACATTGGCGGGCACTGTCATCTATAAGAGTGGGCTCATCACCGGTGGGCGCAGTACGGCATGGTGGAGGAAAGAAGTGGGAGAAGGACGTGCAAGGTAGGCAGCTCACTGACCGTGGCGCCTCACACTCATTTATATTTAGGCCTTTCCTGTCTTCGTGACAATCTTGTGGCACAGCTTCAGGAATTGGATCACTCGATACCGAGGGGCAAGACAGACGAAAACGTCATTGCTGAAGTTACACGACTAGAGAGTGCTATAGCTGTTATAAGAGACGATCTGGTACGTTCTTGTGACAGTAGTCGGTGGCACTACCATAATCTCATTGTCTCAGTTCAACGATGTCAAGCGAAAAAGGTATGCGAATAGTTTACTTTGAGCGCCATCCTCATCCCAGTCACCCGATGCGAGTTATTCAACAAGGCATACAACCACATTTCAGATTGTATCGACCAGGTCTATAAAGACCTCACTAAAGGGAAGGCTTCGCCGATGGGAGGCATTGCATATCTTAGTTTACAGGACAGTGAGGTGAGTCTTTCAGTCTGTCAAGTCCAGGCAATTTTACACTTATTGATCACAGGAACCTTATAATGCCGGAATCAAATATCATGCCATGCCACTGATGAAGCGATTCCGTGACATGGAACAACTCTCGGGCGGGGAGAAGACTGTGGCTGCTTTGGTCTTTTCGTCTTCACCCCAAAAACCTTTGTTCTCACGATGTCTCAGGTTGTTAGCCTGCACCGTTCTTTGTCCTTGATGAAGTAGACGCTGCTCTGGACAATACCAACGTTGCTAAGATCGCTAACTATATCTAGAGTCAGGCAACGTCTGACTCCTTCCGGTGTATCGTCATCAGCTTGAAGGGTTCCTTGTATGAGCGTGGTAATATAATTCCCTTGTTGGAATCTACCGTGACCGAGATATAAATAGCTCTTACACGCTGACGAATGTGTGCGGGATCAGGCCTTCAAGTTCAGGAACTAAGGATAGCATTCAATGAATGTCGCATCCACATTCACAAACCAAGATTCAGCCATTGACCAATTTCTTCTCTTCATCAAGGTAGGTCAAATTCATCTCACATGCTCTCTGCCTCATTGCGTATTTCAGGTCGTTGCACTCTTCAACGCAGACCAACATGAGGAAGCGGTACCGCTTATCAAAGTTCTGGTTACCGCTTGTCCAAATGTTGATTCTCTCGTGCATCCTGTCATGGAAGTAAGTATCATGTGGCTACGCTTGGTCTTTGATGCTCATCTTTGCAACTTGCACATTAGATATCTGCACGTTCAGCCTGGGGTCAAAGCCTTCAACGGTGCACATTACAATGAAGCTGCTGACCTGCTTCGTCCTCATCGCTCTCGTCAGGATGAGGAAATGCGCGCAGGGTGACTAGTTTCTTCCGCAACAGTAGATTCATTACGATCGCTGGGCCTCCTTTTCTCCCTGCAGGCTGCAGGAAGCGTCTCTTACTACGTCATCGACATCGCGAGTTTGACGCTTACAATCAGTCGTTCGTTCCGGGTTGGAGCGAGCTCGCAACGACTCGGAAAATCCGCCGATTTCATAGCAGACACGTTGGTCACCCTTTTCGCAGCATCGGGCGCATCCTGTCAAGCGCCTTCTTCTCGATGTCGTTCACAACTAACCTGCATTTCGTGGAAGGTTATATTATGGGTGTACCTCCTTGTGCGTGAGGTCCTGACGACTGTGAAGGCCTTACTTCACCTGCTCCGAGTCGAACATCCCGACGACACGGATGAAAACGCCCCACTATACCCGCTCTATATGACGGTGGTGCGCACAATTTTTTCAGCTTGAGGTGAGCGATCAGTACCCTTGTATACCGCCGTGGAACGTTCACATCTTTAAATGATCAGTCCTGATTTATTGAATGATTTGTTAGATGTGAGTTTGATGCTTTTCAGTTGCAATGGCGCGATCATTGCTCATCGTGATGGGCCACACTCCTTTAAGACTCAAAGCTGATATTTTGGTTCAGTTATCTGAGTTGATGCCGACATCGTTCTCTTATCGTCCCACCAGTTATGTTCCGTCCGACAAGGTCCCAACTATTCACGCTGTTGTAACGCAGCGAAAGTTACAACCTGCAGCTCTCGATGACCACATCGACCTTCTTAACCGTGCATTGGAAAAATTACAAGGTATCCAAGCTAGATTGAAGGAGAAACGGGCCATCGTGCAAGAGTCGCTGGAATTCCACGAAGCCCTGGCATCTCCAGCATGCTGTTCGCTACCATCAGAGCCACTTGGATAGAGAGTTCTTCGATGTCTTCCCCAGACAAATTACGTTGCACCTTCATCGGATGAATGCCCAACGGTCTTGACAAGGGGGTCTGCCGTCACTGGCGAGTAGTTGCCCTGTGCACTCCTCGATTATGGGCGTCCTTAAGGATATCCTTGCTTAGGGTAGACACAACTGGTGGTGACGAGAACAAGCACTGGTTAAAAAAAAGCCAGCAGTGTTCCGCTGTCCATTCGTGTGGTGCATGACGTGGACCTCTCAGATAGGAAAGAGCCTCTTTCCATACAATGGATCCGACCTTTTTTGGGCCGATGTTCTGACCTTTGGTGGCATGGGCCTCCCGTCCAAGGTTTATTGGACAAATCTGTTCAGTCCCTGTCACACTTTCAGGTCACCTTCTAGAAAGCACAGCATTGGGCGCATCCTTTCAAGCGCCTTCTTCTCGATGTCGTTTACAACTAACCTGCATTGCGTGGAAGGTTATATTATGTAAATCATGTTTACATGTTCGTTTATCTATATTAACATCGGTGTTCGGTGTTGTTCTTGATGCGATTGCGGATGGCACATAGTGCTAGAGTTACGTGCCCGGACCGGGAAACGAAAAAAAAGCAGGACAATATTCAGCGGCTGAGAAGCGAGTTGAATGTTTCAAGGGTCGCATTAATGTTGACGTGAATGACAGCACGTGCAGAGGGTTTGACGAACCGATTTTTGCCGCTTTGGCATTCTCGACGAAGCAAGAAACTTATATAATTTATGTAATACAACTAACCTCGCAGCCGCCAGCCGTCTGAGAAGTCCACACATATGGAGCCGTACGCGTCTGACTTCAAAAATATCTGTACACGACATCGATCGCGGTGGCCGTACCGGCAGCCCGCCTGCGATACTATGTGTGAATAGCTGATCCATAAACCAGTTGAATGATGGACATCGATAGACAATGGTTGCACGTTGAACTCAACTTATGACTGTTCAAATTGCTGGCTCATTGGAGTCAGTTGAAACTCTCAGATCGGGCGGGAGCTTTGTTTTGTATACATACGGACAGCCGAGCGCGTAGCGTTAAGTTCAAGCTAAGCTGAGTAAACTGCTAAAGTGCTACGCGAGTATCATAGTTGCGACAAGACAATGTAGACTAGCCTAATCAGTAAAGTTCGGCTCGCTTACTAAACCGAGCGACGAACGGCCTTGTGACTTAGTTTTAGTGCCTCTTAGGCGCCGGACCTAGTAGTAGCTATTCATTCAGATCTCCTTCCAACACTACGGCGATGTACCAGGCCTTTTACAACCCTCAATTAACCTATCCAAATCTTGCGTTTAAGATCCGTGCACACGACGGGACGCCATCATAGGCGATAAACTACTAGTAAGTACGTCAGAATCGGACCATCGGATGTGCAGCGACTGACTTAAAATCTAAAGTGCAGAGGCGCAATGGAAGTCGTCTCCACCGCTCCCCCCCCCCCTTCCACTCCTTCTCTCTTAATCTCTCCAGCTGCAGCTGCAGCTGCTGCACGTTCTTTAGCCCGTTCACCGGACGCCCACCGTCCTTACAACTCCCAGAATGGAGTACCCAGACGAGGTCGATGACCTTGTCCAATTCAGACTGGACCAATTCCTCGGCCAATCTCAAGACATGTTCACGCGCGTGCGAGACGATCGTCGGTCAGAGATCGATTTTATCCGTTTCGTATTGGCAGGTAGGATCGGGCCAGAGGCAGACGAGGAAGTCGACCAGTGCCGCATCACCCTGAATGCCCAGCAAGGCATTCCCCATGTTCCTCCTCGACCTGAAACCACCATCACTCGCGACATTGACTCTGTGATCGGGGTATCACGTTCGTTGCCTTACACAACGGCATTGTCGGTCTGGCCCGTCCCTCCTTTCAAGGAGACGTTGATCAAGGACAACCATCTCAAGAGTCTCGCATACGACCCTGAGGTAAGACACGTTCGATTAAGTTACTGGTAGTTATGGATCCTGACCATATTGAACCAGGGTGACGAGATCCAGGTCCCCATGCACAAAATTCCCAATGTCCCTTTAGGGAAAGTGGAACAGCGGCACGTCGTCAGGATTTTTTTCCCCAGATTATACACCGCAGCGTCCGAAGACCCGTCTCGGGTCGGATTGTCTCAAGAGGACTTGGCGCTTATATACGACCGCTGCCTTCGTCCTACGATGATACAATATTTGCCCGAAACAAGAGACAGATGGCCGACCTCTTATAATATCGCCTTGACCCACGCTAGAACATCCACCGGCTCCCTCGCATTTAACACCGTCGACGTCGCTTGGCGTGTTTTGGAGGACCTTGCAATCCCATTTCTCACAAAACTTGGGGAGGAAAAGGACGAGTTCAGGGATGCATATTTTGTGCACGAGTTAAGAGGAAAGAAGAACGCTGCTATGCACGATGGAGAGGTCGCGGCTGAAAGACGTACGGCTCTCGATGAAGTATTTGAGCATGTCAATGGTCGACACCTGGATCCTCGACAGTGGCATGTGGATGTTGCACTAACGATTGGCTTGCCAGGGCATGTTGTCACCTGGCGCGAGTCTTCTCACCGAGAGATCCTCAACTTTCTTATGCCTCACGCAGGCCCTGACCGCATTGATCGCTTGATGAAGAAAAAGTCAGCGTTTCACGTTGATCGCCATTTACAAATCAAAGAATTCGCCGGCTTTCGTGCAAATACGACCACTGTCGCCCGCGCAGATGGTATATCATATATCCAGGCGTATTGTACCGAAAAAAATGTGACGTATTCACTGAGCCCTGGAGTCTTTCGGCGGCGTCGAGCCAAAGAGCTTTTGGAGAAGAAGACGCTGGAGAAGATTCTATCGGACTTGGATATCATGAGCGACGTATTTTTCGAATGCACTGGTGATGGAGTGGTCGTCGGTCGTGATGGTTGCGCCCGCCTTGAGGTTCGGGTTCCGCTGGACAAGGCCTTGAACTGGCTGCCTACTCTCCCAGAGGACTTCGTCCAGCGCTGCGTCATTGCCATCGACAGAAGACAGTGGTGGTAAGTACGCATTCTCATGACATTTTGTTCTATCCCTGAGCCAATACGTCCCAGGTACTTCGTATATTATCGTCTCGCTGCCATTCGTTTGGTCCTCCTGGATGTGTCCAAAGCGGATGCCAGGGCACGTGCTCTGGACTCTACGTTGGCACTCGGTGCTGTCTGCATTTATATGCTCAACGCCTGCTTCACCCGTCCCGCTGAGGGCTTTGGATGGGAGAGCTTGATTGAGACTGCCTGCCAACAGGTGCTCGAAGATCCCGACGACGCGGATGAAGACTCACCAACTCTGCCCATTTTATATGACAGCGGCGCCTATTTTATTTGTGATATCGTCCTCAATGCCCACTTGAACGGGGGATTTCTTCGCCTGCCTCTCCAGCGTACATTTGACTCAAAATCTATGACTCTCATTTATCAGGCGCACTCCATGAACGACATCAAATCCTCATTCTCTTGGATCATAGCTCCATCCGGCCGATCTCACGCCAACCCGGAACGAACGACTAATCGTAAGCGTAAAACTCGCGATGTCGATGACGTAAGAGAGCCAGATCGACAGCGCTTGCACCTCAGCACTGAGATCGTTGGTGTCCGCTTCAAACCTCCAGTTCGCTTGGTAGGTAGGGATGTAGAACTCCATATCTCGAACGGGGGCGAGGAACAAGACCTTCATGTGGAAGAGGATGACGAGGAAGGGGATCTCACGGCTGATCAACGTGCTGCAAAAATTTACGAGCAATTCTTCCTGGACATCATCGAGGAGGCGCCTAACCGGAAATCCAGGCGGGAAGGATCATACCTTTCCATTCCTGCCCGGATGCGCGGCGACCTGGCGCGCCCAACATTACTACAGACCACCGCAGTTCCTTTCGATCAAGTGCAATACTCCTACTGCTCAAGGGAACAGTGGAAGATGCACTTTGGTCGGTTTTTTCCTGGTACTGCCGAAGACGCTGATCGTGCTATGAGAAGTCAGAATTTTAAAAGGTGCAGATACCTCAACCGCTACATCGCTCTTGCACAGGAAACTGGACGCAAATACCTGCCTAGGATCAGACGTGCACTGGAGAAGGAATTCAACACCCTGGCATGGGTGCCATGCACCCAATCAGACCGTATGTGGGTTACCAAACCAATGCCCGGTAGTATATGGAAGACGCTTCCTAAAGGGCAACATGGAGGCCCAGCGATCGTAATGAATCCACTGTTGCGGAAGAAACTAGTCACCCTGCGCGCATTTCCTCATCCTGACGAGAGCGATGAGGACGAAGCAGGCTCCGAGGAGGATGATTGAACTTTACATCATGGACTTTACAATGATTAATGCGAGCGTTCGTTACATACTCACACTTTAGTACTGACCTTTAGTGCATATCCTTGGCCTACTAGTACATCGCGGACTCACTCACATTCGTACATAAAGTTGATACTCGCGCTTTCGTACTGACCTAATGTCCTTTGTCCGAATAACCAGGCATCCTTGTCATTTTGATGCATCTATCATACTCATAATTCGACTATGGAAGAAGCTACGGATACATTTGAAAGCAATTGCGTCGATCTTGACACTTTCACCCTCGTGCGCATAAGATCGCTATCGGTATGGCAATATTTTGACATAGTATTGCAGCGTCCTACTTTACCAGCACCTACCACCGTGTCGCTGACACTTATATTCTGGTTGGCCACGAAGCAGAATCATCCATAAAGCATTTCGCCCCCCCCCCCCCAACTTCTCATTGCACCATGATCCATTAGTACCCTGCATAAGATTTCTGAGACAACGCGACCATCTCATGACATGTTCAGTGCTCGACATCACGTGGCACTGTCAACCTTTTCACCAACCACACTCCAGGCAAGCACATCCTCACCACGTCTCCTGCTCAACAAAGCAAGAACGTTGAAAGCCCCTCATTCACAGGCAAATACTTCCGAGTCATGTCCGTCTTTGGTGATCTCCGAGTCCTAGAAACAGGCTATCTCTGCCACAACTGGCCTGTCCAACAGCTCATCGCTCGTCACCCAGCCTTCATACAACAAGTTTGTCATGGTATTCCAGGTCTTCAATATCAACACATAACAAGCGCGTCGCCGTGAGTATGAGACGGATGTGTGGATCAGTGTATTCGACGTAACACTTCCACTTTCTCGCCTCATCAGATCATCGATTTCAACGTGCTAGAAGGATGGACCAGCTTCCATCCCTCCCTTCACTGGCTCCTTGCAGATCTGTTGAAGCAGATTGAGGTGTCTAGTGTCCGGTACTTGTTTTTGCGCCTCTTGAACTTCGATGAAGGTATTAATTGATTTCCCTTTGCCAGGTAAAATGAGCTCATCGATATTGCAGCTGGTCTAGTAGCCATGGCCTCGCGGTGCTCGTTATGATCGCCCAGATCAGGGCAGGATTATGGGTCCGCAACGGCTTCCCTATCCGTGGCTAATTTCTGCATTACCGCTATTTTGTGCTGTGTGGGCTCTGCTACGACCAAGACCTGCTCATCCTCCAGTCATCTCTCATCATCCTCGATCCCAATACCATCATTATCTCTATCCTCAAGCGTTTCGGCCTCCTGTCATTTTTCTGCGGTGAAGTCGAGAACTGTCCTTATGAGGGCGTCCATCTTCTGAGCATGGTCGAGGAGCTTTTCTACGTCCTCATGACTATTCTTGGCGAGAGAGCCAGCGCCACCAAGCTCCCGTTCCAACGTGCCATCCGCCACCTCGAGTGAATCCTCAAGGATGTACTATCTCACTTCCACGCACCTGGGTCGACACTCACAACGGCATATTATCCTGCTAATAAATGGCATCCGCTCGCACATCATGAAGTGTGAGAGAGGCGCACTTTGCCCTCTCTAAATTGTCACCATAGAAATCCTCAAGCATCTACACAACTCTTGGTTCTCCAAGGTGAGGAAAACGATCCCATCGTTCGTTTGTAGCTGACCGGGATTAGCACGCCAAATTTCTTCGTTCACCCTATCGATCAGGCCTTCACGCGGACTTCGGGACAACCGTTGCGGTTGCTGCTATCTTTGTAGCAAACCCATGTCGGGGTGAACACTCACTAATGAGTGCACTTTGTCGTGCTGATTTGATAACGCTAAATATTACTTAGTTTAGCTGGACCTCTATCGCTTGGGTCGTCAGCATTGGATCATCCCTTGTCACGGTCCTTTGGATCGTGGTCTACTCGTTCCTTTCAGTCAACACCTTCTCTAACACAGATGCATTTATAGACGAGGTAGACATTCTCTTCCCCAATGTCATTTTTTGAACGACAATTGTTTTCTCCGTTTTAGTAGCACAAGGTGAGTCGAAATGGTGCTCCTATAAACTCATTCTAACTAGCGATCGATTAGCGCCTCGGTTCCTCATCAAATTCTTTAACTCGGTGTATATGCCCTTGGATCAAGATATCGTTCGCGAGATGTGGGTCGGAAATCTCAAAGATCGTCTGCGCATCCGCCATCGCAAGGATTCGCCGATCAAACATTGACGCTGCACCCATGTCCCGCGAGCCTCACGCTCGGTCAGCATCGGAATTAGTTCTTGAACTGACGGTTCCAGGATCACCCGCAGGTCCTGATAGGAATAATCCTGGCGATAATGGCGCAGATGTTATTGAGCTGGTCCCCCAGGCCCTGTTACCAATTCCTCACTACGTGGAGAATACTGTCTCACCCGATACCTATTACTTTTCGGCATCCGATCTCCCCCTGCCCTTACCCATACTACCCTCGCTATATCAGTACTATTCATCAGGAGAAACAAGCAGCTAGACACTATTTGTCGCGCCGTCGAGCTCACGCGTCCTAAGCCCTGAGCCTCCTGTTCCTAAATTAGCTTACTCACGCCCCTCGCGTGATTGGCCCCGATCCCCTTTGCGTCTGCAGACTCCTCCACACTCTCATTCCTTGGAAACTGGTGAACACCCCCTTGTTCAGCTTCAACAAGAGGGACACGATGCTGGCGAAGGTCAGTATCGACCAGAAGAATCTGATCATATGGTGGATTTTTGGTTACGGTTCGATTTGCCGCTATGCCGGAAGAATTTTCAATGTCTGATTGTTGTTTGTTTCGAGTATTGTACTTTATTTTATTTTATTCGATGTGTACCTAGTTTTCATTGTACCACTGCATATCGAAGGCTGTGTTGGCATTGGATCCCAGCAGGAACCACCTTGATGTTCACAGGTAGTATAATAAAGGCGATGCAGATTCCTTTACACAGGTTCGTGTCATATTGATGCATTAAACAGTACAACTGTAGCGCACCAATGATGCATCATTGGTGCAATTGTACTACCTTTGCTTTTCTCATGCTGATGCATCAGCCCGCTCCAGGTTGATGCATGCCCACCACCATCCCCTCCATTCGCTGATGCATCCTTTATGTTTTCTGATGCATCCCCTTCATTTTCTGATGCATCAGTCCTCTCTTCGCTGATGCATCCCCTCCGTTCACTGATGCATCCTTTTCATTTTCTGATGCATCAGTCCTTTCTTTGCTGATGCATCCTTTTCATTTTCTGATGCATCAGTCCTCACTTTGTCACGCCCTCCCGCCGTCTTGTGCCCACTGTCCTCCTGCACACGACCTCACTTTCTCGCGCCCTCCCGCTGTTTCGCGTGTGCTATCACACCCATCTGTCGTTACTCGTGCCCTCCCACTGTCCTCCCGCACACAACCTCACTTTCTCGTGCCCTCCCACTGTTTCGTGTGTGCTATCATACCCACCTGTCATTACTCGTGCCCTCCCGCTGTTTCATGTGTGCTATCACACCCACCTGTCATTACTCGCGCCCTCCCGCTGTTTCGCATGTGCTATCACACCCGCCTGTCATTACACGTGTATTGTGTTTATTATCTTGTGCTCACTTTCTCGCGCCCTCCCGCTGTTTCGCATGTGCCTGTCGTTACACTGTGTAGTGCATTTATTGTTTATCTACTAATATTACAACAAAGGTCTACTATGTGTCCATGTCCATGTCTTGCTGAGCAACGAGCGAGTTGTGATCAAATGTGTCCACCAGTGCCAAGGTGTCGGTCCAGCTGGTCTTGAAGGACTCGGCAAGCATTCGACGTAAGGAAGCTTGACGTTTGGTGTATGCCATATGGCCCTCGCATTCATCTTCACCTGCATCCTCTAACGTGTTTTCCAGGCCCCGCTCATCCCAGCGCTGTGCGTCCCAGTCCAAAAATTGCAGAATCCTTCACATCTCCTCCTTCATCAGTAAATTCCCACAATCTGGACAGACCTACACAGACCTACACAGCACACCAGACACACAGCTTAGTCCCTACTAGCTAGCTCACCATAGTAGCACCTTTGTTTGTGAACATCTGTACATACACTCACAGACCCACCCAGCACATACCCAATAGCATCATTTTTCTCTATACAGAGACTCACAAACCTGCGAGAAATCACGCTTATTGGACCTCCAATCTAAGAATAATGTATGATCAACAATAGATTGAATCACATGACTACGTGACAGCAAACAAAAATAGAAAAATGATATACGAGGATAGCGTGCGCGGTGACTACAGGGCTCAATCAAGCTGGATGCACAGGTGGCGGCGCTTCGATGGGTCAATGCCGTCGAGCTTACAGGACTCCGTCCTTATGAAATTTGTCAGTGCCGAACATTGTAAAAAGGGTCGACTCACCATCCAGCTTCGGCCCATGCACGAAGCTGTTGCGCTAGCCTTGGACCATGGTAGGGGTCGTCCATGACATCTTGAAGAAGCTTGAGCATTGCTTTATAAATGGGCTCGTACTCCTTAGCAGTGAACTTCGGGAAAGATTTTCCGTTTCCATTCTTAACGAGACCATCGAAGACGCAATTGAACTGAAAAAAGTATCAGCAAATCAGTAGCGCGCCAGTATCAAGAAAATACCATTGTGCAGATGAGAGCTAAGCAGGTCAATGGTATCTCCTTCTGAAATATATCGGGCCGCCTGCGAGCAATATGATAGGATCCAGTATACAAGAAAAGTATCGCACCCTCGTGAAGTCCAGGGTGAGCAAAGTTCTTGGTTTTCCCAAATTCATCCACTCCGTCACAAAGAAACATTGAATCATCCAGCAAATCAGTAGTGGCGTTTTCAACCCAAGCTGTGCGCTCCTGGACGGGAATGGTGGCTGGGGGGACAAGATTATACGCAGAAGGTGTGATGGCAATAGCGATCTTCTTGAGGTCAGAACACCACGTTGCTAAATCATCATACAACTAGAAACGACATAAGGGATGAGGCGCACAACAAGAGAGATATGCACCAGCCTCGCCATGCCAGGCTTGTGAGCAGGCCACACGTCTGGTAGATGTCCTGGATTAGTATGATATCTCGAGGGAAACAACAACATACCAGCTTCAACTTGTCCGCCGTTTTTGAGCCATTGTATTAGTGACACTGAAAGAGATTCTGTGATAGAGACTGGCAGATCGTCGACGAGCTTTGGGAAGGGGTTTTCTAATGCTTGCTGCGCACAGCATCCTCCCTTGGCGTCCTCGAGGAAGCTTCTCCAGCGGGGACCATACCAACCCAGTTGGGTAGCATTAGGCCCTTCCACCTCCTTAGATTTTGCTGCGCCTTTGACTGCCTGTGCGTTCGCCTTGGACTTGCCAGTGTTTGTCTCAGCGCTTTGGAGAAGGTCTAAGAGTTCAGGATCAGGCAACCGGGGATGGCCATTCTTCTTGTGGTGAAGTTTCAAGACATCTTCGGGCTTCAAAGGGATAAGATTAGTGCGATCCAATTAATGGAGGGGCTAATACCTCGGGAGAATTCCTGTCGTCCATCGATGAATTACTATCGCTTGAGTTGCCATTGACTGCCAATGTTTTCTCGGCCACTTGGTCATCTTCATCGCGTGAATATTGAAATTCAAAATCTGGCGGAAGAGCAGACACAACCCGAGGTTGGGGTGGTTGCTCTTCCCCAGAAAAACCTAGAACTCGTCAGTGTGATCACAGATGCCGTGAGGGCAAGAACTCACCAGGGTGCGCGCTATGACGCCCACCAACTGTCCCCCAACCAATGTGCTCATCTTCGCTACCATCGTCAGAGGAACTGTCACCCTCGCTAGAGTCAGAACTTCCAGATTCCCTAAGTTGGGATCCAGTTGGCCGGAGGGCAGGGTCCAAATTATGGTAAAAGTGGGCATCTGCTGAGGTAGTTGAGGCCATTCTTGAGACTGCTGTCTGTGGTAAAGGTCCACCACTAGTAGCGAGATGACCGCCAGCTGTATTAGAAGCACTGACAGAAAGCTGACATTGGGAGGCGTTGGAAGCCACGCATGTTGCCTTAGCTGCGGCTACGAACGAGTTGTTTAACACCTGGAGGTCAGGTTCTGTGCCAGGGGGTACAATGGGCTGAGACAATCCAAACCGTCCGCCATCTTCGCGTTGTAAAAAAATGGGCTGGCTGCTCACTGTCTCCACACTCAGGGGAGGAGTAACAGTCTGTGTAATGGTATTATAATTGTTAATAAGTCAGGGCCAAAAACTCACCTTTTTTTTAGGCCGCGGTCTGGGAATCTTGGCATTGGGAATCGTGGTGTTGGGAGTCGTGGCATTGGGAGTCGTGGCATTGGGAGTCGTGGCATTTGGAATCGTAGAGTTTGGAACCGGTTGCTCCGAGATGTCATATGGGTGAGGGGGCTGGTTTTTCTGTAAAATAATTAGTGCAGTTACCTACAGTAAATAAAATCTACCTTTGAACGTTTTCTGCGACTCTTGCGGGGCGGTTCAGGAGCGACAGGGTTTATTGGGAAAGTCGGATCGAGGGAGTGAGAGCCCTTGGGCTGGCTAGTCTGCGTTGGAGCATCCAAGATAGTGTCTAGTCGCTCTAGCTGAGTGTTCCTGCCTCCCTTCCCCACGCCTGGACATCCCGAACGTCGAGGGTTTTGAGAGTCGTCTGTGTCGGGAGCTCGCGATCTCTTTGACTTAATGCCTGTGAGATCATTGTCAGCAGCTTTCCACTTAGTCCGCTTTTTCTTCGGGCTATCAGGCATGACCGAAGAATGCGATGAGCCCCCAAAGTGATAATCCACAAAAACTTACCTTTTAAACCTGGCCTTTCTATCCGATCTGACTCAATATGATCCGGGATGCAGCTTCAAGGTAGTCCTCGTGTGCAGTGGTGAGTCGGAATGAGTGAGAAAATGTTCTACTCCCATATGTCCTTTCCTCCGTGTTACATCGTCCAATGAGTGGAGTGATGAAGTGACTCGAACAGTGTGTGGGAATTTACTCGGCTGGTTGTTTAATCTGACAAATATGTAGGACTGATAAGAAAGAAATTGTAAACTAACATCATGCGCCATCATAACATACGAGTAAGATTATGTAGTTCTGTTGCGTTTAGGCTGTGGTATAGGTTCCATCGTCCAGATACGACCCCCATATGTTATGTCACAAGATGTGATTGGCTCGGGTGGGTCTACATCACTGTCTGACAACTTTCGCTTCGTTTTTTCAGCGTTGACTCCAGGATCTGCAGCAGGAACAGGAATATCAGGCAGTGGGAGTCCTTTGAGGATTTTCCGTGCGAACAGAAGCTCGGGGGAAAGCTCCTTCGGAAGTTCAGCGAGGTGCTTATCTAATAAATCAAGGACCTCCTGGAAAGTGACTGTGTTCGACGGTCCTTTGTTCCTTATCAATTCATACCATTCCATCGCAAGCGGGACAAGGTTTTTGAAATAGGGGTGGAATTGCTCCTCAAATGTGTGTGTGTGCGAATGGTAGAAGAACATAGTCTTCTCGTCGTTGCAGGCCTTGAATGTGACGGCGGACCATTTGTGCACCAGCCAGTTGTATCTTTTGTCAAGGACACACTTGACACCAAGGGGACCCCTGTATCCGATACAGATCCATATGAAAACATAGAAGACCAATTCGAGATCATCTTCAAAGTGATGTATGATAAGGTGAGCTGGAACCACGTGGGAATTCGAGGCATGCTTCAAGCTGCGTTCAGGTGTTGCGATGCTATCAACAGCCTCTGAGAGCTGGAACAGGAGTGATCGCGACATGAAAGACATTGTGCCCTAATTGTCGATATCAGCAGATGAATACATGCTTTGGAAAATATCAAACTCACTGTCCCACCTCTAGCGTATTTTTGACCCTGGGCGATAAACACGGCGAACTCCCAATCAATCAAGGTTCCATGGGATCTGTTACCATCATCTTCGATCATCGAATTGTTGAGACTACAATCACGATGAAGAATGCCCTTCTCTTCCACTGCTGTCTTTTGAACTGTAAGATTGGGTCAGTTGAATGTAGAAGAGGGAGGGGTATTGAATATATACTTACTGCTGATGATATCCCGAATAGTGCCCAACAACTCTGCCTTCGTCCGGAACATATATAACGGTCGTGCGCAAGGCTTCAACACCAAACGAACGTGTGTGCAGACGGCGCCTTGAAGGCTGTTCAACAGCTTGTAACAATAAAGCCCCATTTGATCAACCTTCCCAGGCTTGATCTCGACAAGCCAGTGATCGATGAGCTGTGGAACACCACGGACATCTTTCATTGCCTGCAGCATCTTGACTTCATTCAAGGTGTCCACTTTACTGCCAAGAACCCAGTGATCTTTGATGATATATTCTTCGTCACCCCTCCGCGCCAAATAACAAACGGTACCACGACCAACAAGCCCTTGACTAGAAAATATGACTTCAAGGATGTCATACGTGTGATCGTTGACAAGGATTCGACCGATGGGAGCAGGAAGAGGAAGACGAAGAGGATCATCGGGGATATTTAGCTGACACACAGGATGAGAATCATCGGGGATGTCGACATCAAGCACGGGATTGCTTTGGGGGGTGCTCTCAGGTGCGCCACCAATCTGGGGGAGGGGGGTCATGCTCTCAGATACGTCTCCCATCTCGTGGGAGGGGGGGGATGCTCTCGACGACGCCCTCCATCGTGTCTGGTGTGGGTGACCTGTTTACGCTGGGGCAGAGAAAAGTCGATGCACATTCAAGCTGGGCAGGTCGCAGTGTTTTTGTAAGGATGACGATCGAGGGGTCATACCCCAGGCACTCAAGTTTACCAAAGACAAGGCATGAAAAGATGTGTAAGAAATCGTTTGGGTGAGTGTCGATGTTAATTGGAGGCATTACAACAGCACCTGAGTGGTTGTACATATGAACTCGAAGTTCGCGATACTCTTTGGTCACGGACATGAGTAAAATGAATTGTCTCCAAGGCTGTCGTCTGAAGAGAAGGAACACCTTGTTGTCCAGCGTATTTCCTATTGTGCCCGTAGCTGAGTATGGTCATGATGTCAGCTCGCAAACCGCCTTGATTGTGTCCCATCGAGCTTTAACATCATCCAATAATGCAAGGTCAGGCTTTCGTGAAACTTCTTCATCTTTCACAGGGCGTGTAGAGTTTCCTGCACTCCACAGGCGTGGGACTGGGTTGGTCTCCTGTACAATCCTTGGCACCTTCTGGGTGAGCGCAAAACGTAAAACATTGAAGAACATCGCAAAAACTCCCTCAAACGGTGGTGAGGGTGTATCCGAGTCCGAGTCGCCATCTTCTGGCTGTGACCCAGAGGGGGGTACTTCCTCCAAAGATGAACCGCCATCACCTCTGCTTCCAGACTCCACATCTGCCATGGCGCTCTCCTCCTGCCAATCTCCAAGACTCCCATCACTAGGGAGCAGCCACTGCTCGACATTATTGTGGTGCGATTTCGGAAGCGGCCAGTTCCACCGGCATTCATCTTTGTCATACAGATGAGCCAGGTCATTTTCGCGTGTGGTGGCAAACTTTCTGTGAAGTCTGTCGTCCCGATAGTGAAATTTATGTAATGGGACCTGTAGCTCTGTGACATCTGGGAGTTGGAAGGTAACTGAACTAAAAATCTGCGACAACACATAACTAATTTCTGCATCATCTTTTGGTGACAGTTCATGCAAGATTAAGCGATTGAGTTCAAGAGCGGTGAGTTTGTCCAGTGTAGGCACATCATTCATCATGGGCGCCGACATCAGCGATGAGAGCTTCATCCCATAATCTACAGTTTTTCCGTGTTGCCAAGCTGGTGACATGACTGCGCGCAAGGGAGGACAAAGGGCTCATTTCAACACAGGTACTACTGTCTCTATGTGGGTACTGATAATTTTATTGCATGAAAGTGTTGCTTATCAGGTATGAATTAAGCTGACAGCGCAAAAAAGCTATTTTTGTCCCAAAAATAGTTTAGCCAAAACTCAGATGCATGCTCCATGCTGTTATAGGCAGTAAAACGTGTGTCCGCAGTTGCACCGAAGCGGGGGACAAGATGGACAGGTGATCTCAGCTGAGAAACTGGAATGATGTCCCCCATCCAACTGCCATTAGAGCGCTTCGATCTTCTCAGCACATGTAGCTGAGTAGTCGGATCGCATTCATTAGAGATATCAAATCGTTGCAAATAGGCGATGAACTGATCTTCCCAAGACCATGGCGTACCACTTTTGCCAATAGGCCATATGAGAAGTCTGAGTTGTGCTACCAAGTGACCTGCAGCGCTCATTTTTTAGTATATCCACTAACAATGAGACAGAAAGCGCACCTGAAAGACCACAAGTAGGCCATGACTGCCCTGCATTGGTCTGGATAATGACAGTGTCATAACAGCCCGAAGTCCAGGGCCCACTAGGTGGTGCACAGTTTAACGTTTGAGCTGGGCGAATTTCATGGGTGTCGTGAAATTCTGTTTCTTGTAAACATATTTTGAACCAGACTTGAAGCTTATCAAATGGGAGTTCAGCTTCAGGTCCAGCTCTTCGAGGACCACTGATTGCATGAAGACGATGTTCAGAAGTCTCCTTGCGGTGAAGGAAATCAGCGAGAGCTGGGCGAAGGTCTGGCAGGTTGAACATGACGGCAACTTCATCGACACTGATATTCCTAATAGAAGGATCATATGTGAGATGGAGTGCAGTGCGCCCAACAACGAAAGAGCATAGTGGGATGGGTATCGATCCTGCCTTTTTGTGCTGTAGCATTTTGGCGATTGTGAAATAATCCGTGATAGGATGCGGCTGATCGGGTCGCTGAGCCCTGGATGGAATCTCCATGGCGACGATCTCCACATCCGCGTCCTCGTCAATGTCATCACCTTTGTGTTCCTCTCAGACAACTTTCAGATCCTCAACACTCAGCTTGCTGTCCAAAAGACCGATGGCAAGATCAAACCTATTACACTTGCCAGCGCGGTCGAGATAACGACATATTTGCAGATCATAATTATTGTTGTTGGTTGATCTTGCAGGGTTTTTGACTTCCGTGATGTGTGCATGTTCCGTGGCATCGGCAGACCATTGACTTATAATGCCAGAGCTATGGATGCTAGGAACGATGTTCTGCATTAGCTCGAGTTTGGGTATGTACCAGTTGTCGATGGTTGTATTGCCTTTTCCCCGGCGAACCCCAGCAGTGATGATTGCATGCTTATTCGCATGGAACTCATCCAATGCAGCCGAGATGCGGGCAAGATTATCGTCGTCAATGCATGGCGATTGCACGAGATAACGGAAATGCATGAGTGCGCATACAGAAGTCATGATACCAGGAGGCATTGCATCTGCGCTGAGTGCGATGATCGATCGCTGAATGTCACGATGACAGCGACCAGTAACTTGTTTCAGCTTCGATATGCCTCCATGAAAATGCCGGTAACCTGTAGTAGGCTGTAAAACCAAGAACTGAAAATCTAACTCAGACTCTCCCACAGCAATGATAATCCATTGGGCATCATGGTCGTAAAACTGCTTGTGAATGTGGTGTAGCGATTCAGGTGTGAAGAAATGGGAGGGTTCGGCTAGTGGCCAGTCACTCCAGAATGGTTTCTCAACGCCATTCAGGCGGAACTTCTGCGCTTCACGAAAGAACGCCTCGAGGTTATGCGGATCAGCGTGTGAGTGTACAATATCCAGCTGTGCAAGAGTTGTTGATTTTGTCCGGGGTTCATGGCGAAAGGCATCTCCGAACTGTTTGTACATGGCCATGGTCACTGGAGATGTCTTTCCGCCAACGCATGCCAGCATCATCGCTTCCGGAGTATTGGCGATGTAACTAGCAAGTGGAGTGAAGCAGTAATGGCTGCGTCCGATCGGATCTGACATCATGACGCCCAGTTGAGCAGCCGATTTCAAGGGTTCTAGTATGATATCCAAGCACTGATGAACGAGCCAATCCTGCAATATGCCCTTCATCCGTTTGTTCTTATGAACGAATTTTGGGACCGGTAGCAGGGCAGTGAGGAGGAAAGTGTTCGAAGATGATTTCAATCGCGTATTCATGTGAATATTGGTGAGGCTGATAAGTAGCGGATGGGCAACACGATCGCCTGTCAATGTGGTGATACATGTCTTGTCTGAGGATAGAATGACACCAAGGAGAGTTGCACCGTGAGGTAGCGCCGACTTCAAGAATACATGAGCTGATGACCTCGAGAGGGATATAATATGCACCTGCATGTCCCAAGCATGTTGCCCTGCCATCCACTCAGTATATACCCGAGACAGTTTCTGCGATGTGGAATACACTTTGCGAGGAGTGAGGTCTAGACGGTTGTGAAATAAAGGATGGTTGAAAATACTGGCGATGCACTCGAGCAGATCTCGCCAGTAGAGAATAACCGGCGTCTTGGTGGAATGGGATGTACATATTACTTGTGATTTCCAACGTGGGCCGCCTGGTAGCATTTCAGCTCGACCTCATAGCTCTTTAGCTGAGCGGAATGATAAATGCAAATCTTTTATCTAAGTGCTCCCTGAAATAAGCTGCCTTAATGTGTTTGAAATTAAGAAACTTAACATCTCCAGCGACAGGAACGAATCTATCTTGCCCATGCTCAGGCCCGAACGCAGAAGCCATGCTGCAACCTCCCATTCCTTCCAACTGCTGAATGGATAGTATAGGTTCATTTTGCGATGGATGCTATTTTCATCGGCGTCGAACAAACTCAGAAATGTATAGCCCTCCTCAAAGGCTAGCGGGGGTTCAGGAAAATAGTCAGTTACTTCAGCCTCACAGTCCTTGCTCCAATTTCCACCTCCGTCAAAGTACTCTCCTTCAACTTGTTCATGGTAAGACTCATGAGGTTCACCGATGTTACCTGCTGCCATAGGATCATCTGCCGAATCCTCACTAGGTGGAAGGGTGGAGTGAAGCTGGATTAAGTCTTGTAGCCACGTGTTGCATCCAGACCGTGGTTGGCTCATATGTCGAGCAATGGAAGTATGATCCCTGAATTCCTTCCCGCATGAAGGGCAATGAGTTGGCGGCATGCTCGTGGAGAATGATGATTGCGGAGAAAGAGGATACACACTGTAGTTTGGCAATTTCCGTGAGTCAGTCTTTCCGCATCATGTTATCCTCGCCGCTCAAGTTTGATCTTAGTACTCTGCAATCACTATCAGCAAGTGCTTCTTCTACCCACACTAGCCCTCACTCTCATGATCGACATCATAATGACAACCATGATAGCGGCATATGCAACCTATATGAAGTTCTTGAAGCTGTGAATGCAATGGTGAGTCATTCATGTCGTCCATCATTATCGTACAACTTACTTTTCAACATAGTCTGACCAGGAACCCACTGAATCCAAGGCGAGGATCATGATGAATCTCGTGAGAGCCAAGCGCGATGTTTACAGGGCTCAGAAGGTACTCGCAGAATGTGTAATGCAAGAAAATGAGGTGTTTGCAAGCCTGCTGAAATTCCGAGCGGAAGCCGCTGAGAAGAGACTAGACAACACAGACCTTGGCCTGGGATGTATGAGGGTTATCTGCAATACGCATGGTTGGTCTGTCCCTCCTAGTCATCTCGCTCATGCACAAGGTGGATCATGTTCATGTGGTGGGTGTGATGTGCTCTCTGTGCTCATATCGGTTTCTAACTCTTTACAGGAACGACATTGGATATCTTGCATGATCAGACCCCCATGATTCAGCTTGATTTATTTATTTTTTGTAGTGTTTAATAGTTGTTTTATGCTGTCCTTCGTTACTACCATGAATGTTACTATGTGTTGTATGCTCAAATGAACTCGAACTTAAGTTGAGAAATTGTATTGCTACTTTTGCGCCGGTACGAGTATACTAGTAATACTATAGCTATTGATACACTGTGCTTGGTACTAGTAGTGTGTGAGACTTGTGAGTTTTTGCAACTTGAAGGCCATAGTATCATACATTGAAATCCGAGTCTGTGGGTGGATTTGGACTGGAGTCGCTGTATCACTGTGTACTGTGAACCTGCGCAAACTGTGGGGCTCTGTGATTTACTGTCACAAGACCCGAAGTTTGTGACCTCTGTGAGAAAATTGGACTTTACTGATGTTCACCAATTCCACCTCTTCTGTCCAGCGCATCGCCCGTGCCCTGGCTTTGCACCATTCTATTCGCAGGTCTGCTTGTCTGTGAGTCTGACTAGGAAGCCATGAAATAAAGAGCCACCTACTTTCCGAGGCACTGTCCTTGTCTATCTCATTGGCAGCTGCTCCCCGCATATTCCAAATCCACGACAACTTTCTCGTTCCCTCTGTTTCTCCCCATAATAAGTCCGTCATCGAGCGGACGTCAGCTCGGTCTAGTGGTCGCAGTGATGAGTGTCACCCAGTCTGATTCACTCACGGTGAAAGGACCACAAGGGCTTTATGCGCATACTCGTAAGTCCTGGCAGCAGCCTCAATCCTCGCCTCAACAGCTTTCAATGTATTCCGTGCCCTTGTGTTTGCTCCTTGTCCATGGAGGTTGCAGTCCTTGTACTTGAGGATCGCAGTCTGAGCACGTAAGGTTGAATGCAGAGAGCGAAGTGCATCGTGAGCTTGTGCATACCGCAGCTTCCATTTGATGGCCTGGAGGTGGCTGTTGCAAGGTGTGGTCCTGCTGATCTGGGATGGCAGCCAGAGCTTGATTGCTTCTGGTGCAGCAGTCACACTGCCAGATACTGAACTCTTGCTCACACGTAGCGCAGCGAGCGATGGCATGTATAGTTCCTGCATCTTCATCCAGGTATCAATCCTCCGTTGGAGAGTGTTGCTTTGCTGAACCATCTTCCCTTCTGCGATGTCATAGGATACATTGAGAGTGTCGAGTACAGTATGATGTAGTGCTGAGAAAAACAAGTAGTCCATGTTAATATATCTACATGCGTGCATTAGATTGCCAACTGCTGGATGCAAATGACAATTTACCTTTCACCCTTTTGAAGATCCCCAACGGCATTGGGCAGTTTCATGTTATGGCGGGCACAGTCGACAGTACCTAAACCAGTGGTAGCGAGTCCGCGGTTAGATTTCGTATCGGCCATGTTTACAGCATTGTGACTTGAACACATTGATTTCTGCAAATCTAACCGTTAATATATGAAAAAGAATAATTCAAACCACGAACCTCCTGGATGCTGTCCACACCACTGTGCAAGAAATCTTTATATGCTTTATCCTCGACAAAATATCCCCAGCCGCGACTCAGGCTTGGGTCAACACTGTCACTTGAAACAGCCTTGCGTTTTAAGCGGAAGTTCACATCTATAGCGAGGAATAATCCATATAGCCACCTAACAGTACCTATATCAGTAGGAATTCCCCTCCGGACTGGAGCTCGCTTTAAACTTACTGTTGAAGAGCATCTTTCCAACCAGCTGGGAGATTCTTCCCTGGGTGTGGGCATGCTGGGTACAATACAGTACATTCACCCTCAACTGTCCCATCTACACCGCTGGGATCGTGACCTCACCCTGAGCGCTTAAGCATCTTCAAGTGGCACCACTCGCATATCATCCATGTAAACGAATCATACCGATCCTGGAGGAAGCTGGATTAACTTTGAAGGCACCTAAAATTTAAGTTTACCTTGATGGGAAGTAAGCCAGTGTTATCGAACATCCGGCTGAGCGCATTATAAAACTCGAAGGCAGATACTTTTGACTCAAATGAGAGTAGGTGATAGTGTTCAAGAACGCGGAATGTTGCAGCAGTTTTTGGATCTGACGTTGTCAAAGGAAACCACGATATTTGAAGTAGCTGTTGTATATGGCTTTGGGCTGTTGCACAATTGCAGAAGTCGAGAGATACTTCGTGTATGCTGTGGGTGTCGACAACAATAAAATCATCATTGAATGCGCGACAAGGGTTAGGACATTTCAGGCCAGTGGTGTGGCCAAGCTGGATGCGAAGGCCCAGGGTTTTCAGAGAGATTCGCTCGAAGTATTGACTGTTCCATTTCTGTATTAATATTAGATATTAGCCTTACATCCTCATCTCCCAATCAGACATGAAAGCATACCTCCAATCGGTGAAGCGGGTGGCGCACATGAGCCAACAGGATGCAAGGTGAACAATAGATCTCTGACCCTAAGCAGTCCCAACACCTATACTCTGGGCTGTGACAATTACACTCCGAGCAAGATTGAGCACCAAGTCTATTACATCTTCCTTCAAGACAGATCATTTCCTGCCAAAATAATTCTCGGTGCTTCAACCACATCAACAAAGGATGATCCTGAATAACAGTGAGCGACATGTCAAAGGACTCAGAACATTATAGTGTACATACGCCTGCTGCTCGTTTTCTCCTTTGCTGCCCTAAAAAGTCTAATGATACATCGAGCGGGAGGTCATCTAATGGCTCAGGAATTGACAATGGTGCCGCATCATGCAGAGTCAGTGTCGCGTGAGTTCGATTATTGATAGTTGCTTGAGCATTCTTGGGAGGTTTGAGGCGCTTCAGCATATAGGTGATGGACCCATCTTGATGAGCTTGGTATTCAGTATGCTGGCGAGAAGGGACTGGGACTGAGTGGTAAACATTGAGCTTGGGTTTCTTTTTCCGTTTCTTCGGTACTCTGGACATTACTTCACAGTATATTGTCTGGATTGAAGATGTCCCTGCCTCAGAAGAGCCGACGGCATAAGTAGGATCTGTAGACATTCTTTGTTGATTCCTGTGCTGATTGTCATGGTGTTGAACAAAGAGTATTCATCCATACTGATCTCACATTTACGGTTTGAGTCGCTACCAGAAAAAACTTCAAGCATTCATTTAGCACAAAATGAACACGACGGACATGAATAAGTAGTTGAAGACTAACAAATGAGATTGATGCATGGAGATATGATGGGCAGAGCTGTGTGAACCAAACACGATGCCACAGACAGACATGATTAGGGCCAGAATGAATTTTTCACCAGCAATGATGTCCAAACAGCAATGACGCCTTAAAGCTGGCACTGAGATGTCAACCAATGCTATCAAACAAAGTATGGTATCGAACCTACTAGTGTGTCACCTGCTTGCTGCAAGCCTACGTTGGATGGCACAATGAACTTTCTGTTCTCCCAGGACAGGTGACCGAACAGTAAAGTACGTAGCAACACGATTGCCTGGTGTCCGGAGTTCCAATTTCACGCCATCCCTATGGCAAGTGTTACATAGGAAAGAGATTAATGAAAATGTGAAAACTCACCAGATGTATGATGGAAAAACTCTGATGTAGCGGCCCTGAGTAACACAATAAAAAGGGGGTTCTAGATCGCACTGTGAAGGCATATTATAGAATATTCCTTGATAAGAGTATAAAAAGCACTCTTCTGCCATAGCGTTCACGGCCTCCTCAGACTCTAAACTGCCCTCATGCACAGTCACAAACTCCTCTGGTTTGGCCATGTAGGGCATCATGGTAATATTGAGCCAAAGGGGATCAGTGGATCTCGCATTGAGAGGTATCCTGGGAGTGGGTAAACTGAAAGACACTATGTTTTTTTGGATTAGTCCTCAGAAATGCCCCCATTAATAGTGAAAGACTCACCATGCATCACGAACATCAACACGGTGGTAGTAATTCTGGTGCTTTCAATGTCGTATTTAACAGTCACTTGGTCGATGCAAAGTTCTAGAGAAAATCGCCGGTGGTAGTTACAGTAGTTTTCGGGTCAGTCTTATGAACTGCTACCAATGATATAGTGGTGCACTCACCCCGGACATTAATGTTGATATCAAAATTTGCTTAGACCTAAACGGTGTTGTTGGAAATCGATTTCTGGCGCTTGGAATCACCAGTATGACATTTTCAGACAGTATGAGTCACTGTATATAACACTGATGCATCACTGATGCATCTCTATGATTAATACAAAATATTGATATCAGGAGCAGTATGGTATAGTAGCTCACTGCGTGAAGTATATCCTGTAGGCATGAACAGAATGCAAGTGGCGGCCAGGATTCCTAGTACAAGGCGAAGTTACTATGTCTTTTGGTACACATCAGTAACTAGAACAGAGAGAGAAGTGCGCACTTTGCATTTGAATATCTCTTGCAGTAAGAACTGTTGGACTCAGCCCATACATGATGACTGTACGAGCAGAAGACTAAAAGGATTAGTAATACATACATAGATGAATAATGTAGGGAACACTGACTTACCCGGGAATAGCCGGAGAGGTGTCGATTAGTAAGCACAGCACGGAGAACAGACAAGTCCGTTTCGGATTGGACACATAGAATAACAGTTTAACAGTATATATTTTGTACGTAGTTACAAATGATTTATTCTAGATACCTCTACAAGAACAAGCAGTGTCGAGTTGCCAGTCTTTTGGTGTGTGATGAAATTAAGGCTGAAGCGCTGACTGAGTACAGCTTTGCATTAAGTTACCACATTTGGCAAGCAAGAACTGACGCAAATCAGCCAAAATGGTCTCATTATACGTCAATCATATAGTACTACTTAGATCAGCTCAGAGTATGTCTACAGTGGTTCTACCTTGCACAATGATCTTGATAATAGCCAGATTAGTTATTGAACTGGTCATCTTTAGGCTCAAGTGCGACACATAATCATGTTCACTGGCAAGTTGGAACTCAACTTGAACGTTGCAAACACTGTGAGTCAATAACTACTATCACGCACGCTATGGCACATTGCATTGGACTGGTATCAATGCCCAGGTGATTCTCTCCTTCAAGTTGCTCTCGATGTGTTCTGAATGAGAGTATAGTACATGTTTGTTTCTCAACACTCAAACATTCAATTACCTTTCGGATTTCAATTCCGATGTTCAACCTTCCGTATCAATGCCTAGGAAGTTGGAACTCAACGTTGCATACACTCCAGGTCAATCACTACTATCACACACGCTATTGCACATTGCATTGGACTGGTTCCTGTATCCAATAACTTCTAATGTCGTCCAGGTGGGTCTCTCCTTGCTCTTGATGTGATGTTCTGAATATGAGAGTATAGTATATGTTTGTTGCTCAACATTCGAACGTTCAATTACCTTTCGTATTTCAATTTCCGATGTTCAACCTTCCATATCAATGCCTAGGTGGTTCTCTGCTTGCTCTCAATGTGCTGTCCTGAATTTATCTGAATATGAGAGTATAGTATATGTTCGTTGCTAAAGATTCGAACGTTCAACATCCAATGTCCAGGTGATTTAGTGCTTGCTCTCAATTGTGTGGTGTCCTGAACTTATACATTCAATGTTCAATATCCAGGTGATTCCCTGCTTGCTTTCGATTGTGCTATGTCCTGAAATCATACATTCAACGTCCACTGTCCAGGTGATTTCACACTTGCTCTCAATTGTGCGATATTCTGAACTTATACGTTCAACATTCAATGTCCAGGTAATTCCCGCTTGCTTTCAATGTGATGTTGTGAACTTATCTGATTATGAGAGTATAGTATGCCATGCTGTTCATTTAAACCATCATCAGTCACGGAATGAAAAAGGTGCCTTGTGATCAGATCATGTAGTAAGTTCGTTAGATTAGCTTCCTTTTTTTGAATGGGTGATGTTGATCTGTTGTTTGGCAATGAGTGATATAAAGACGGATATAGATGTTGTGAAGGGACACACTCGTCTATCATTGTGCAAAGTGAAAAAAAGTATGACAGCTCCACTATTAGTATGGTGTATGACTGAAATTCTATGGCAGATGCCGCCAGCTAAGTGGACTACTATGGAACAGTACCTATGGCTCCAAGAACAATTCCCGGAGTATACTGCAATCCACGACGGGGACAAGGAATACACGCTCTTCTGGCCAAAAATCTATCTTTATTGTTTAGCAGATGGCCCGAGCGAGCTATCCTCTTCCCCGGTATCGCCAATGAAACAATGTTAGAAAAGGAGCAACAAACCGCAGAAACTGATGCCAAGGATTCACGTAAAGCTGTAAGTCGTCAAATGTGTTGACAATTTATGACCACTAAGGCAAAACTGGTAGCAATTACAAACTTGGTTTTGTTGGCGGACGAATGCATCCAAGAAAAACCGGGGCTTGAAGAAGGACACATCCGTCTTTGAAGTGGCACTGGTACCGAAGTCGCACGCGAAATCCACTGAAGAGATATACATGGACATGGTCTATAGTGAACAGATCAAGCCTCTCGTCAAGGCCGAAAAAGAGGCAGGTAACATAAGTACAGCTGGCCAGCGCATGGCATTGGGCCGAAGGTTTTGCAAGGAGCTCCTGGAAGACGAGTTAGACGAGGTTAAGGAGGAAGTGAGAGAGAGGTATAATAGACAGAAAAAGGTAAAGAGGGTTGTGTTAGATGATGAAGATGACAACAATGAAACTGACGCTGATGCTATCGCAAAGTAAGTACTGGCTTATGTTTGTGATTTTGATATACTCACACGACCTATAGAGCTATCGATGATTTACCAATCATATGCCAGTGCTTTGCATGTCTCATCAAGAAAATACTCGATTCATAGTCTCCTTCATGTGCGCTGGACCAGAGCCGAGGCATGATTGGGACATCGTTTCATTATCGTAAGCGCACCAAACTAGAAATATGACTAATGAACTCACACTACTAAGGTGCCATCCACCAGAAACCCCCGCTGGGAGTAATTTTTCTCAATTGTGCCCTGACAAGGACAACACATTCCTTGCAGCATACCAGCAATACGCTGAGTTGATATTCTGTAAGCCGATCTTTACTGTCCAAATCACTGTAGACTCACCCCGATACTCATCCATCAGCTGCGAATGAGCGCGATCTGCTACTGACACGTGTTGGAGATGGTGATGAGATTGAAGAGCTTGAAGGATGCGACAATGGTGAAGAGGATATGAATGGAGGATGTGATGGTTCGATGGATTGGAATATTCCAGGTCTTTATATTGTTTCGTGCCTGCCTGATGCAAGCTAATGCATCATTGATAGGCTTCGCTACTTCCTCTGATGCATCAATGTCAGGCTTTGGTAATACTGAAGCCAGCATCAGTGATGCATCATCGATCAATGAACTTGATCAATCTGTGTTTAACTCCGAGGTAAGGCCGTTTCATCATCCTGCCTATGTCATCTAATGGTTTTCCGACACAGGCCCAATCTAATGCATCATTCGAACAGGCTGAGCCTGATGCATTGTCAGGCTTTGGTAATACCAAAGCCGGCATCAGTGATGCATCACTCAATTAACTTGATCAATCCACATCTAACTCTGAGGTAAGGCCGTTTCATCATCCTGCCTATGTCATCTAACGGTTTTCCGACACAGGCCCAATCTAATGTACCATTCGGACAAGCCCAGCCTGATGCATCACTCGCGCAGGCTCAACTTCACACATCATTCAATTGGCACAACATTAGTACACTGCCTCCCAATCCAACTAGTGTGCCTGAGCCCCTTCAGTGACAAATTCCGTATTATACGGGCCACCCGACCTCCATAATATCCCGTATGAGACGGGCCAGCTGATCATGGGCCCATGTTGTGTATATTCTCGATGATGACGGATGGGCCGGGACACATATTATTTCCGATGGAGACAGGTGGGCCCATGTATGCCAATGATATATATATCCTTAATGTTGACGGATGGGCCGGGGGAATATGATCATTCATGGAGATGGGTGGGCCCATCTGGGTAATATGTAGAGTAGGATATTATAGACAGCTGGGCTGAAGAGAGATGTAAGGCAAATATTGTTATATAGACGGGCGGGCCGACATGGGTGTATTACATATATGGGTGGGCCGAGGTAGGGGAATATTACATAGACGGGTGGGCTGACATAGGGTGTATTACATATACAGGTGGGCCGACGTGGAATGTATTACATATACGGGTGGGCCGACGAAAGGGATATCAAATAGACCGGTGGGCCAAGGGTGTGATAAAATATTTATTACATAGACAGGTGGGCCGAGGTGGGGTATAATTATATAGACGGTGTAGAAACAACAATACAGAGAGGAACAAATAATGCTCCTAGCTGTATCTATAATAGTTGTAGGTCGAGTGTTGCCTAGTCTGCGATACTTGAGGTGGCAAGTGCATTCGACCCTAAAGGGGAAGCGAGTGCAGCGAAGATCTAGAGGTACGCGCTGAAGCGAAGCACGAGAAAGAGCAGGTGTGCGCAAGGCGTGGGAACACGGGCGCGTATTAGCGCGAAGCGCGGGAAAGCGCGTGCACATATGCGGATAATGATAAAGAGTAAGCTTAAGTGATGATATGATACAAGATAAGAGGTGTGAGAGCGCGAGATGCAAAAGAATAGGTTTCTACTATGTTCTGCTAAGTAGTAAGTAACTAGTAATAGGTAAATGGGAGGTAAAGTAAGGTAAGTAATAGTATGTACTGCTGGCGCTTATATAGCGCGCCTAAGCGCGGTCATGCGGAGCCGAAGCGCTACCGAGTAGGTATGTAAATATATGAGTGAGAATGCATGATAAAAATAAAGATGGAATAATATGTAATGAGAGAAATAGAAATATACGCACTAGAGAACATGGTGGACAGTGGATGGATGCATCTGGATGGCTGGCGCTATAGGGCGCTCAAGCGCGGGAAAGCGCGCGCGCATATACATCGTGAAGCGCGGGAAGTCACGCGCGCATGGCGCGCATTGCGCGGGAAAGCTGCGCCTCATATAGGAATCGCTGTGGACAGTACACAGAGTGGTGCTGCGAGTTGGTGCTGTATACTCCCTAGTGGAAACTGCCATATCACGCCATGAGAGGCATGATTCTCTACAACAGGTGGGCCGATGTAGGATGTATTATATAGACGGGTGGGCCAACATAGGATGTATTACATAGACGGGTCAGCCGACGTGGGGGATAATACATAGACGGGCGGCATGAGCTCCGAGTCCCGAGTCCCAAAACCCACACCCAGCAGTTGCCGAGCTCCGGGTCGCCAAACCCCGACCTCCGAAATTCGGGACTCGGGACCCAGGGTTCGGCACTCAGGACTCGGAGCTCGTGACCTGGGACTTGACACTGTTCTGAATACCGAGTCCCTGACACCTGATTCCATAATCACGAAACATAAACCATGAAACTTAAAATACTGACAAATGCTATCTCCAATGCTCCGAGTACCCTGACACCCAACACAGTTGCCGAGCTCCGGGTCGCCGAACCCCGACCTCCGAAATTCGGGACTCGGGACTCGGGGTTTGGCACTCGGGACTCGGAGCTCGTGACCTGGGACTTGACACTGTTCTGAATACCGAGTTTCTGATCCCAGATTCCATATTCACCCAACATAAACCATGAAACGCAAAATACTGACACATTCTATCTCCAATGGTCTGGATACCCTGACACCCAACACAGTTGCCGAGCTCCGGGTCTCCAAACCCCGACCTCCGAAATTCAGGACTCGGGACCTGGGCGTCCGGAACTCGGTATTCAGAACAGTGTCGAGTCTGGAGTCCACAATGTCGGGGTTCAGGGTTTTGTTAAATGTGTATGGCAATAACAAATGTTAATTCGAGCGTATTTATACATCTTCCCCCAGTCTCAAATATCATGTGCTGAGGTCCAGGTGTCGGGACTAAGTACCCCGGCACTCGGGACTCCCATATGTCAAGTCCCGAGTTCCAATTATCGAATACCGAGGCTTGCATCCAAATTATTTAGTCCCACATATCACTTGGGAAATGCTGAAAATTGAGTATTGAGGTCCGGATCACAATTGGTACATGGTATTCATTTGTTGGAATGTATATAGGTCACAATGCTTGCTCTTTGTTTGATCTTTCACACGCTGTATGGACCATCCACACTAGCCCATCCACATGATGGAACACCAGCATAAATATGAACAGCATCCCTCATATACCATGCCCAAGCAATCCGATCCCCTTCCACATCATACACTCCATGTCTCACAATCCTTCCGGAAAATGCAATCATACAGCCGGAATTGTACTTGAACTCCAGCTGAAGGTTTGGCATTGTCATCCGAGCATTAGAATAGTCCCCCACGGTGGTGAGAATGTCGAAGCATTCAGCAATGGACATGTGGTCTCGATGATGGGGGGTTTCCCGATTGGAAATGATGGAGAGGGTGTTAAACACAGATGCCCAGTACTGCAGGGCCTCCGGCATCTGTGGCAGATCCTTGCTTACTGCTATATTTCCAAGGTTTGACAAGGTTCTCAACCCTGCCCAGTACTGCTCAGGATGCATGACTCTGAGTGCCGCGGACGCGATGGCTGCTGGCCTTGCAATGGCTTTGAGGATATTCTCGCAGGAAGGTCCCTTCAATGATGCAGATACCTCTGGATCGGACACATTCTTTGGGATTGGTAAGTATCACTGCCGGAATCACCATCTCATCAGATCCTACCTCATGTCCCTGTTGAAACCATGCTGGAGATAGATTGATGCATCCGTGAGTTGCTCCAACATCTTCCGAGCCCCGGTTGAACAACCTTTGATTAGTTCGCCAATTGCCATCAGCCCTTACACTTTTTTCGAGGCTTGGAGAGAGCAAATCGGTGGCCTCCCTGATTTCCTTCTGTAGGTTCCATTAATATTCGATATCCATCGAGTAACAATGTATATTACACACCTGGGTGGTGTCTGTCAGGGCATCTGGGAGATAACATGCAATGATGGCACCAGATGCATCAAGAATTATTGCAGGTTCATCGACCAACCTTTTGCCTTCATGGCCAGGAGGACACCTCTCAAGCAACCTCGCCTCTCTATGTTCATTATGCCCGGTGTCCTTCGGGGAGATCAATTTGCTATATCTTGCAATATCCATCTGCATCTGAACTGTCATGCAGGAATTTGAATGATAAATAGAATTTTCCGAATCTGCAGGAAGACCCACTGGGATTTTTAGATGCCTTTATGAGTACATCAGCCAAGCGATCGCACACCATCACCAGATCAGTGTCTAGGTTGGGGGAAGGTATGACTGGGCCTCCTCCAGTCTTCTCTGCCTTGAATTTCTGTTCAGTATATTCCCCTGCTTCATAAGTCACAGTCAGGGCCCAAGTGCGCCAGATGTTTATGCTATCAGGAGGGGAAGGGGAAGAACCGTTCATGCTGGATGTTAATCTTGGGAAATCAGATGCTGAATGCTGGATGTCCGGACTTTGGTGTTATAGGGGGTGGAGATAGAGAGGATCAGATAAGGGAGCCATGGATAATTTTGGCTGTCAAAGATGTATTATTATCCATTGCTCAATGAAATACTACCTGATTGGAAGTGTGCTGGTCATCAGATATTCATTTGTCGACTCCCGGGTCCTGGAACTCGGAAGTCGGTACGGTTGACCCATATTTGGGTGGTCGGAATTTGGCGTCTTGTAGGGCAACACAAGCTTCGTACTGCCATATCAGGAGATCACCTGCTGCTCCGGGAACTCGGTAACTGTGATTTATTACCTCCTCTGAGTAAGGTTGACTCGCTGGTCATCAGATATTCATTTGTCGACTCCCGGGTCCCGGAACTCGGAAGTCGGTACCGTTGACCCATATTTGGGTGGTCGGAATTCGGAGTCTCGTAGGGCAACACAAGCTTCGCACAGCCATGTCAGGAGATTACCTGCTGCTCCGGGAACTCGGTAACTTTGATTTATTACCTCCTCTGAGTACGGTTGACTCACATTTTGGTGGTCGGAACTTGGCTTCTCGTAGGGCAACACAAGCTTTGCACCCCGGATTCCACATTCTGCAAGACAACCTAAGCACCATCAGAGGCCATGTCAAGAGAGCACCTGCTGCTCTCTTCAGAAACATCTCAACTTCGGTTGGTCATTTAACACTGAAAGTATTAACTAAATTATGTGTTGAGTTCCGGGTCCCGGAACTCGGTACAGTTGACTCCAATTCTGGTGGTCGGAACTTGGCTTCTCATAGGGCAACACAAGCTTCGCACCCCGGATTCCACATTCTGCAAGACAACCTGTGCACCATCAAAAAGTATTAACTAACTTATGTGGTGAGTTCCAGGTCCCGGAACTCGGAACTCGGTACAGTTGACTCAAATTCTGGTGGCCGGAACTTGGCGTCTCGTAGGGCAACACAAGCTTCGCACTGCCATGTCAGGAGATCACCTGATGCTCCGGGAACTTGGTAACTTTGATTTATTACCTCCTCTGATTTGGTTGATGTACAACTACCTCAGCTCCATCATGTCTACAATTATGATACACATGGGCCCACCCATCTATATTGTATACCACCCTCGGCCCACCCGTCTAATACAACATCCCATACAACACCCTCGGCCCACCGGTCTAATTAATATGCGTCTGGGCCCACCCGTATAATACATTATTTTATAATACCCTTGGCCCACCCGTCTAATCTAATATGTGTCTGGGCCCACCCATGAATGTGATAACAAGTACCTACCCATCTATCTCATACACATCTACCTTAATACACCCATCTGCATAATATCCAACTACCTCAGCCCACCCGTCTACCTAATATTCATTTACATCGGCCCACTCATCTACTCTATATATTCCCTGCATGGGCCCACCCGCCTCCATCGGGAATAATTTGCCTCCCGGCCCATCCGTCATAGTCGAGAATATTTTTATCATGGGCCCATGGTCCGCTGGCCCATATCATACGGGATATTATGCACGTCCGTTCCCTTGTATTATACGGAGATAGGTCACTGTAGTATGTGTGTGCCTGGGATGAACAAGGTGTTTGGGTCATTGCTTTCTCATGCTGATCTTATAGGGATGGGGTTTTTGGGTGGCGGTAGCACCATGCCAAATCCATTTCCCCTGGCATTCAACTCATTAGCACCCTCACTCACCGATGCTAGGAGTACTGTACCAGGATACTATGACACGCAACACGACACACAATATGGCACGATGTGGAATTTCAGCAACCTTGATTTGCAGGGGTGGGAGATGCCTAGCCTGTCCTCGTTCTTGAGCTCCCCAATTTCTGCCGAGTGCACCACCACAATGGCAACTGAAGAGGATGAGGTTCTTCCTCACTTTACTCGTCAGTCGCCTATTCTTCCAGCAGCAAATCATCCTGCAGATGACAGCGCAGAAGACCTTGACAGCATTCATACTGGTGCTGGTCTTCCTAAATCTAAGCGCAAGCACAAGTTGAAGCTCCTGGCTGCCAAGGTCAATTGCAATCCTGCTATAGAACCCACCCCCACCATCACACCACCTATGAACACGGCCAAACCCAAGGCCAAACCCAAAGCGAAACCTCTCACCAAGTCTGGTGCGGTAACGGAGACATCACATGCTACTGCTGATGAAGGCAATACATTAAGTCATTTGACTGCCCCCAATACCGCCACGAAACGGAATACGGCAGTTGATATCGCTGCAGCTCCTCGTGTATCAAAGCAAATTCCAATCAAGTCCAGGCGGAATGATGTCGCTGATACTATTGGGTCAGATGGTTCGATGTTCATTGACATTGGTAGGGAAGATCCACCTGTTCTGGGGGATGTTGGGGCATCAATGACGAAGCGTCCTCCCAACTTGACTATGGGCAGCGTGATTCCTGCAAAGTATGTCCAAGACATCTTAGTATATTCTCACTTTCTCAATGCTAACGGACACAGGAAAAGGCGAACGAAGGCATGAGCCCATGTCTTTATGTCATGATCACAAATTTGCTTCTCGTACCATAGTAATGTTTGATGCTGTTAGTAACACATGTAGTCTCTGTTTTTCTCGTGATGAATACAGTTGTATCGTCGATTTAATCCTCTTAATAAGTGGTATATTGAGTGTGCTTGTAGTTCGCTGGAGGTAGAATACAGCTAACTGACTGGAATTTATGAGATACAAGGTGTACATACTACAATCAATCTCCGAAGGTCGAGAGTGTAAACTAGTACATCATATGTGCTGGACAGCGAGACCGAGAGATCAGAGTTGAGGGAGTCCAAAGGATCCGAGCAATAAGGGGAGATAGGTCCGAGCGCATGCCAAAATGGACGAAGACAAGCAACATATGATGTTGGCTCGCATCCTAGAATATTTTAAGTCTCTCATTCATATATTCAAGTTTCTGACGCACTTACTATAAGACCAGTACCAGTAGCACAGGTACATCTCAGTTTCGTTCAAGACACTGAGATGTACATTCTAAAAAGTCACCTAGAGTTTTAACACATCTAACATTAGCTATAGCTTTTGTCATTCTAGGTAGACGCACCGTTTGTAATAGAGTTTCGTTCAAGACACTGAGATCGTTTGTCATTCTAGACTCCTTGTAACTCTCTCGCTCGTCATAAACACCTTTAATATGTTGGCTCCAGGACACTTTAAGAATGTGCAATTGATACGGTTTCGAACTTTGGAGTCCGTGCACAGCATATGGCAGCAAGCAGGTGGCGGTGGCGGGATGTGGACCCGTATCGACCATGTACAACTGTATGACACTTCCCTTTTTGATGGTTTGATGGATACTGATGGCGGGGCTGCCAGAAGGATCCGTGTGGAGTGTATGGAGGTGACCAGGTGGTGGCGGGATGTGGACCATACTGGGAGGTATTGTTGATCATGTACTACGAGCGTGGGATGCTTCCCTTTTTTGAGAATGTTGATTTGATGCATCACTATTGCTTTGCTCTCCACTGTAGCATTGATGCATCACTGCAGCGCTGCAACTGCAGCAAATTGTTGCATCAAAATGACACGGACACCTGTCCTTTACAGTTGAGAGTTGCAAGTGGTGCCATGTTGTAAGCCTCAGTACAATGGGTCTCGTACTCCGTTGTAAACTTGTACTATTTATATTAATACAGAAAGATTTCTTGTGCCAGTGTACCATTGTTTTGCACCTGAGTGTCACCATTTACAGTGCTTTGTGAATATGATGACAGTTGTCCGTTTTTGGAGAAAGAGAAAGAAATAAAAATGATGGTATTCAAATTAGACCAAACAGCGTGCATTGCGGATCCTTGGCATGTCCGACTGTTAATATCTTGTAGCGTATGCCCCTACCATACAGCAGTATATTCTTTGATACATTCTCTGACGACAGTGCCATTGAAATTATGAGCTCTCCATTGAGCTCTCCATTGAGCTCCCCTCAGCGCGAACAATCTCTGTCTGTTGAATCTACCATCCTCCCTTCGTGGAGCCCCTCACCTCAGGCTGGACCAGAAAAACAAAGAAGAGAGGCCGTCCTCCCAAGCAACAGCCAGAAAAAGGTTCGTCATACTCTCGGATGACTCAGATAGTGTTGCCGCGGCTCGAGCTATAAATAGCTGAGTTGACAAGCAGTTACAGCTTATACAATTATGGTCCGGCTCAGCTCAATTAGTTACAGCTAAGTCGACTTAAGGGCTTGAACCAACTCAAATATATTTTTAAATCATAAGCTAAAAATAGATTTTAGAATTCAGAACTTTAGTCTCAAGAACTGCCACGAGAAACTTAGGAAAGCAGTGTCGATCACACCAATTCACGACACACTTCACATTTACAAGTCACATATTCATACTCATGGGTCCACAAGACAAAGTAAGTGATTTCAATTACAATTAATCTAAAACTAAAAGAAGTATCTAGTTGTATGGTAGTGCTACTTGTGCATGAAGATTTCGAGAACAGTGCGCATCAGTGCCAAACATGGAGAGACCTATCGTAAGGATCATAAAGCGGCAGAGAGTTGAGAGAGTAGCTGAAACACAAGGAGAAGGGGAAAGGATTGTTTGGACGAGTCGAGAAGGGGAAAGGATTATTCAGACAAGTCGAGAAGGGGGGGGAACATTCAAACAAGTCAGAGATGCAGGTGGGGACGGTACTTCAAGAGGCTTCTAGGTCATGGTCATGGTAGCGGGAATTAGGGTCAAGGTTGGGAGGTTTGTGTTGCAAAGGATATGCCTGTTAGAATAGACGTTTGCGCAATGTGATTGAGACACAGATTAATGTTATTGCTGGTGAAAATAAAAACGACAGACTCACCGTATGCAACGGCTCGGAGCAGCATGGCTCGTGCTCAAAGGAGGGTTGACAGACTTACGATCTGCTAACGGTGGGCAACGACTCGGATCAGCATGGCTCGTGCTCGAAGGAGGGTCGACAGACTGATGATCTGCTAACGGTGGGCAACAACTTGGATCAGCGTGGCTCGTGCTCGAAGGAGGGTTGACAGACTTATGATCTGCTAACAGTGGGCAACGACTCAGATCAGCGTGGCTCATGCTCGAAGGAGGGTCGACAGACTTATGATCTGCTAATGGTGGGCAACGACTCGGATCAGTGTGGCTTGTGCTCAAAGGAGGGTCGACAGACTTACAATCTGCTAATGGTGGGCAATGACTCGGATCAGCGTGGTTCGTGCTCGAAGGAGGGTCGACAGACTTACGATCTGCTAATGGTGGGCAACAACTCGGATCAGTGTGGCTCGTGCTCGAAGGAAGGTCGACAGACTAACGATCTGCTAACAGTGGGTGATGACTCGGATCAGCGTGGTTCGTGCTCAAAGGAGGGTCAACAGACTTACGATCTGCTAATGATGGGTGACAACTTGGATCAGCATAGTTCAAGTTCGAAGGAGGGTCAACAGACTCATGATCTGCCCAATCAAGGAATGAATCAGCTCTATACGGTGATGAAATAACTTAGCCTACCTGGGCATGCACGCCAGCCAAAGCCAAAAGTATATCCAACAGGGTTATCATCTGTTGATGCGCCATTGACATCTAGGAATTTCTCCAGCATAAAATGAGATGCTTTGGGGTACCACTTTTCATCCCATGAAATGCCCCTGCAATATAAATATAACATCAGTATTTGAAAAATAGAGAGGATCTGTCTGACCATATGTTGTACATGACAACTGTTCCTGATGTACGATATTACAAATGATGTACTCAGTGAATAAGAATAACAGACCTTTCGGTATGGAATAGCCATTATATGTATCATCACTCGTGGTGGCATGTGGGACGCCTACAAAAACACCTTCAGCAAAGGCGAAATAACACAACAAGAAAGATTACCAAGGGGTACAACAGGCTGCTATCATAAAGTCTCACATAGATATGGTAGTGACATTCTGTCTTCAAAGGTAGGTAAGCGATCCCGGCCAACCACTGGGTCGATCTCTGCTTGTGCGTATCTCAACTGATGCCAAGAATCTATGAACAGGTTAATAATAATTTGATGTTTACAAACACAGACTGACATTGCAAAGTGAGAATGATGATTCTGAGGATCACCAATGAGGTTGACGATCATCTCACGAGCCTGCTTGATTATTGGACGAAACTTGAGCGCAGAGTCAGGACAAAAAGTTTGATGGAAGAGTCGTCAGCAAAGACGCCATTCATCACCATAGCCTGTGAATACAAATACAACAGACCAACCAACCCTGCCTGTATTCCATGATGATTCAGTGGAAGAATGTTAGAAGAATGCACAGCTCAAGTGTGGCTATGTATGGTCTATCAGAGTAAATGCAAGAACACTTGTCCAGCAAGGCTTCTGCAACGTGCTGAGAATTGATCACCACGACTTCCTGGCCTAGAAGTTGTACAAAAAACAAGTCTCCTGATATAATGATTTGCACCATATATGCAGCCTGCCGTGGTACTATCTGATCACGTACCATAAGCAGCAGCCCACTCAGTGTAAGTTAACCATGCCGCCTTGGTGTCGAGAGACAAGACATTTCCTAACAGTGGGAGCAGCACGGGGCCAGGAGGAAGTTTTTTTGTCTGTTCGTAATGAACCTCTTGAGGGATGTGATGACAATAAAGGAAGCAAGTAAGATGGCGAGGTTAGCAAGACGACCATCAACTGAAGGAAACATGGTTAGAGCGGTGTGTGGGCAGACACCTAACACATAATTGCACACAATACCATGGCAAGAGCAAAAGTCATCAAGGTTAACGTGGTCTGACAAGAGGTTGAGCCTCAGAGCAGCAAACAATATGATTTGCGAATCGGACATCTGCTGACTGTCTCATATGAACCTGCATAGACATATATTAAAGAGCACCACATCCTTTGTGAAAAGGTGACCAACCTACAACAGCACTAACAGCTGCTTTTTTTGAGAATGGTGGGCAATGTCTCAGATCAGTGTGGCTAGAGTTCGAAGGAAGGTTGACAGACTCATGATCTGCAAAAGGTGGGCAATGACTTGGATCAGTGTGGCTCAAATTTGAAGGAGGGTCAACAGTCATGATTTGCTAACAGTGAGCAACGACTCAGAGTAGCACAGCTCATGCTCGAAGGAGGGTCGACAGACTGACAATCTGCAAATGGTGGGCAACGACTCAGATCAATGTGGCTTGAGTTCGAAGAAGGGTCAACAGCTTATGATCTGCAAATGGTGGGCAACGACTTAGATCAGTGTGGCTCGAGTTTGAAGGAGGGTCGAAAGACTCATGATCTGCAAAAGGTGGGCAACAACTAACAGTGATTCAACAACTGTAATGGCAATGGAGTTAAATGCTTACCTCTGAGGTTTTGCCATTGTACTCAACTAAAACCTCATCTAGGGTGAGTTCGATGGTCAGACGGTAAATGCTAAAACCAGTTGCGCAGTCACTGCTGACATCTTTCCTGCAGTTAGTAAGATCAGAACATCGAGGAGAAATATAAATCAATAGCCAAGGTTAGTTTAATGACAAAAGAAGCAGTGGCATGAGTAAGAGGAAGGGAACAGTCAAAGTAGTAGCGAACAAGCAAGAATTAAGAAGCAGGAATAGATATGTCTGTGATATCATCTGGAACACCGTCACATTCATCCTCCGCAATGACTCTAAGAAGAGCCTCATAATCGTGGCTGCCAGATGTAGTTCCGCTGATAGCGGATATCAGTAGATCACCAGAACTAGATGGTAAGAGATCTTCACGGCTCGCAGAGCCTGTAGCACACATCAAATCATACTCCATGTCCTTTTGGGATGCTGCCCAACCCTTGGTAAAGTGAAGTCGCTCCTTTTTCAGTGCGAATTTGACTATCTGTAGGGCTTCCATCAAGTATGGGCTGAGACGATGGCGCTTCTTGGTAAGTGTCTCACTGCTGGAGGAGAATATGTGCTCACATGGAACAGCAGAGGCTTGGATTGGCAGGAAATCCATTGCAATTTTGAAGAGTGTTGGAAACATTTGCTCCGAAACCTAGTCCTCATCACCAACAAAACATGTAATAGAGACAGATATCTTACCATCCAAAAAGATAGTATATCTGTTCCTGTATGGCTAAGAATGCCTGTGCTATAAGCATTAAATTCATCTTCAGCTGATTGGGAGCGGTGACTCTGGTGACATGGCAGTAGGTCTATCTCAGGAAGTCTATAGATTGTCAAGCCTAGTGTTGCAGGACGTGGCCGACGAATCAACTGATCGGACTCTGCAGAGTCATTTGTCGCCCTCTTATTCCGCATCTGTAAGACGTATAAGCCCAAAGCTTGCTGTTATTATTGTTAGGCAGACGTACCAGTTTGAGAATATAGTCTTTAGCCTCTGTGATTCGCGAGACTGACCAATGTTCGTTCATCCATGACATACGTCTTGTGGGATCGACAACTATACACAATCATTAGAGTTCACCTTCATCAAAACACGTGGGACTTACACATTGCAACAGCATACACTCCTGTGAGACTCATTCGATCATCATACTTAGCTGCCCATGTTAAACCTATGGCGACCAAAGGCACACAGTGTGGGACAAGGTCCGCTACGAGCTTCCATCTTTGGATCAGCCCTTCAAAGGCTGGAATGGTGCTGCCCAGTAGAGGACTGGTTTCACCTGACATGCATTGCTGAGCATGATGTGGTGCCTAATGTAGAATTGTAAATATGATATGGGTGTCGGACATATTAGAACATACCTCTAGAATAACCTCAAGATTCTGCAGGACTTGCCAATCCATGGGGCTCAGTTTATAATGCACCATGCTGCGTTGAGCAGGAAGATTGATCCAATGGTCGATAGCCTAGGCAACCATTAGGCTATGTGAAAATTGATGAGATGAAACATTACCTGTTGTAGCCTTCTCAAACGATTGAACATAATGTATGTTGAATCCCAATGAGTAGGCTTGTCACATAGCAATTCGACTGTTGGAAGGGCCATACACTCGTTCATGTCGTTTATGAACCATCCCTCTGCGTTGCCAGAAGTGATGGCAGCTCAAAAACTATCACAACGCTGGCCTGATGCACGAATTATGCAGACAGTATTTCTGGCCCAATCAATAATGTTATGTTGCAGAGCGTCGACATACTGCACCTTGCTAAAAGTGTAAGGGCCAGCTACAAAAGTATCAGCCAAATGTGAAAGTCTGCAGTAGAATATTTGTCAAGGATGTGTTGGACACATATATTCACTATGTGAGGGAAACATGGGATTCGGTGATCAACCGCATCAAATTCAATCCCATCTTTCTGCAAAAGTTGTGAGAGTTCATCCATCGCGGTCCTGTTGTTGCTAGCATTGTCCAAGGTAAAGTGTCCGATCTAGATAAAGTCAGGGCATACAATACAGTATAACAAGACACTAACATTATGTTTCACTTCAGCACGATCAATCAGCTCCAATATTTTTGAGGCGAGTGCCTTCCCTGTATGACTACCAGGAATGTGATGAAAAGCAATTAGAGCGGCCTTCAAAACGAGTGTTGCATTCCCGCTTTCTTTTGCAATCCAATGCGCAGTCACAGCAAGGAAGGGATGAAGCTTAGAATTGGACCAGACATCAGATGTGAACAAAATTCATTCTTGGGCGGTCTGCAAGATATGAAAATACTGTATGAGATCGGTAGCTAGACACTTACGGCAAGGTTAAGTTTGATGGCTGCAAAATATTTATCCCAAGCATCGATGATCAGTTGCTGGAACTTTGTACGATGTGGGATGTCAGAATCTTCTAGGTCTTGACGCAAGAGGCAGAGTAGGCGACGAAACTCTGGACACTCGACAATGCTGATTGCCTAGAGATGGTCATGAATGAGAGTACATAGACGGTAGACAGTACTCACTTGGTTATCAGCTACAATGAACTTCACTATATGTCTATGCATCTCTTTGATGGAGAAGCCTGGTAAGTTGTGCAAGGACACTGACTTCCCAACAGTGGGAAGTGAACCGCTATGTCTGGGATTAGGGGGAGGGCTGAGCGTCTCGATTGTGCAAGTGGGATCTTTGAGTCGTTCCCGCATTTCGGCAAAGGTCCAGCCTTCATTAATGCAATCCCCTACAGGATGTATGCTGACTGGCCATTGCCACTTCTCGGACTCCTGGAGATAAAGGTCGATATGAGATTTGTATATGTGTGAACGAAGAGGAGTATTGCTTGTGGATGAACTGTAAGTGGTAAGAGGACAGGATGAGTCGATTTCATTGAAATCCCTGGTAAAGGGGGTGAGAAAGAGCAGAAAAGACTCCCAGATATGTTACTCACTTGCATGGTACGCAATACGCTCACCTGTGTCTGAGTTCTTCCTGAAGAAAAACTGGATATCAGACGTAGTCTTGAGGCCTCGTTTTCTTGTGGCAAAGGGATTAGTGGGGAGAGTGCTAGTCGCTGTCTGCAGTGGACTCAGGTTTGTATTGGTATTGGCATCGGCTAGGTTAGTGTTGGTGTCAACTAGGTTTGTGTTGGCGACAGCTATGACTTCAGGTGGGTCGTTGTTGTCTTCACTGCCACTGACGTTGTTGATATCGATCCACTCGCCGTCACCTAGATGACCAGCTGCATTGTCCTGACTGAATCTCTGAGGAAGTTGTCGCTGTCTCCTAGGGCGGTGAAGGGTAGTGGCAATTGTAGCTGCTGCAGTGGTAGTTGCAGCAGCAGCAGCAACAAGTACGGGAGTAGCAGGAGTGACCTCAACATGGGGAATATTGGTGTTTTGTCGACAACGGCCACAACAATTCATATCAGTGGTGCTGGAGCTGGGAGATGCAACAAGAGACTCACCTGTCTATATACTTTCATTCTGTAAGACCCCGATGCACGAATCACCTTATCCTGAGTGTTGCACTTCACAGCATCACAACTCATTCCCACTGTATCGACCATATGATTCAGATCATGGTAACCAAATCTTGAATGTAGGTGGGAATTTCCATGAGGAGAATGCATGAAGGAATGTTATTAACATGATATTAGGGTTGAACCCTGCTGACAATCGGAAAGACCAGCTAATTGAATACAGCCATAGTTCTGATTCTTGACGAAATTATCAAGCCTCAAGGCTCAAGCAGAAGATGTGAGTTCAACAGGTGATATTGAGGTAATCATCCCAATGCAAGGCTGCAGACTGCAGTGTGCATCGTGGGAGTTAACACTGGAATTACACAGCATATGACATATGTGCACAGACCATGTATACAAATATGTAGATACTATTGATCAACATCTGTACAAACATGTGCACTGCGCAGATTAGTAGTACTGAAAAAATATTGGGTTATATAATGCGTTTTTTCATTTGATGACACAAAGTGGGAGTAGTTGCAGGCGTTAGGGTACCATTGTGTGGACATAACCTTGCAAACGATAAGGTCATAAATGATGAGTGCTGCATAAGAATAAATGAAAACACTTACACACGAGTTGATTTATGAAGAGGCATTGCCTTCGGCAGACATAGGGGCACTGATTCAGAGACTTGAGGATGGTGAGGGGAAGACGTGATATGACAATTGAAATCCAAAGAGTGCATAGCTGGTGCAGGCCCTGCAGTGCGAAGATTGTGAAGTAAAGAACAGAGATGGTCGTAATCTGGATCCTCCGAGAATGAAAGAGAGCATGAGTAGACGAAAATATTTGCAAATGCAGCAGGAATTCCATCACATAAATCAGCGATGGTGGTATCCACTTTGCATTCGATTATCAAGGAGCTGGAAAGCTTCTCATGGTCACTATTTAGCCATGCAAGAGAGCCATGCAAAAAATATATTAGCATGTAAGCAAGTGATTCCAGGTCATCATGACGACCCAGCTCCAATCCCAAGTGATTATTGATGGAAGCAAAGGCGGGGGTGCCTGTGAGATGTCGACCTTGGCAAAATGGGATGTGAGGTTTAGTCGCAGTGTTCCAGTACTTCTTCGCGATACCAAAATCAATGACATATGCGATTTGCTTCGAGTTGTCCACCAAAATGTCTATTCTGTGGCAAACCCGGTCATTCAGCTTGTGAATGCACCAAGTCCACTTCACACACCACTAAAGGCCGTGCTGCAGTACTAACTCTGGAAGACAAACCGGAGGTCTCAGATGAGACAAAAAATAGTCCGCAACCCTCCTGACTCTGCACAGGATGAGGGTTGCATTGACTCTACCCATGCAACGGAGCTACATCTCAACACTGTTTCTCTTTCCGATTCGAACTCTCTTTGTCCAATCATTTCTCTTCCTACTTTTCCTGATATTTCCGCTTTTCCTTCTCTAATAGATTGTGGTTCCTCACATTGTTTTATAGACTCTGATTTCGTCTGAAAAAATAAGCAGAATATATAACGTGAAAGGCCGCCCGCGGCAGAGCCCGCTACGGTCGTTTTTTTCGAGTCATCAACATGAATTGCTTGGATGCACAGGTATAATACAGACCAGCGCAGATGAATCGTACAGACGAAAATACAAGTATTGTACAAATCAATCGAGATGCCGAGATGCGAGAAGATCAGCGCAGACGAATCGTACAGACAAAAATATAAGTATCGTACAAATCAACCGAGATGCCGAGTCACGAGAATCAGGCAAGCGATACGAATAGGCGAGTGCTATACAAATAAACGGACTTTGGAGATCACATATCTTCAATCGAGTCGTGAAACGGAGGAGGCGGTCAGTCCACTTTCTCTTTCTCTTTTCCTTTCCCTCCCTTGTGCCTTTGTCCGTCTGCGTGCTTACTTTTTTTGGCGGGGTTCATTGCCACGTCGAATGTGGAAAATCCCGCGATGGCTGAGTCGTCTTTCGACAAGTCAACGGACGTTGTGGAAAGGATGGGAATAAAATGTTCTTCCACAGGTTCATCGGAAGGATCCAGCACTTTCATGGCCTGCACACTGAGCTGAAAAGTCTGCAAATTTCTGTTAGAGAATGTTTTTAACTAAATTGACTGGTGCGCACGCTGGTCGGCTGTCCGTTTTGTATCATATTGTACATGTGCGCATCACAGACAGCGAGAACGAGCGTCCCGGGTCTTAGTTTTGAGTACGTCTCGTGCATAGGGATGAGCTTGAGTCCGTTTTCAGTCGTGTCGTAGAGGTTCAGTTGCTTAAGTTTGTTTTGTTGCAGTTGAAAATATGTTCCACTGGTAGTCTGGAAGGATTCGTGGGTCGTATAAAGCACCTGGAGTGACTATTTAGAGCATAAGCGCAGGTTTAGAGGGAGTGTGAAGATCAAGAATACCTTCGTCTGCTGTAGGTGTTGGCACATTCATATTGGCGCTCGAACTTGCCATAGAGGTCCTGGACACCACCGTGCTACGCTGTCCTACCATATTGTCTTCGCTCGTGATTTTGCGCTTGGTTCGTCGAGGTGTGGTGTCATGACTGGCATTTTTACCTTCTGGCTTCTGTAAGAGATGGTTGGTGCACATTAAAATGGCACGATTTGGTTTGTCACTTACCTCGTAGATGCGTTGGGATGTTAACATGATAAGGTCCGCATATTGCAAGTCATTGGCGCTCTTGGCAATACACACGTTTATCTTTGAGCCCTGTGGGACTGTCAGTTGTAATGTAACGTATTGATCGGAACTGACCATTGCTGCTCTCTTCTTCTCTTTGGTGATCCAGTCTTCGATGGATGTTAGTTGATTTTCCCAGATATCCGCTAGGTTAGGTGAACACATGGTGGGCTTGGAAAGCGCCCATTTCCATTTGACGGTGTCCGAGTCGCCGAGCGGTATGTTCTTTATTTGTCTGTCAGATTATGATCATGAACTGGCAGGGGACATACGTGCCTTTTTGGTGAAATGTGTTCCTTTCGCCGAATGCTTTGTGCCGCACGTTGAGGTCGCAATTTGACCTATGATGTTGGTCCTAAAGGGGCGACCATCCTTCGTGTTTACATATGACCAATTCGTCCCACTGTAGTTATCTTGGACGGTGGTGGTCCAATCGATGCCGAAATCAGCTTTGCCTAAGCCGTCTTTGCCCAGGTTGGTAATGGCTTCAGAGACACGATCATATATACCGTTGGCAACACGTTGCGAGAAACACCTGACTTCAGTATCAGGTGTGGTCATAGTGGTGGATTGAATGATAGAATTTTTAGGGGCTCGAAGAGCATCGAACTTGTCTTTAAATCAATGGAGTTCCCAATTACAAGAGTATGACATACAGTAAGATCGGTCGTTGACAAATGCTCATGTCGTCGCTGACAAATATCGATTTTGTCAGTGGTCAGAAGGAGGCACGAAGGGATAAGGTAGTCAGATGTGGGTCTCTTGGCATTGGTCACGTCAGGGACAGCAGGCGGTCTTCCTAGACCAAGGCCCAAATTGAAGGCTCGAGCTATCTCCGTAAGCAGAAGCTCGCGTTGTGCAAATTTCTCGGCGCATACATGTCACAGACCCACGGCAGGCTTGGCTCTAGTGAGCTCTTGAATATGGCCGAGCTAGCTCCTCGTTATTTCAATACAGGAGATCTTCAATCTTCAACTCACAGACTGTGACCCCAGAACCCCCTTCCCCCCTGAAAACGAGTTTCACACTCTGAATTCCCTCCCTGGCAATCCGTCACTATGGTCAAATCAAAAGTCTGACGCCGGTTCGCATCCTCGGGGTGGATATATGTCCAGACAGCACCCACAGGCATCTCGCCCTCTTTTTGTACGACAAACAATGGAGGAGCGGATCATATGGACGCGCTGCTTCTCAGCCCAGGAAGGTGGGGTTCCTCTACAGGGGTGTCAGTCATGTTCATGTGCGTGTAGAGAAAAATACCTTGTGACACTGGTAAGGGACCATCTAATCGGACAACCAGGATTGAATCAACATCTTCTGCAGAAGGCTTTGGAGATCAGTTGTCCATGATGTAGTATGGGTCGTCCCGCATTCGTTCCAATTGCTCGGCCTTGAGCTGTGGAATGTTAGTCAAGTCGAAGTAATGCGGAGATTGTGGCCAATGCCTACCCTCTCTCGTTCAGCCTTTTCTTCAGCTGTCTCTTCTTCCAGCCAGACAAGCTCCCACGTATGACGGGCCCGCTCGTACGCTGCAATATAGCAAGATGTATCCCACAAGAGAAACAAGCGCGCCACCAATGATGTACGGACCATGAATATTGTGCTTGTCAGAATAGATGCCAAATATGATTGTTCCGATACAGCCAGCAGCAAATGGCAGGACTGAGAGTAGCTGGGCATTCACAGCAGAGTAGTCAAGCTCGTTGATGATGGTTGGCGAGAATAGGGCGATGGCATAACCAAGGACGAGCAACCTGATGATTAACTCAGATGAAGCACACGATATGACGGAGACTGAGTACCTTAAATAAATGAGACTTTGGACGTAGGTCTTGTAATCTTTTATGGCTTGCCAGATGAATTGAGTGTCGAAGCGAGAGGAAAGATTATTAGAATCCTGTTTGAGCACATCTATGATGTATGATCTCTCTGATTCGGTCAAAATTTGGTCGTTTCAGGATACTGAGTGGTCTAAATCAGCATAGGAAAGGCTCGGCATAATCACGAACTCACATCATGCATGTAGAAAAAAGAGAGGATTGCGACGAGGACAGTGGCTGGTTGAAAATGAGATGAATCAATCAACTCTGTAAGAGTGGGAGTAGGAAATTGGCGGTATATAATCTGAGGCCTGATGTTTGGATGTCCACGGAAGTCTGTAACAGACAGTTCGACCGATGATGGATGAGCAGATCAGGCTCGGCTGGGACCGGCTTACGGCCTGAAACCGGGCCATGTACATCACTATGCGCACCTCCGGTGTTTGGTACGCCGTACTAGAGGTAGCTGCAAATCATTGTTTGGAGACCGAGGTATAGCATCCACTATATCTTCGTTGACTGAATCTTTCAGTTTTCTCTTCTTTCGACAAGGTGGTTGCTGTGTTAACCCGGATTGGGTGCCAGATACAATAAGATCATCTAGGTCGAGGATGCTTTGTTGAATATTGTTTAGTTCATTTGCTCAGTCTTCTTTGGTACATGCTAATATTTTATTATGTGTGGTCAGGTTATTCATAATTGACGGTGATCGTTGTTCTGCTTGTTTTCGTTGGTCATCGCTCGTATATGGTGAGTCCATTGATGTTTTGAGGTTCAGTACATCTAATTGAACAGTTTCTTGGTGAATGTCTTGAGATGGATGAGAGCAAATTTTATTATAATTAAATGGACGTAAGATAAACAGGCTTTGTAGAGAGGTTGCACGTGATATCATCACATATGGTTTCTCAGCACCTCGGCACCATTTTGAACCAAGATCAACAATAACTTTCTTTAGTGTTTGGCCTTGTGATTTGTGTGCAGTGATAACAAAACCTGGAAGGATAGGCACTTGAGTGCGTGTAATGCGACATGTCTTTTTTGAGTTCGGATGTGTGAATCTAAGTTCTACAGAATCCTCGATAATAGGTATTTGTTGAGGACTTAAATTTGGGAGTGCCTCACCTGATGATTGACTGATTTCCACAATACAGGATCTCAGCACACGTTGTTTTTCATCATTGAGTGAGTATCTGACTTTTCTCAGTATTCCTGTACTACCATTCACAATTCCGCCATCGACATCAAAGTTTTGAGATACAAGGACTGGCATGCCAATGACTAATGGGATTTTACCTAGTCGCATGTTTGTTTTTCCCGAATTCAAACGCTGTAATTTGTTGATCAAATCGTTATCATGTAGTTTCTTTCTTTGATGCTTATCTGTGCAGTGGTACCAATGAAGAGTGTGTCCTGTTCTTCGTGCAAATGCTGTTGTCATTCTAATGTTGAGTTCATCTTTGCTCTCATTGTCACAGACAATGATTGGTGCATCTATCCATTCACAATCATCTGTATGACCTGCATTGGTGGTAATCACTCTTGTTTGTAGAAGCTGATAATCATCTAAAGTGCATTTTCCTTGACGCAGACGTGTTAGACAGTCGACAAATCGTTCATTCTCTGAACCTGATTGATGCATTATCTTTGTTAATAATACCACAGTGTTTGTTGATAGCCAGAGGAGTCTGCCAAATATGCTCTTTTGTCCCTGTGTTGTTGCACAGCGTCTGAGGTCAAGGTGGGCATATAATTGTTTGCCACTCACAGGTGATAGCTGAGCAAAATCTCCTGCAAAGATAATGTTCATCCCTCCAAATGGTGCTGTGTTATCTTTGGCATCCACTAATGCATCATGAATTTTTGTAAGAAAATCACAGCTTATCATTGACACTTCATCTATGAACAAGTAATCAATTCCTTCCCACATCACAGTGAGATCTCATTTTGTTTTGGTATTCACAGCTGATGTATGTCTTTGGTTTAATAATAATGAGGCATGTAGAGTCATGCCTGAGATGTTCCGTGCAGCTACTCCCATGTATGAGGCAAGTCTAAATCGTCGTGTTTGATTTCGTTTGATGAAAAAATCCTTCAGAGCATCAATGACCCTTGACTTTCCAGTACCAGCCGGTCCTCCAATAAACATCCTCAGAGGTTCAGGATTGTTTGTTCGACTATGTTCTGCTATTATTTTAAAGGCCCTAGTCTGTTCGTCATTTAATGACCATTCTTGGGCAACACGATCACTATTTACATCACAGAATTCATCAACTGCATGGGTCTGGCTTTGAATATTTGGCACAAGGGTCTTGTGTATTTCTAATGGCCTTGTTTGTATTGTTTCAATTGTTGTGGATTGTATGTTATGATTGGTGGGTAAATGTGATTTTGAGGAATCATTTGTAGTTTGATTTTGCTTCCATTTTGTCCATCGTCTTTCATAGCAATCTCGCCATTCATTCTCTTGTTCGGTATTTTTAATCATTTGTTCAGAAAGTTGATTATTAGTTTCACTGGTATGGTGGTCTGTATCAGGAGGTTCTGCAGTACTTGAGACATGTGAAAGATTGTCAAAAAATCGACATGATTCCATATATTGAAGACAACTAATCAGGTCGTCGTTGATTGTGGACTGTCGCATAGAATGACAAGAATCCATTGATTCTAGATGAGTGAGTATATCTTCATCAGTATTATCTGTGAATATGTCATCCTCATTGTTATCATGACTGTAGTTAGACATTTCAGTTGAGATTCCTGCAAGTTTGTGTCGAAGCCGGCGGTTTGCAAAATGATCATCTCGGCTGTCCTTGCATTCATGCAATATCTGCATGTTATTCAAGATGGCAATAATCTTCTCATCACATGTGCGTCTAAATGTTTCGAAGCTTTCAATCCATGATTGCGTTGTTTGTTTGAGATCAGATACAGATCTCCATGGTTTGAAAAGGATCAGCATCAAACGACAGTATTTGGGATAGATGTATTCCTGGTCTCTGCGAGGCATCCTTGGACCTATTGGGACGGGCACAAATCGGTTCTTTTGTTGTCTCACACGTAGAAAATGTGTACGTGATTCATAATGCCCTGTTTGTAGCTCTCCAGAAGGCCGTGTTTTGGCTGAAGAATGGAGAATCTCTTCTGCTAAAGGAGATGGAAGTGGATCCTCTACTAACGATGTTTCATCTATGTCCATCTCATCCAAGTTTTCTGGATTATCAGTATCATCTTCTAGCATGGTATCATTGGTGAGTTCATCCTCATTGTCATCAATGTCATCATCATAGCATGTTTCATCATCGTCCATATTCTCCCAATTTGTTTTCTTATTTTTCTTGCTCTTTTTCACTTTATCTACTTGAGCAACAAAATCCCATATGCATATGTTGCTGAACTTGTCATCTCGATGTAAGTAGTCCATAACTTGTGTGGCTTTAGGCACAAGATTTCCAAAATTGTCACTACCAATTCTGATTTCATCATTTTGGAGCTGTTCAACATAAACTCCGTCATCATCCAGAGTTCCTTCAACCGGTCTATGTTCAAATTCCTCATTAGGTTCATCAAGTGCTCCTTCAGTATCACCACTATGACTGTGACTGATTTTTGGTACAGTATCATCATCTATTATTGATGACTGATTACACTCAGGACTTGGATTGCATTCTTCGACAAAGGATTCAAAATTTGTCCAATACAATCCACGGTACTCATGACTTGTAAAGTGGTCCTCAAAATCCATCAGATATGAACAGACTTGCTGAGCCAACAATTCTTGGTGAGAGATCATTGAATGAGCACATTTTTGCAGCATTTTCTTCGCTCGCAGTGTGCAATCATCATCATTCGGATCATATATTTCTAATTTATGTATTGCTGTTTCCATTGCAGCTAATGCAACATGAGTTTTTAACTGAGACTTTGTGATATAGTCAGTTATATAATACAGTATTGTTTTTGCGGCTGGTCCTGATCCGATGAATTTTATATCCATATTACACCTCATGGCTTCCAATATGCTTGCATTAAAATGATTCACTAGACCATCTAGGCACTTTAAGGTAATTTCACCAGTGATTGGATCAGTCAGGCTTATCAGATGTATATTTTTTTTGTCTAGATCAAATTGACATTCTTTTGGTTCTGGTGGGCCTCTCCAGTATTTCCAGCATGTTTTCAAATGTCTGTGAGTCTGACATTTTTTAGCAAGAAGATGTATGTCTTTCTTTCGCATTGTCTCTAACCCATCTTCCTCAGTGGTGTTCTGAAAATTCACACCTCGAGTTGAACATGGATGACAAGTTTGATTGGGTATTGATATGTCTTCCTCAGGAAGTTCAGGAATACATGTCGAGATTGTATCTTCCAGGTATTGAAGAAGACATTCTTTAAAGCTTTGTTCTTCATTTTGTAATATTCGGTCCTTGATCTCATTAGGATTGAGGCCACCTTCCAGCCATATCAACATATGACAGTGTAAAGTCCCCCTTCCTTGAGCTTCAACACATCCATAATATGCACTGACAGTACCAAGTATGCCCTCATGAAGGTCTGTACCCTTACCTTCGAATCGCAAAAGACATTTGATGAAAGATTTCATGTAGATATTAAAAAATTTGGCTGCAACAGCTGGATTTCGAGCTACAAGAATAGATTGATCGTAGAATTTCGGCACTTCTTCTGGCAGGAGATTGTCAATATCTATCTCAGCACCAGCAAGAAATTTGAAAAGCGGATTATATACATCAGCAGGATTGATGGTAACATAAAAACTCGGCAAACCTCGTTCACACATGTGACCACGGATTTCATTTCGCATATTTGCTCTTGCATGTGCTGATCCTGGGACTTGTGAGGTTATCATTCATACCTCTTTCATCAAGCGTAACACACATTGCTCATCTTCATTGTTTGCAGAAACAGTGTCTCCTCGAGCTACACGCTCTGTCACACAGTGAACAGCCCATGGTGAAACAGCAGCAAGATTGGTAGCTACAGTTGGAAAGGAGTCCCGCTTTACTTTCAAAGATGTGTGTAACAAAATCTTCCGTCGCTGTAAAATGTTGAATGCTGTGAATAAAAACGAGTAATGTTCTTGAAAACGACGATCTGCAAGGTTAAAAAGGTGTTTAACGTGTCTCTTGATTGACAAAGGTTCAGGACGTAGATGGTCTTCAAATCCTCCCAATCCATATGGAAACAAGGTAGGATAAATCATTGGAAAGAGATTTGGATCGAAGAACTCATTGACAGGTTGAGGATCATGAGGGATCTGGACATATCCACCACCTTTGTTCTTGATATGACGGACTGCTGCTGCACGCAATTCATTTGCAGATGCATTTCCGTCAACATCAGTGACTACGACATTTTCAAACATAGTCTCCAGATCAGCAGCACATGATTGTTCATCAAACAACAAAGAATTGTTATCCACATCGGATGAATCTTCTGACTGCACTGCCTCGGTTGCATCATACTTCGATGTCAAGGAATCACGTGCATCATTTGGAAGAACGTGGTCGATGTGAAAAGGCATCAACATTTTTTCTTCCATAGAATTCAAAACATCAAAATCAATGATGATATCTTTATACAGACGATTGTGTTCCTTCAACCAAACTAATGCAGCACGAACTTTTTCTCTCCAAGCTATCAAAGGTTTGGCCTTTTCTTCAAGCCATGCACGAGTCGGAGGACATGAGCCCACAAAAATGATGCAAATCGGCATAATAATGTCATCCACTGACGGAGGTAAGACATTTGCAATCCCTTCTGGGCGCTGAGGATAAACAATTATGTGACCTTTGATTCCACGTTGATTAGTAGAAAGTTGCAAATCCTGGTTTTCTTCCTTCAATTGAATGATCCAACATTTTGCATGACAACGAGCAATCATTGTTTCCTCAATGACAGTGAGATCTTTCAATTCGTCAGGTACTTCTCCCAGAAATGTTCGATTCACAAGACTGAGTGCCGGACATTTGCCTTTCTTAAGCTTCTTGTCACAAACATTGCACAAGGATAATTCAAAATCGTCCTCACCACATCGTCTCACCCCAGAAGGATCGAGCATCAAGTCACAAAGAGGACCATCAGAACATGCAAAAGGTAATGGAGGGAGAGGACAGTCCCCATTGAAATAGTCATTTGACATGTGCTGATCTTCTTGTCAATCAGGTCTGCGCAAAAGAGAGGAATTAGTGAGACTCGCTATAGATACTGTGACTCGTTCAGAACATGAAACACTTTCAGCACAGGACGCGCAGGTAAATGTGGCCAATCTTTCTGAAGAAGTCTCATCTTTGAACATCTGCACCAAACGACACTTCAATTGCGAAGACGGAAGCTGAGGCCATTCGTGAGAAAGCTGACAACGACGATTTTCACGAGCTTGGATCTGATTTTGATTAGAAGATTTTGACTTAGCTTTCTGCAGTGATTTGATATGCTTCTTTAATGTACGACGAAGCTTTCCCGTTTTCGATCCGAGTTCAAAACTGACCCCATTTGCTGTTAACAGCCGTTCTAAAGGTCGTCGTTTCGTAGTTGTCAATATAGTCATCAAGAAGGCTATCTTCATAGAAAGCACGGCCTCTTCATCACCACAAGATGTATTAAGGCTTTGACACGCAGATTCGCAACCCTCGAAAGTTCGCGATGAATTAGATCCACAGACTCCCGTGCCAATGTGTTGAGATATAGCCTGTCGCAAATCTTCCATAGACATGTCATCGGTTACCTGAAGACCATGGGCAACTACCAATTCACTCAGAGCAGATTTCGATAATTTTTCATAACCACCAAAAAAATCATCCAAAGCATGTTCATTTCGTGGATGTACAGACAAACATGACGAAGAAGAACCCGCTTGGGTAGCTAAACAGGATCCCGCTTGGGTAGCTGAAGTTTTTTCACCGTCTGTAACAACAGACGACGAATAATAATGACTCTCTACAAAATAAAAATGAGATATACAAAAACAATTCGAAGCAATACACACACCATTCCAAGTATGACAGCCAGAAAGTCGAACGACGTCCGTTTCTGAAGGCCTTTCGAACCGAGATCCATCAAACTTCGCGTTCACAAACGCTAGCCAATCACGACCAAGTTCGACATCACATCCACTCAGATGGACCGGACGAAAGGTCTGCTGTGAGTTGTATAAACCATCAACGGTAGGCACGCGAACCGGGCCAAGAGTGGACTCTATAACTCTCCCATCATGATTGATGACAGTTCGAGGCACGTTGTAATCATGCAGAAAAGACAATGACACGGTCGAATTAAGACTCGCATCGTCGACACGAATAACAGCAGGAATGTCGGAGAAGGATCCGAGAACTGTGTAAGTAGACATATGTAGATAGTCGAAGATTATAAGAATGAAATCGATAAGCGCAGACGAAAGGCGGCACTTCAGAACTGTGCGAACCAAACACCACAAACAAACCGGAACATCGGAAACATGCGAATAAAATACCACAGTAGATACCGAAATGCGGTTTTTTTGACGATGACACAACAAAACTCACTACTGCTGTAGCGGGAATTTTGAATCCCATAGTCCACAAGTCCAAAGCTCATGTACGAGGGCATAGAAAATATGCTTCCTCATTCCAAGCTCAATCTCGATCTAGTTAGGACGTCCATTGGTGACACCTATGCATGTCCACTGAGGAGTGAGGTATGGTAGGGCTGTTTCTTAAGAAATGGTGTCATGTAGGCAATTATAAGACCCATAACAAGTTGAGCAATAATTGCAGTAGCCATCCACAGCATGTGTAAACACTGGATTTCATTAGCTGGAGGCATTTTAGCCTTAATGTGATATCATATGGTGCACAATGCAGTGACCTTATCATGGTTATTTGTATATATGTATTGTTACAAACAGAATAAATTGTGAAATAAATGCAGCTGTCCAGACCATAATATGTAATAAGAGCACTCACAGAATAGAATACATGGATATACATAATCAGCCTCACTATTGTTTTAGTCCAACTGAAATAGAAAGAGAAATGAACATGCACCAGCAGAGATAGGCCACTGAGAAAAATTGAAAATGAGGTAGAACCTATAACCTTCTACAGTCCTTGATACAAGTATCAAAAGACACTTATTCATATCTAGCACAGATCTGAGTATCACATCTGCAGTAGACTCGAATGTAGACTGTCCCTAGTGAGTACACACATAAAAATGAACTTGGTGTTTCATTTGTTCAGAGCAACACATGACTGTGAGGCCCATGGATAGAAATGCATATGTTGTGGTTGCCAAGGGAAATAAAGTTTGTGGTCCATAGAGTTGAATATTAAAACAGAACAATGAGAAGAGAAGTGTGGCTATGCTGTGGATATAATGGTGGTTCCCTATAAAATCACTTTTGCCCTTCTATCTTATCTTATTTTATTTTATCTCATCTCATCTACTACCATCATGTCCTTCAACTTTAACTTTGATAAAACTTAATCCTTAAACCAACAAACTCCATCATGCCTTTACAGATGTTTAACCACATGTCTTAGTATCATAGATTGTACACCTGAGGATCATCTAGAGCTGGTGACTAATAAGGAGGAATAGTGCCACTAGTAAAAGAAGACAACAGTCTACTCAAATTTCTCTCGCCTTTAATATATTGCTAATCATAATTTTCAGTATAACCTTGATAAATATTTTCTTAATAGGAAAACTTTCAATATTGCATGTGCACTGAGCCACAATGAAGATAAGAAGGGTCAGCTACAAGAAAAGGTCTCAAGCTATTGTATATTTCATACTCACAGGAGACATACTTTGATCCTGATCCCTGCCATCAGGGATGTTTGATATTTATATCATAGAAAGTTGGCCAAATAGGGTGATTTCAGGTGATTTCAGCTTGATAGTCCTGTGAGAGTATAGAAACTGCCTAGCTTTCCAGCATGTGAGAAGGTCTTCACAGAATTCACCATATGTTCAATGGACATAGCATTCCTGTCATTCTTTATCTTTATCTTTCTATTTTTCCCCTCATCCATGCCAAACCACTAGTTCCATTCTTACTTCAAAGCAGTAACCCTGCCATACATTTCCTCATTAAATCCCTCAGAGTAATTGCTCAATGTCATTGCCATGCCCTCAAAAAAAATTTCCGACACTTCCTCCAATCACTCAATGTCTTCACCATGCCCTCTAATTTTTCTCACACTTCCTCCAATCACTCAATATCTTCACCATACCCTCTAAATTTTTTCCAACTCTTTCTCAAATCACTCAATACTACCTGTTACACACTCAAATAGATCTGTTATGCAGAGCCCTAAGAGGGGCATTGTCCACTAATGTTCGTGACATAACCAGAAATGTCTTCAAAGTCACCAGGCTCAAGGACAGTCTTGCCCCAACAATGAGTGTTGATCGAGGTAGACTTGAACACAAGAAGCACTTAAGAAAAAATACTAGAGACTGAAGCTAAGAGGCTTTAGAGGGAAGTATGTTCCAGGGAAGATTAAGTACATTCAAGTTAGAGAATCTTGTACAAGATGACCGACTACTTATACTAAGTGGAAAGGGTAAAGGGGAAATGAGAATGGTATAGGTACACTTGCAGCAGAGCCAGATTAATGGTGAATGGTCAAAAGGAAAAAGGGACTGAGAAACATTGGAACAAGCCAACAATAAAAATGCAGTATGCCACTGTCGTGAGTCAGAGGGCAAGATAAGACAAGATAAGGAAAGCCACATTGGTGGCATGAGTCAGTGTCCAAAGGCACGTGTGCACGTTGGTGCAAGGAGGATAAGACAACGGACGGGAACAGTCCCAAGGATCTGGTTAATAGATAATTGGTAAAGGAGTGCAAGCCAGACACAGGTGAGGACAAGGATGAAGGGAAGATGATAGGGAGGTCATGTAGCCGATGTTACTTGTAACACTATACACTAAACACTTGCTCTCACCACACTTCACTCTCCCCTCTCAACATAACTCTTACATACACATATTCTGCATTCAAATCTTACCTAACTGCTATATCATACAATCTTACATCATGTTCCCATCCAATACATATTATAACCCACCCCTTTCTAATACTTTCCCTCACAAGCATACTCTCACTGCTCCAATGTATATAGTCCATCTTATCACCCATCCAAAGTCCCTTATCATTTTGATAACCAGGCCATACTACATCTCACTTCTTATAAAACATCTCCTACACATTCACACACATGTAGTATAGTCTTCGTCTGCAATCAACTATGTCCTCCAGATCTGCCATATACCACATATGTCAGAAGGAGCCCAATATAATATACTCCCTTATCTAACTTAATTATCTTCAATACACAATTCCCAATATCCTAAATCCTATCAAGCTTTAACACACTCACCACTATTTCTAATAGACCTGTCCATCCTCCCCTGCCCTAACTAAAATTACATACATATTACCCTAACCCACTATATATATATGTTCATTCCTTACATACCACTAGCAATAGCCCACCTACCATTAATGACCTTCTGTCTCTTTTTACCTAACTCAACATCTGGGCTGTTCTCTCTGTATCTATAAGTCCTGTGATCAGACTGTTTGCCCCTGTTGGTCATGGTGCCAGGAACATCCAAATTCTAAGCATGACCACCATGAGAAAGTGAATCAATTAGCAAAATCAACATCTGTTTGGGAGCTAGGGGTGGGACTGGGAAGACTGCTTGTGCTTATGCTGGCATCAGTTGTTTAAGCTACCACTATAAATCCAAAAGTGCCCACTCACCATATCCAACAGTCTTTGCAAAGGAAGGATGTAACTTCATATGTGGTTCATCAGCCCACAGTTCCATTGAAGAATAAGACCCTGATTTATGGTTGCCCAAAGCACAGCAGCCACAGAAAGAAGAAATAGCAAGATGACAAAGCAAGTCTGTCATGCTGCTGGAGGGCTTAAGACTGTTGATGGTGACCCAATATATAATAACCACAGTAAATAGAAATCACACCACCTGCCACACAATCTCATGCACCAGATTAATGACTGCCCAGCCATCTGCTTCCTAGCATCTAACCAAATCGTGTACAGACTTGTCAGCAAACACCAAAACAACAATCCATTGGGGTCAGATAAAGGCCAAATCTACCAGAATATTGCTAAGCTCTTATTTGCAGCTCACCCTAAGTATGGTGCTGCATACACCATCAAACCCAAAAAAATCTGTGACATGATTGGCAACCATATTGGAATGTACATTATATTATTTTTTGGTGCTATTCATAAAAACACTAAAATTTTCGCTGTCTCAGGGGTAAATACAATAAACTCAAGGTGTCATTTAGCAGCACCAGTGCTGATGCAATGCTGGCTGAAGGAATCTAAGCAAAGAACTTATTAGGTGAGTCCCTGGTTCCAAATTTTTAGTTCTCAATTGATTGATCATCGTAGATGACATGCTTTTGGAGCTGCCATGGTTGTTAAGACCATGCACAAAGGGTAGGACTGATTCTGAGGGGCTTGGCTTCAGCTCGTGCACTGTGCCCCTTACCCGAGTATGTGCCTTTAATTTCAGATTGGTGTCCGAAGAAAGTCCAAAGACGTCCGAAGGCGTGGGAAACTTCGGAAGGACTTTCCAGAAGGGTGCAAGTAACTTCCGGATGAGTGCGGTGTAGAAGAGGAATGGGAAGTGGGTAGATATAGGTGGTATGAGATAACTCAAGTAGTCCTCGGTGAGCGAGATATACGTCGGCCCAAGGGGATTGCTACTGAGAAGGTTCCTCTAGGTGTATAAAACGGAGGGAAACACTGAACCGGGCGCTTGGTCAAGCCTGGTAAGGCGCATGACGATGAGCGAAGCGCGAGCAAGCGAAAGCGATGTGAAGCGCCGATGAGCGATAGCGGCTGACGATAGATATTGATGCGCGACTTATAACGGAAGCGCGCGCTTTAAGCGGAAGCGGTGCACATGCAGGTAGTGGAGCGCAGCAACTCTTAATGAGTCAGAATACTAATGGGCAGAGTTTCCAGTAATGTATGGCGGCGGCGCTCGTATTGTACTTAGATACTTTTACATTTTTAGAGGATAACTTAGACTTATAGTCCAGCGATGTGTGGGCAAAAAGATAGTCATTACACAGTTTATGTGCGTCTATATATACTAAGTAATGTTAAGCGCTGTCAAGCGCTAAAGCGGACCGAGAAGTGAAGCGGACACGAGATAATATGTAATAAGGGTCCATAACGGAAAACATACGAAACATGGCCATAAGCGCCGGAGATATGTCAGAATTAATGAAAATAGAATCGGAATACGCACTGACGAACCGAACGGACATGGAATGGATGGACGGAGGACATGCGACGGAACCGAGGATGCGCGCGCCGATGCGTGACTAAGGAGTGACCGGAGCGCTGGCGCTTGAGCGCGCTGTGTGAGATATGAGTCGCGCTATGTTAGGAAGTGATAGTAACAATGGGATTTAGGATGGGCCCACACAGTTTGTATGCATACCAGCCGGTGGGGCCCACAACACTGCCATGGTTAATACAACCCGGCCCGACCCATATACACCTCCACTGTCAGAGGGCCCAGATACTGTTCATGTGTAGCATGGGCTCACCATCAGTATGTGAAGGCAACTACAGGCCTGGGAGCCGTATCCTTTACAGTGGTGGGCCCAGGCCTGGTATGTTAAAAACCGGTAGGCCCACATGACAAATCCTAGCGTGCAGCGTGACAGCAACACGGCGCTACAAGCAAATCACTCATCCAAACCGCCGGCTGCCGGATCACCTGACATAAAGTTGGCCCATCCTGTTTAAGAGTCACTGATACTTCAGGATGAAACTTTGGAGCCTAGTGACATGAGCCAGTACTTCAAGCCATAAATTGCTGACACACCGGATGACCTTGCAAAAACCATCCTGGAGATAAATTGATGCAACCCGGAGTAAGGCCATGTCCACTGGTTTGAAAACTGCTCTGGTGTGTGCGCCATTTTCCTTTCGTGGCACGATGTGGCCGATGTGTTGGGTCCGCTGGTCAAAGTATCGGGTTCGGCGGATATTCGTCGGGTTGCATCGGGAAGTGAATATTGTGCGACGGACATTTGACGTGATGCGTGAAATGGCTGAATATGAGCCTAGCGCGAGCTGGAGTGCTACACCATGACGAGGTTGCCGGCCTTTAGGCCACCGTTGAAACCTTGCAGCAGCAAGTTGTCAATGGTGACCAGCAATTTCAGGAGACATTGGCAGTACAGGACCAACATGCTGATCTGCTGGCAGCTGAGTTACAAGTCCTCCGCTGACTTGTCCTGTCGGCAACCGCTCAGCCTACTGCTGGCACTGACCCTGTCGATGTGCCACCAGATGCGCAATCACCTCTGGTGCTAACCACTCAGCCTACCCTAAACACTCCAGCGAGTGATTTGCAGCTGGGCACTGAATTTTTGTTGGCGCCCACTGAGGACACATCTAACCCATTGGGTGCCACACCTGCTGGTACCTCCACTGAGGCCAATGTTGAACTGGCTGCTGGTCTGGCAACACCTCAAGCTGAGGTTGCTTGTTTGCCAGTAGTCATGAAGGCCGCTGATGATGCCAATATGTAATTTGTGATGTAGAATAATGTACATATGTTTGCTAGTACTATAGAACTCATGTATAGTTTACTTTGTTGTTTTTTACCATGGAATCGGCACCGATGTGGTCTCAATGGTCACCGTACATGGGAGCACCTGTCTGTGCCCACATTGTGTCTGGCGCCCGGCGATGGTGTTATTCAGGTCCTGAAACCTTGTTCCAGCATGTCATGGGCCCCCTCGTATCAATGGCGGTACATATGAGCCTGTTGGAATCTAGTGAGCTATTTGCCCAGGCTCACCCTGTTACCCACTGTAATGATTGGGCCCATCACCCCATCGGACCATGATATGAGCCTGCACGTGGAGTGCCTTACATGGTGTGAGCCCAACCGTACAAAGAGCGCAATACAGCTGGGCCTGTCTGCACCCTCCAAGGTTACAGCAGGCTCACCCTACTATTTTCTACTTCTAGGGTGGGCCTGCATCCCTTTGTTCAGACCTCCAGATGGGCCCACCGTCATTGTTTGCATACTGCTGGTAGGCCCATTCACAGTGCCATACATGGTGTGAGCCCCACTGCACAAATGCTTGGATGTAGCTGGGCCCCTGCGTTTTCGGCAGATGCATCGGGCTCCATCCACTATGCTGTATTTCAGGGGTAGGCCCGCATCCCTTAGTTCATCCCTCCATGTGGGCCCACTAATGTTTTTGCATACCGCCAGCAGGCCCATTCACTACCCATGACATGGGTTGGGCTCACTCTACTAGTGTGGACACCGACAGCAGGCCCTTTGATGTGCTGACATGATGTGGGCCCGTCGACACACCATTGGGGAACCGCAGGGTGTGCTAAAAATTGTATTTGCTCAGCGGATAATGCACATTCGCCGGAGATTCCTGCTAATAAACACGACTATTCTAATGATTGTGCCTGATGTGAATGCCATTTCCATACTCTGGTGGACTCTTGCCGGCAATGTAAAGATACCCTCCCAGCAGATAATGCAGCCGGCAGAGCTTGTATGTTGTAGCCGCCAGTATGTCAGATTTGCCATATTTAAATGCCAGCGGACACCTGCCAATGATGTGAGAGCGCATGCGCCCGCTATCATGAAAATTATGTAGCCAGCTGATTTTGCAATTTGTATCTGCCGCTGTATCTGATGTTTGCTGACCGAGATGCCATTGGCGAATGTAATTTGGCTACATCTGATTCCACGGGCCTACTCGAAAAATCTCGAGAGATGGCCTTTGCACTGTACTATGAGCCCATCTGTAAAGAAAATTTTCTTCAATGAAAAATATAGATAGGAGGCCCACTGCTATCCATTGGGCACACAGAATATAAGGAGCCCACCCAGTGACATACCCTTACCCTTACAACATATACTGGGCCCATAGTGAGTTGGCCCTTCAATCAGTTAGCAGTTGGTCAGTTTAGCACTGGCCTTCCAAGACTCCCACTGTGTGGGGGCATTGTGTATGACACACTCATCCATAGTGTACATGAGTGTGGCCTTCCAAGACTCCCACTATGTGGGGGGCATTGTGTATGACACACTCATCCCATTGTGTACATGAGTGTGGCCATCCAGGACTCCCACTGTGTGGGGGGCATTGTTTATGACACACTCATCCCAATAGTGTACATGAGTGTGGCCATCCAGGACTCCCACTGTGTGGGGGCATTGTTCATCACACACTCATCCCATGTGGATGGACCACAGAAATAATGGCCATCCACCACTCATAGTGGGAGTCCTGGAAGACCACACTCATGTACACTATTGGGATGAGTGTGTCATAAACAATGCCCCCCACACAGTGGGAGTCCTGGATGGCCACACTCATGTACACAATGGGATGAGTGTGTCATACACAATGCCCCCCACATAGTGGGAGTCTTGGAAGGCCACACTCATGTACACTATGGATGAGTGTGTCATACACAATGCCCCCACACAGTGGGAGTCCGGGACTCCCACATCTGATGCATGGGTATATCTGGCAAATTGAACTGAAGGGGTCCATATACAGTGGGAGTCCTAGTAGGCCATATCTGATACATGAAATGTTTTGAAAGTGAAGCTGAAATCGACCCTAGGCTGACCCTAGGAACCCCCATAACCCTAACTAACGTTTACAAAAATAAATTTTCAGCATCAAAATGTCATGTAATCCCTCAATCACCTCAGATTAATTCTCAATTGGACGTCAATGAATGTGTGCTAGAAAGAGGGCTATGTAAGCATCTTCCTTGGACAGATGAGGCCGGGCGTTAATGTTGGTAATTAGGGAGTTCAGCAGCATCTGTAGGAAACATACAAGATGATGAGTACAGGCCTTCTCCACCACCACAAGAAATTGTGCGGCCGCCATCCCTTGCGGTTTCACAAAATGCAGCAGCTGAACTTACGGTCCAGGAAATTTCCTGTAAGTTCAGAATGACACTAAAAATAACAAGGAACACTTATTCTTTATGATCACAGCTCGTGCAATGGCTAGACCAATTGTTTGGACATCTGCCTGGTACAACTGGAAAACTCTCGGGTTGAATGAGTGGCTTGATGCGACTGTGGCAAACTATTATTTGTGTCATGTCTGGTACGAGCTGCAAGGCCTATCACACATGAGATATGTGGACTTGTACGCAGCGATGGTCAACAATATGGTGGATGACGAAGTGAAGCTCTTCAAGAAGTACCATTTCTTGCCCCGGGATGGCACGTGTCCTGTAGTCCCTATTGGATTCATCGTTCATCATTCCGATCATTTCTTTGCTGTCATATTCGACTATCAGAGACAAATAGCCCACGTCCTGGGTCGCCACATTTCCGACTCCATAATGGATGTAGACGGAGTAGATCCAAATGACTGGAAAGATTGGGATGGTCCGCAATACTGGAGGAGAATTGGATCCCTTCATGGCTGGTGCACAGAGGATGTCACAAATGTCTCTGTGAGATCAACTAATTGGGTGCAAAATGGAGTCGACTGTGGTCCTATCGCTTGCTCCGTGCTTGAGCGATGTCTGAGCTTGGGCTTAGATGAGCATGGCGACCTGCCAGTGCTCGATCTCAAATGTGGCCACATATTGCGCATTAGCATGTTGCGTGTGGTTGCAGGGCGTCTTAAAATCAGCTGTAGCGACTATCTTATGCTTCTGGACAGCCCACAGGAGACCTGGATGGAGGGGGACGACATACCAGACGAGGAAGTGATGAATTCGATTCAGAATGGACGGCACCAGGCGGAATGCTTGAAGGTTCTGCGGAAATTGACTGTCATTAGTGCCACATGTTCAGTGTGTCAAATTTCTGCACTCCGAAAGGACAGCAAAACCCCCTCACACGATAGTGAGAATGGCGATACATCCACAGTGGGCGAGGATAACTTGGAAGCAGAATGCACCCATGATGACGATTCTCTGGGAATGACACTTTCTGCTGATAAAAAGGCAAACCTTTCACAGCTCTTAAAAGCAAACAAGCACCTGACAGGATCTCGGAATCGAAATGCTATAGTCCCTCGCGCCATTGGAACACATCTTGACCTTGAGCTGGAAATTGCGCCTGATTCCGATGAAATCATCGAATCCCAACGCTCGGTATCTGCCTCAGCATCTCGTAGGCGAGTAAAAAACTGGAATCTTGCAAGCAACAAACGCTTTCCACGTCCAATTGCACCACCTTCACTACTTGCGTATTCGGGTAGGAGGTGGCTCCAGGATGATACGACATTTGATGAGTATGAGGGTGGACCTACAATCGAGATGTTGAAAACTCCCAGGGATATTATTCCAACCATGACATTCCAGGCTGGTGGAATACAGCTGTCAACTGCTTGGGTCAATTGGGTCGATCACGGATATCGCATCACGCCTAGCTCATTCCATATATTCTATCAATGCGACCCCATAGCCATCATGGACCACATTATGCCTATTGGCACGACCAACTCATACGATGCTTCAAATCAGATTCCAGATCGAGTGACAGGGGCATACAGCCTGAATCGCCAAGGGTCAGCTCAGGAAGGACAGCACACGCACATCACAGATGTAGAAATTCTCTCTTCTTCTGAACTCATCAACTCTGCCCAATATGATCCTCCACTGCATGAGGAATGCAGGTTCGGACACAATGCCTTTGTGCGTGGCCACACGAGTCATCGGTATGGTGACGGTCCTCCATTGTATGTCGACCTTGAACAGGATGCAGTGAAATTTTCGGAAGATGAGATAGAGATTTCTGTGGACATCGACAGTATAATTTGGGCGACGAGGGTATTTCGATGCAAGGGATCCGTAGGGATCTATATCACTCCACCATTCCAAACAAAACCTGGTATATTCAAGCACAATCACACGTATGTCGACATCATCATTCCGCAGTCTGAAGAAGATGCCAGGACACCTGGTGAGCGTACAGAGTGGCTGTCAAAAAGGTTTCCTATGTCCGCAATCCCTCATGCCTGTATTGGGCGTATTTCATCGGCCTCCTCAACACTCAATCTCTACATCGCATTTCCAAGGATGATACATCAACACCCACTAAATGGTCGAAGAATCACGCTTATACCAAAGGAGGTCTTGGACATTTTCTGGGATAGGGTGCTGCTTCCATCAATAGGGCGCTCTACTGATGTCAGCTGGGCGCCTTACCTCAAGCACACATTGGACGAAGCACGATACAAGTCAAGAGGTACAGATGGACGCAAAGGTGGATGGGGACCTCCAAAGACAATTCCCCTGTCAGATGACGACTTCAGGGATGTGCAGCAATTCATGGAAACCTATATAGCCTATGGAGGGGGTGAGCTCAGCATGTATGGGTCGTTTTTCTTTATTCTGGAGGGAAAGGGAATCAAGCTCCTCACAAAGGATGGACAGAGAGGACGCTACTCAGGACCAGAAGAGGCGCTGTGTCGCAACCTGTCTGACCTCGACTGGCCATATATGATGAATCGGACGCATGGTGAGCTTCTAGTGGATGTGGGTATCTCATTCACGCCCCGCTCCCCGGATGTTCCTGTGGTTGGTATTTGGAGACTGGATGCACTGGAGGCCTCATTCGGTGCAGGAGGATACAAGAGAGGCGAAATTCATCACCACAACACATTGTCTCGATATGGCGCACTGCAGGCTGAGATGCAACAGGAAAGATCCCAGCAAGCCCACATCGCATTTAGGAGCACCTACAACCTATACTATGAATCTATCCGAACCAACAACAACCAAGCGAACTTTGCTTCGGACAGCGATGCCTACAGGCTTTCTCCATCCTACATGGCTGAATGCTCCGACATAATGAAGGTGGTCGAAGGGTGTAAGGAGAAGACATATGGTGTCAGAGATGAGTATAGGGTGAGCGGCCATGCAGCCAGAATAATGCTGGATAATATAGAAGACAAGGTCAGTGATAAACATACAATTCACAATGGAAATGTCAGCCTCATGGTTCGATAAAAATACAGGCTAAAGAATATCTGCGTTCTGATCCAATACTATGGATCCCATCCAAGATCTGGTTTGAGCTGATCAGGCGACGTGTGCGGGAGATTCAGAGGACCCAAATAACCGTTGTAAAAAAGAACCCTCCCAATCTTGGCATCATAACTGGCTTGCTCAACCACATGCTTCGTTCAACTACATCTACCCCTATCATCTATGATCGTCATGTACGCGAATCCCTTGCACTCCTTGAATACAGAAATGTACTCGAGACAGCAGGGATGTTTTTCCTGCAAGACTTCGATCTAGCCAGCGACACCTGCCTGGAGGAGGTGCAGCAAATAGATGATGTAAATGTTCTGGCTCTCATGGGTGCAACTGCCAAGGCTCGAAGGGATAGAGCGGTGGGAAGGTTGGAAGGTTGGAAAAACCTCGAGTCAGAGATGGAAGACTATCCTATTGGTCGTACACCAACATGGAACACACTCAAGACAGCCATCGCAAGCTCTCCTGGGTTGATAATGAGGCAATGGACACGTTCGACCAGTTTGTCCATCAATGAACTCTCCGTTGGACGATTGATAGTCAATTTCACAAGACAAATGTGGCTCATGCTTACAAACGAAGTCTTTAAAGGTATCACACCCTACCCAAGCTCGCTCAATGATGCCATGAAGTGCTGGACAATCACAAGCATCGATGACACCCTCGCTTCTGTCGCATTTGAAGCATGCAATTCTGGGCTGCATGATAATACAGGTGTCACTCCAGGTCGCATGGGTCCCAAATCGAAAGCATTTTTGGACAGGTGCTCCTTATTCTTCCCCGACCCTGATGCATCCCACAAAGAAAAATCTCAGTGGTCCACCCTGTGGGAGGGAGATGGCTATATTGCAGAGTTTCACAGAATGATGAAGAACATGAATGAGGATCAGGAGGCATCGCTCAAGCAAGGTTTATGTCAGGTATTCTCTGACCTTCACTGTCTTCCTGCCAGCGGTGCAAGGGTGTGGATTCAAAAGAATGATGCGATAGTATTTGTGACGAATCCCGCATTTTACAGGATTGATTGTGTTGGAAGAAATGGAAAGAGTCAGAGGAGAGCTCCAAGAGCACGTCGTACATTGAAGTTGATCAAGGGAAAGCGCATATTTGCAGCTGATTTGATGGACTCCCATCCATTCGACACTGATGGGAATCTGAGAAGAAAGACAGAGAGGCAAAAGCGTCGGGAGATTCACAAAAAGATGACCATGGCGAAGAGAAACAACCGGGTGCCCCCTCCTCCACGTCTACGCAAAAAATCCAGGCCATTCCCAATGCGTGCATCAGAACATGTGGCAAGAGATGATGAAATGGAGGTCGATTAGAATATGTATATGATGTTATATTATATAGATGTAAAGGTATAGCCCATAAAATTACGAAGATGATTGCGATGCAGATGAAAGTTATTCTCTGGGTGCCCCAGTATTCAAGACACAAAACTGTAAACAAGATGGATAACCTCATTACAAAGAGATAAGTCATTCATTGTCTTCTACCCCCTTACCTAGAGCATCACAAATTTATGCTTCCTTATTTAATCATTCATTTATGTAGCCTGCATAAAGACGTCTCCCTCTGGAGTTAGGAAGGACTGGGTTCAAATCCCTGTCCTGCCATTATTTCAGGGAAAATATCCCACACTTTGGATGAGAAAACTTTAGGAGACTCATAATTACAAGTAAAATGGAGTCTTCCCTGCAACACCTGGCTTTGCTAGTAAATGTCAGTCTTCTAAACGTTTAGTCCGTGTTCTTCACCGACTGTGTTTTTTATGTTGTAGTGTAACTGGGGTCATCTCCACATTCTAACCTTCTGAAAGCTGGAGAATGGCTCAATGAATTTTGAACAATGGTTACTTAATTGATGGACTTGAGAAAAATCGTGAAGGGGAATATTGAAAGCTGAAATCATGGGAGGACAATAATTTGAACCTAGTCCTTCCCAACTGCGGGGGGACGTCTCACCCACTAGACTGTCCAGTCATTACAGTGAGAGACAAAGGAACGAGGAAGGTGAAGGTGGTAATCAGATGAAGCAGAGTCCATGTTACCTGTTATTCTGATATCTATTGATTGGGCAAGAGAACTTTCATAGAGTTCAGAGCTTCCTGCCTCTCCGACCAGATGGAGGGACTTATGAGGTTGGTATGGGTGGGACCCTTGTATGGCCGGAAAACAGGTGAACTCATACTGGTGATTCAAGATGAAGCAGAATCTGTGTTACCTGTTATTCTGATATCTATTCTAGACATGCACCAGTCGCGAAATTACTACCTTCGCCTTCCTCACATCTTTGTCTCTAGCTGTAATGACTGGATGGTCTGGTGGTTGAGACGTCGTCAACAAAAGTCATGTTGGTCAGTTCAGTTGACTGGCGGCCTCTGTTCAAGTTTCATTTTTTGTGTCTTCATGTGATCGGCCAGACTTGAACCAGTACTTGTTTTCAATATTATAGAACCTGCTAAATGGACTGGAAACATGTGTTTGTCCATGAAAAATAACCACTCCTATTGTGCTGCCTCCGCATTTTTTCTGCTTATGTAAGCAGGCCCACCTCAACCAATGATTGATTTTTTTAACCTTCATATGACTTGCTTGGCTTCAAATACACCTTTAATGTGGGGTTATTGAGCTCTCTAAATATGATGGTGATGCCCTTTTTGTTCAAAAAAATCACATTCCAAAGTTATGAATGTCTGTGATGCTGAGGTCCTCAACCCAAGGTCGATTGTTTCAGCCTTTATATGACTTGATCTCAGGCTCATCATCAAGGTGATTGATAGATATATATTCAGCAGCAACAGAAATATTTGATCTATCAAGTCTTGTTCTAAGCGTGCTCAAGTCCACCGCTTTCGCTTATGTAAGCAGTGTCACCCCTGTCATGCTGCCTCACCCAATGATTGATTTTTTCAGCCTCCATTTGACTTGCCTGGCTTCGAATAGAACTCGATTCAGAGGTTATTGACCAATCTGAATCTGATGGCAATGCTTATTTCGTCCGAAAAAATCATGTTTCAGAGTCATGGTACCCCCTCCCCCCACCTACTCCACCAAGAAGCATGATTTTATGTCAATACAGATGTGCTAAGGGATGTTCCTAGTGTTTAATGATGATACAAATAGATTATAGATGGATTCAGAGTGTTCTGAACCAATATGGAATGTGATGTGTGAGTTTGCCTGGTACCCCCCCTCAAAGATCGATTTTTCTAGGCTTCACATGACTTGTCAGCACTTCAAAAGTATCCTTCCTGGGGGTTCTTGATGCTTCTGAACACGATGGTAAAGCCAGATTTGTCAGAAAAAATCAGGTTGTTGAGATATGTAGGGTCCCCCTCCCCCCTCCTAACTCATATATCTTGGTATTATATAAATACCGGTATATAAATAAGTGTTCCTACTGTTTTAAGAGCATATAAATCGATTGGAAATGGTCCCAGAGTGTTTTGGGCCCATCCTGATTAAGATATGCGAGTTTTCATGGTACCCCCCTCAAAGATCGATTTTTCTAGGCTTCCCATGACTTGCTTGTGCTCTAGGAGTATTTTTCCGGGGTGCTCTTGATGTCCCTGAACAAGATGGTGAAGCCCAATATGTCAGGAAAAATCAGGTTGTTGAGATACAGAAGGTCCTCCCCCCCCCTCCTACCCCATATATTTTACAACACTCACATTTCACTCAAAACCGATACTGAAAATGGTTGTCCCAGTGTTTTTAAAGCATAGAAATCGATTGGTGATGGTCCCAGGGTCTCTGGAGGTCAGCATTGTTGACCTTGGCTGGTGGGATGAAAAACTCAGTATTTTGACATTATCTACAGATCCCAACCGCCGATTTCTTTCATTCCGGGCTCATATTAATCCTTGGGCATCCCTCTAAAATATGTACCAGCCCAAGAAGAGAAAAAAATTTCAAACTTTGAAACCTATTTCTGTTTTGACCATATAAATAGATAGGGTTCTTGAATTTGTAGAAGGTGCATCGCTTATATGAGATCCTCTTGCCAAGGACTGGATGGGTTTCGTCATAGTGTGACTTGAGATAGTCGAAGATATGTATGATTTTACTCTTTGCAGATACTGAAATGAAGTAGTGTTCATTGCCCAGCACGGCATAGAAATCAACCGTGGCCAACTCAGCCCTACGTGACGTTAGTTGAATGCATAGACTCATCAAGTGCAGGTATGAACATTTGCGGGTTCTAGAGACGACCGAAATGTGTGTGTGGCGGGTAATGAAAGATAAGGGAGCTTCAAGTTGAACGGCTAGAATGCAGTTCGAGCTTCAAAAGGGCTCAAACAATGGCTTACTAAGCGAGTAGCGCAAAAGATGTATCGGTGAAATACTAGTACCGTGTTGTCAATACAACAACCCTACGGGCACCCCTGGACCCGTTATTTCGTTTACTTCATTCCATAGAGCTACGCTTTTTTTTTTCCTAGTGTTAAAACCTTTCTACATCTAGCTACTCGAGGCAGCAGGATTCAGCACCTCAAACTCATGTGTGGTAGCTCGTTTTGCATTTGGCAGGTCAGCTGCACTTGACAATGCTCGTTTGCGGGCGGAGGGTGACACGCAACAGAGATTATTGGCATCACGAAGACGAGCAGATGGTTTGGTTGGTCGACCAGAGTGTCTAGCGCCAGTAACAAATGTGGCCGCTTGCCATCCAGAATTCAAGAGGACGGAGAATGATGTATTTGATGAGGCTGGCTGCATCACCCTTCAGTGAGGAGCCAATCCGAGCAGAACGCAGACTTCTTTGGTAGAGTGAAACAAGTCGGCGCTGTTACCGATTTGATACCTATCCCCGCCCAGCACGCATTCACAATTTTCTCCAGGCCGTTCGCGCAACTAATATCACTCTTTACCTCAAGGCTCAGAAAGATCTTCACTGGCTTCCTTGTGATAACAAAGGGATAACAGTACTGAAATGTCAGACAAGTAACAAACCTGTGCACGTTTTTCAATAGATAGATAATCAAACTCATTGGAGCGTTGAACAATAGACACAATTCATTGCGACAAGTAACGTGTCGATAATACAACATGGCGCGAATTCATTTCTCTTTCATTTTATTCTGTCGCCCCCAGAAGCTTACAGCTTGCTAGAAGAAAGACCCTCCGTGAACCTCCTTTCAGCCTCCTCAAAGTTGATAACGCTCCAGATGGCATTCAGATACTATAGATGTGATCAATGAAGTGCCTCTCGCTCCAAACAAATTATGATAGCTCACATCAACCTTAACGTTGAGATACTGGAGGTAGAAAGCATGCTCCCAGATGTCAACCCCAATGATAGGGATGTGCGTCAGAAGCGGGTCCTGGTTTGCAGTCGTGGTGACCTCAAGGCGCTTGGTGGAGGGGTTCAAACCCTGAGTGAAGCACCATGAGCGCTACATCATTCGTGTGTGGAAACAAGAAACTTACGAGCCAGCCCCATCCGGAACCTTGAATACCAGCGGTGGTGGCATTGAACTCCTTCTTGAGCGCATCGAGCGACCCGAAGGTCTGCTCAATGGCCTCCTTAAGAGGACCAGCCTTCAGGGAACCACCGTTACCTTTGCCCTCACTGGAGGCAGGCGCTAGGTTTTTCCAGAACAGAGAGTGGTTGATATGACCTAAGTATGCGTAATGAATGACGTGAGATCGCGATCGATGACGAGCGATAAGCCAATAACGCATCTAGCGCTTGAAGTAAGTATGAAGACTTACCACCACCGTTGAACTTGAGTGCTGCCTGGAGGGCGATCCGCTCTCTGGGGGTAGAACTTTTTGCGTAGCTAGCCTCTGCAGCATTGAGAGCGTTCACATAGGTTTGATGATGCTTCTTGTGATGAAGCTCCATGATCTGCCTCGAAATGAAAGGCTCGAGAGCATCATAAGAGTATGGGAGATCAGGGAGAGTGTGTGCGGACATGATGGCTTCGATGATAACAGAGACAATGGTGGAGAGCTCAAGAGAGTGGGAATATGATAGGAGACTGATATCATCCATTTATCTTAGTTGTCGTTTGTTTATCAACGCCGCATACGTGCTACAAGCCCACGTCATACGATTATATACAACTCTGACATCAGATACATCATAAATGCAGTGATACACACAAAATGTAGGCTAAAATATATTCTCCCATACTTGTACATACAGCATTTAGCCACTTCTGTCAATAATCGGAAAGTGGGAGGACTTTTCCTATATGCCGGAGTTAATCAGCGCTGGCAAAACATTGCACGAGGTCAGACACACCAATATTTGCATACGGACTTCTCTTGCGGCGTCCAAGCAGATCGATATCACCACTATCAAAGAACGAATA